TCTTCAGCGGTTTCAGCGTGTTGGTTAGTTGCTCATAGAACGATTCGATTTCATGATCTTGTTTTTCTGCTGTTGGAGCATAAACCTGTAGAATGTTCACGTTGACTTTATTGCCTGCTAATTGTAGTAGTGCTATTCGTTCTGATACTGGGGTAAAGTTGTTGATTTTATTCGCTAATTTCTTGTGTACCATAAAGGCGACACCGTATGTTTGTTTGGTGTTTTCTTCTCCTCCGGAGCAGAAGATGTGGTGTTCGCTCGATATAAACTTTTTGTTCCAGGCCATTTCGTTTCGCTTAGACCGATTATGTTGATTTTAAGTCGATCCATTTCTTGTATGACATTGGCTAGTTTTCCTGCTTGAAGTAAACTTCTAACGTTCCAAGTTGCTACTTTGAAAGGGTTCTTTGACACAAGCTTGGAGATTCTTAGCACCCCTGTCCTATTTAAAGGACGCCGATACTCAGGGCCTGTGTTGATGTTGCTCGTCATCATTGAAGTTTTCAAGGGAGAAATAATCCAAGTAGTTTCCCGTTCCTTTCTTGGATCACAATTTATTTGAAAAGGTCATGTGGGGACCTTTCGAAACGGGTTTTGTCTGACGTCTCCACTGAACTCTCCCCGCCTTGGGTGACCCTTCTGAGAGCACTAGGCTCTCGACGGTATAGCGATCAGCTTCTCAGACGTACACAATACTCTCGCCGCGTTAAGGCATTGATTATATTGGGAAAAAGACAAAAATTAAAATTGGTTTTCTATATCGACACAAGCACTGCTTCCCCCCTATGTTCCGTTTGGAATTGATTAAAGCTACCAGTACTGCCTCTACTTGATTACTGTGACATTGTGTATAAATCAGCCCCAAGTACTGTACTGAAGAAGCTTGACTCAATGTATCACTCGGCCTTAAGATTTGCATTGAACTGCCCATATAGGACTCACCACTGTGATCTCTACATTGGGTCAAACTTAACATCTCTGAATGTTCGACGGCTTGTGCACCAGATCTTATTTATTCATGATGTACTTGCAAAAAAATCTGCAGATTACCTGCTGGATCTCGTCTCTGTTTCAAAGAACAAATTTTACCTAAGGTCTACACTCATTTACCAGCTTAATATTCCCTATTGCCGTACATATACTGGAGGAAGGGCCTTTGCTATTGATGCCCCCAGGGTCTGGAATGCTGTTGCAAATAAATTGAAACTTGAGTCACTACCTATGAGATCTTCACTCAAAACTGCTCTAGAGGAGTTGTACACCCCGAGCTGCCAGTGCTATTCAGTGACCTAAAATAAAATGTTTCGCTCCGGATGATCGCTACAAAGTATGACATGTGTTTTGATTTAGTGTGCTGATCTTAAAGGTGCATTGAAAAATTACAATACTCCGATTGATGCTCCTGCTGTTGTGGAGTGACGCATGCAGCCAGCTATGGCTGCAGGGTTTTGGTAGTACATGTTGTTTATGCCATTTATTGTGAAAATTCCGTCACAGTTCCTATGATTGCTTTTTCATTGCTTTCATGGCTTTATTTTGGTGATTTCGAAAAGTTGATTGGTTTAGCCATGTTTGTTTGTTGTAGTACAGAGTTAGACTGATGGCCTTAATCTAAGCTGTCTTGTGGTTGTTGTTGTTATTTGACTTGCATCCCACTGAGATTTTTGCACACACCGTTGGTGTACGGTGTTTTTTCTGCAATATTTTTGCTGTCTTTTCTTGGATGTTCTGTTTGCACTTAGTCACATATTCACTTTAAGATGTTTTTTGTTCATGTTTTTGTTTTTTGTTTGTTGCGGTTGCACCCGATTCAAGAGCTGAATGGCTCACAGGGCTATACCTAATAAATGAACTTGAACTTGAACATGATATATAATTGATTATAACGTGATGTTTCCGTCACGCAGTGTTCTTCAGGTAAGTAACTCGCGCGTTTTAGGGGAACAGACTGTATGCCTCTCTCTCTCTCGCGCCCCATTCTACCAAGGACCCAGCAAATATTCAGCGAGAACTTACGCCCTGCTGTGTGAGACCATGGTGTCTCCATGCGAGTCTGTGGGTTTCCTCGCTATTCTACCGGTCTCTTTGTGAGAGAGCCCCCATCGATGAAGCCAATTGCCAACACATTACACTTTCCCCAAGGGCCTCTATAAGACTCTGCAGGTCTCTATGGGTCCCGCTTGGAGAAGCCACCGACTTCAAGGTTTCTTCGGGATCCCACCGGCGTGCATCATCACCCGAGACTTGGGGATCCCGAGACAGACTTTGTAGCCTCTTCAGCTAGGAGCCATGAGTCATCACTGACAAATGGGCAATGCAGCAACCAAACACATTCCTGTGGAGGGAGCTGGTAGGAACGTTGGGTTGCTCGGTCGATGGCCAGGGTCAACGGCGGCGTGGTGTATTCCGCAAATATGCCCAACTGTGAGGGCGGGCACAAGCCGGCGTGAGTAGGTTAAGCGTTGAGTTTTATAAGGGCACCACGGGGTGACCAGTCCCTCCCCTCCCCTCCCCACCCAGCCTACCCCTCCCACCCCCCACCCAGCCCCTCCCTCTCCACCCAGCCCCTCCCTGCACGATGGACGGACGGACATAATAATCCCCGTGTGGGCTGGTGTAACCAGTAGGTTCCTACCAGTATTATTCTGCCGAGTTATCCAACACGTCAAGACATGGCTCTGAAAATTCGCGATATATAAATTGTTTCCTAATTCAGTTTTCAAATGGTCGGTCAAGTAACAACGTGGGTTGTTGATGGCTATGTGAATGTTAGATTGACACCGGGCTTAATCCACCCAAGCAGCAGTGAGTTTCATAAAAACGACTTCAACGAGCGGTTGCCAAAACAAGTTTACAGGTTTGTTTTTTTCAAATGCAATTTGTTACACGCTGCACACGCACCTGATGATTTATAAAAAAAAGGCATCGAACGTGATGTCGAGAGCTCTGACAGATATCGTGTGTGTGTGCGTACGTACGTATATATATGTATTGTGTGTGTCCAAAATTGCAGAGATGGCCTTCAAAAGATCCTCACTTGCAGCACTTGACCCAAAAGCCTACAGGGACTATTTGGGGGACATGTATCTCTGTCTGCATCACATGTCATGCAGTGAACCGCAAATTAATAGCACTGTCCTTGTCGCGTGGGATGCATAAATAATTGATTGGGCGAGTGGCAATGCGTAACGCGGCTAAATATGAAGCAGGTGCAGCACTCGGTGTTAGAGAATGGCCCACAGAAGCAGACATCACAAAACTAAGTCTGAGATCCCTTCTACACAGTAGAGGGGGGTATTTTCCCACCCCACCCCGGCCAAACAGAGGGTAAATGCTAATTGCACGGTAATAAAACAGATTTTTTTGTTTTCAATTTAAGAACTAGAATTTAGCCAAATTCAGTTGCAGAACAAGCACTAAATAGTGGGACGCGAGTAACTGGGGTTTTAAAAACCCTGACTTCAATCAATAAATGTGTCCGTTGTTTTCCATTTCTAGCAGTGTAATGTACAAGAATAGTAATTGTTCTAGCTGCCACAAAATCCCACCGTGACCTTCGCTAAACTCACCAGCTATCTTCCAGCACGTGTTTGCCATCTATGTTTAATCCAATATTTACACTCCTTCAAAAGAAGTGCACAGAGATCAATATTTGCACCACACGGGGCACACTTGGTAGCTCCCACACCGTGACAAGAGGGGCCACTCAAGCGGTCACTGTGGAGGCCCCTTTGTAAATAAAAAAATAAAATCCCCAAAATTGTATACCAACTTGGGGGATAGACAATTAATAATGAAAAAAAATGTGCCAATGTGTTACTGCTTCAGCACCAGCTTGAGTGTTGGAGAACAATGCACAGACACATTTAACAATTTGGTACGGACGTTTTGGTTGGTGATTACAACCGGCACCATCAGGCATCAAGTGATGAGACGAAGTCTCCATTTGTATCTCTCTCCGAGAGCAGTGTAATCCTTTCGTGTTCGATGAACGTCCCACAGGAGCGGATGTCACAGAAGCTACCTTTGGCTACCCTTCCGAGTGGCCTTTGATGCAGCACACTGCCATCGTCGCATGATAAACAAACCGCTGTATTTAATGCTCAGAGCTGGGATTCAGCCAAATGAAATGCAGAACAAAATTTAATGTGGTGGGTTGTTTATTTATTTATTATTTATGCAGATGTAAAGGCGAGCCGACACAAGGTTGCAGGGGGTTCGTCTTTTATTGCTTCCCCCAGTCCACCCTCGCCCCCAGCCTTCTCGATCCAGTTCCCGCCAATTCTCCCCTTTTTCCTGCCCGTTCTCTCTCTTCTATCCCTTCGCCTGCTCCCTCCCCCTTCCACTGTCACCGTCCCACTCCCCCTCCTTTTGGTGGGAATCCTTCCCCTGACATCCCTTACACAGTCATTGGTGACCAGACTAAGACCTTCAACTCAGCGACACTTGTGAACCCGGTTTAATCACTGAACCCAGGCTCTCAGGGGTGCCTGCTCAGCATGTCTAACCTCTGAGCTACCTCGCCACATCCGGCCAGTGTGGTTCCTATCTCGAAGCGGAATTTTTATCGTTCGTTATATACGAACAAGTTCACTTGTGGATGGATTGACTAACAGTCGAATTGGATGGACCGCTGAATACATGATGGGATGGATGAGTGATCGAAAGAGTGGTGGCTCCTGAATGACGCGATGAGACGGAGAGTCCATTCCACTCTCTTGCGGAGCCATGTGACCCATTCTCGCCTTCATGAACGGCCCACGGAAGCAGATGCCACAGAGCTACCTCTGAGTCTGACATCCCTTCAGGTGGCTTCAAGTGTCTCAAGATTAACAACTAATTCCTTCAGAACTGCCTTTTTTGGTGTTCTGTTTTGTTGTCCTTTCCTGCAGCTCCGGTTAGGACGGTTGGCTACTCACGGTGCGAACGAAGTTCGACATCTGTACATGCCGCCCCCTTCCCACCTCCACCCCTGTGCCACCGGTGTCAGCATCGCGCACCTGAGCCGCTCCTCCAGCTCGGCGATGCGGGCCTGCATGTCGCGGGCATCCTCCTGCGCGGCCTGCATGCTGGCGTCGTAGCGTGCGCGGGCCGAGCTCAGGGCGCCCGACGCCTCCTCCGTGTCGCGCAGCCGCTCACGCAGCGACTGGATGAGCGACGCATGCCGGGCGCCGTTCTCACGGTGGGATTCCAGCTCGGCACGCAGCTCCTGCGTCGCCGACTCCTTGGCCGCCAGGCGCCCACGCAGCTCCCGCAGCTGTTTGAGAGGTATCGGGGGTGGCGGGGGGGGGGGGCGTGGGAAGAGGAGGAGGAGAAGGAAGGGCATCCATGTGCCACCGAGCGAGAGACAAAATTTGTTCACACACAGGCGCGACGCGAGGATTGTTTCTCCATAAGAGATTTGTTTTTAGTTCGATCGCGTAAATAGAAATCTGTCGTTAAACTCTCCACCCCACCCGTGAGGTTTGTCATGTAAACCGAAAATGCCAATTCTTTTGCAACTCACCGGCGAGTTGAAATGACAATAAGCTGGCACGCTGAATGCTTGCACACGTGACCGTGTAATTTGTTTGGACGTGTAGGGTGGCGAAGGGTCCTGACGCACGTTTGGTGAGATAATTTTGGTGGAATCACAGGCGAGATGAGGCGCCGATTTCGAACTCCTGGTACATTTCAGCCGCTGCTAGAGGCTGCTCCCACCATGGGCAGCCGCTGCCGCATTGGTGGCCGAAACCGCGTGCAGTGAGCTGGCTGCCATGCAGCTCGCGTTCAAAGAAAGACCACTCAGGAGGCACGAAGAGGAACCACAGACGAGCAGGAATGCTGCCAAATCATGAGCCGGTGCTGACAATTACCTAAGATTTACGGTCCTGTACATGTTAAGCTGTTATCAGCCAGTTGATGAGCGTTTACATATGGGAGGAAATCTGAGCACCAGGATGAAATCCCATTGTGCGAGGGGGAAACATTATATCCCATACAGATGGAATAGGTTATGTCCACATTTTTGCTGCACTGCATTCTCCTGGCTAGCCAGGGTACGGCTCCTTGATGCCCACGGGAAGCGAATTTCACAACATTTGTGTAATCCACCAACCCTTACCTCGACGGTCCTGGATTGCAGGCGTGCGTCACCACCACGTGATTCATACATGCACCAAGCGATGCATGTACGGTGAGCATAGGAATCGATTTTAATCGACGAGTCGTTAGACACACATTCATGAATACCGCAATTCCATAAACCATAGAACCTCAATACAGTATGTACCCGAGTTGACCCCTACACCACAAACAACACCCTGCATTCCCATATTCTTAGACAGCTCAAGTTGGCTGCCAAGTTGGGTAAGAGTCTGATTTCTTTGCGATGATTTCATCTCACGGTCTGGCCAAAATTCCAACGTCAGAATTCACGCCGAGTGGAAGTACTTCACCTAGCAAGCCAATCGAAAAATGTGCAGGCGGGGAGAAGATTTCACTTTACGTCTGGCGTAGTGAGTGACCTGCCGCAGCGTACGTGATGACTTGAGTCATTTTTGTAAAATCATGGAGATGCCATTTCCCCCCTCCCCCCACCACTACCACCAACTCAAATTGTCCTTCAACTCGAGGTCTGGAGACAACTCCGGCCTACCCAGGTGGTTCACTCGAGCAAACATGAACCGACCCGTCCATGGACGTGCGGTGTGGGTCATCCCGGGCTGTGGCCTCCTCGCAAGGCTGCATCACGAAGCGTCGTCTCGCGTAGCGGCACACCCACGGACAACTCTCGTCGTGGAAAATTTGCTTTCCACTTTCATTCCAAGTTCACTCATTTCGGGAAGCTAAATTGATTGCAAACAAAATCACGATTCTGTAATATTACATTATTACATGTATGAAAACTGAATGGCACATTAGCGTTCACGAGTTACCAACGTTCCCCCCACGTCCCCCACCTTCACCCGCCCCCCCATCGTGGTTGCGTCTCTGGCCACAAAAAGACAAACATGCCCTGCATAGTCTTAACATACTGTTGGGGCAAGTGCTGTTAGTGAGCCCCTTTGAAGGCTGGCACACGAGGGGGTGGGTGGCCAGCACCACGGCCGGCCGCCTTTGTCTCCCCAGTGGCGATGTTTACTACACACCGCACCGCACCAGGCCCTCATCTGAGGCTGAGTCGACCTAGACCGAAGCCCGGAACCGATTGAGACAATCGTCGCCGGTGTTTGGCAGCCGTGGGCGGCAATCGAACCGGGGCGGCCGCAGAGGTCTCGTAGCCCTCTCCGGCCGCCCCCACGCATCGTCACGCTCCGCCGTCCTCACCTCCGCCTCGAGCCCCTCCTGCTTGACCTGCATGGCGGCGAGCTCGCTGCGTGCCGTCTCCGCCGCCGTGCGGTAGTGGCTGCCCGACAGCAGCTCGCGCGACGGCGCCGCGGCGGCCTCCAGCAGCGGCTCGAACGTCACCTTGCGCGGCGAGGAGCGGGGAGGGGAGCGGGGATTCGTCTCAGCCGCGTTTGGCCGGGGAAATTCTTTCCAGCCTGCACATCACGACCACTCGTCGCGTGCATGCTCAGTGAACCGGAAACTTGGAGCATTTTTCCGCACCCTGCACACCACATCCAGTGTACCTCCTCTCGCTATGTTCATTAGTCACGTGCATACTCTTTTGTCTACCAGCCACCTGGAGAAATTGCCGCACTCTGGACACCACATCTGCTATACTATGGCTGCGCGTTTACTAGTCACGTGCTGCCTACTCCAGCATACCAGCGATGCTTGTTAATATTCTGTTAATCCCGTGGGGGGGGGGCGCCCCGTGAGATGCAGACCACTATTCGATCATGACCGTACCCCGGCAGCCCATCACTAGGGCCATCATCACCACCGTGACCGCCAGCCACATGCTCCCAGGTGCACGCCCGCTTGTGTAAACACACGCACACACACCTGGCGCATGGGCTTTAGCCGTAAGGCATTTTTACTTGTTAGGAGGTTATCTACATATCATTGCAAATGGTAAAGTGCTATGCTAGCATAATGCAGTCATTAAAAAACTGACGGATTTCCAGCGATCGGATGCCATGACCAGGCAAGAGTGGTCTTTCTACCGTGGCTGTAAGATAGAATGTGCACATATATATTATTTACATGTTTTAAAAAAAGCCATGGGTGTTTTAAAAAAATAAGGACAAAAATAGTTTAATAATGATTATCATTCATGCTTTTTCAATTTGTAATGTGCCGCACAGCATTCGCTCGCTCTCGAAGAGAGAGGACTGCTCAGATGTGTGAGGAACCACAGACAAGCGGGAAGACAGCAGCCAGGCGGTGTGTTGGTGCCAACAATTTCCCAAGCTCTGCAGTCCTTTATATATTAAAGGTGTTTTTTTGCAGCCGATTAATTTGCACGTGGGAGGAAACCGGAGCACCCGGAGAAAACCCAACACTCTATCCCATACAGACGGAACAGATGGAGTCCACATTTTGCTGTACTGCATTCTCCTCCTAGCAAGCCAAAGTATGGCACCTCAACGCTCACCGGAAGGAACTTTTTGGCATTTGTGTGATCCACGAACCCTCGCCTCCACAGTGCTGGGTTACAGATGTGCGCCACCATCACCCGGTAATAATAGTGAGCCCGATTTATAGCGCGTAGAGAAATATAGCGCAGCAAGTCATTAACACAAGTTAGAGGCACAGATTATGATGATGATGACAGCATGAATCTGGTCTTTCAAAAAAGGCTGCAATAATGTTGTGATAATAACTCCGAAAATCAAGTCCAGCTGGTTAACACATTTTGTATTTTAATTGCCACAGATTATCGAGTGTCAGGATGTAATATAGTTTAAAATAATAAAAACACCCAGCGTAAATTCCTAAGTTCGGTGCGTGAGTTCATATATTCACTCATTTATTTATTCTGGAGGATCATGTTCGTAATGGCACATCTGTTGAATTCCTGTATGGTAATCGCACTCAGCAGTGATCCCCCGTATAGCTTTAACAGACTGTTGGGACAAGTGCCGTGAGCGAACACCTATGAAGAGGTGGGTGGGTGGACAACACCACGCCCGGCCGCCTTTGTTTCCCCAGTGGCGATGTTTACACATCACACCAGGTAACAATTTGAGGCTGAGTCGACCTAGGGGAAGCCCAGGACCGATTCAGATCATCGCCACTGGTGTTGGCCGTGAGCGGGAATCGAACTCGGGGTCGCTGGGTTCATAGCGCAGCGTGCTGATTGTTGCACCACCGCTCCCCACGCGCACGAGAAGCTACAATCAACTTGCTTTTTTTTTTAAGCTGAGCACCGCCACTCGCAACTTGTTGCAGAGGGTTTTGCCCTTCGTGCCCGGTGGCCATCCTGGTAAATAATGTGGTCTGCATTGAGCCGAGAAAAAACACGCGCCGCTCGCTTCGCAGCGAGAGAAGGGTCAAGGCCTTGTGTGCCAGGCGTCACGGTCCAAAGTTACTTTGACGGGTTTTAAAATATTCCCGCGAATTACCTCATTAGCAATAAACTCAACACGCTCGTCAACGACGCTGCCTTGTTGTTCAGGGGTGTGTTGAGTCGTTGCTACACTGCGCCATTGCAACATTTCTCCCGGGTGCCAGACTTCACCCTTCAATGAAACAGCGCCTTCATAATAACCTTGTGCAACGATAATGAGCCTAATACCAAATGTGCTAATTATTCTCACTTCTATAATTATGATGATGCCCCCCCCTCCCCGACACACTGTTGACCGTAGAGACCATGTAAGGGCCCAGATGCGCAGCTCTGGCCGCAGCCGTTCATTCCTAACGATTAGACGGACGTGGCAAGCCAGTTGCGTACGCCAGCAAGCGCGTTGATGATCACCGCCAGGTCCTGCGCGGCGTTCCCAGCACAGCGATGCTATGAACCTCGTAAAGTCCAACTAGCGCAGTTGTTCTCGTAAGCTGGGGGTGCGAGATGCCCTTTGTGGGGGTGCAAGACATGGGCAGGTTTTTTTTTTAGACGGTAAATCATCGAAACACAAATTATGCACGGGCACGTAAATACAATTTACTTTTGATTTAAAGCTTTCGTGACTGCAGGGATTCATATTCTTGGTTCTTTCGGTAAAGTCACGTAGAAGGGAATAATTAAATAATAAAAATTTCAAACAAAAAAATTCTCACGACGTTTCGACTGCAACACATGCAGTCTGATGATGATTGCGTGTGTTTGTAGTCGAAACGTCGTGATAATTTTATTGTTTTATATTTTTATTATTTTCCTTCTACGTGACTTTACCGAAATAACCAAGAATACAACTTGCTTTGTTTCATCAAGCCCTATGTATGTATTAACATTACACATTGTTTAACGATCGAGAGCCAAAGGGGTACAAGGCTGCAGTAAAGGTTAAGAACCGCTGGACTAGAGGATGGCTTGGGTCGCTTAAAAGGCTGGCCTGCAGTGAGACGTGACATATAGCTAAACAAATATACAGAAACTGGCCAAAGGAAATGAATGTGGAAGGCCTGCGCGTGTATAAGTTTTGGTTTTCCACCATGGCTACGGGAACAACAGAAAGCGCCATACAATATAACTGGAATTGGCCAAAAATCCTAATGCTGAAAAAGAACCTGAAAATCGCTGAATTGGGGCTACGCACAGCAACAACAGCGCCCCCTTCCTACGAAAACATTCCAGTAACCCTCCTGAAGAACGAGCATTGAAGAGTCAGTGAGGCTCTCCTGGAGAAACAAGAATAATAATTAAAATAAACTGGCCGAATAATAGTCATGTACGTGTCTTTGAGTTAGTTGCGTGTGTTTGCGTAAGTCATGTGTTGTGATGTTTGTATGCCCACGGAGTGGGGAGCGGTGGTGTAGCGGTTAGCGCGCTGCGCTACGAACCCGGCAACCCATGTTCAATTCCCGCTCACGGCCAACACCAGTGACGATTATTTGAACCAGTCTTGGGCCTCCCCTAGGTCGACTAAGCCTCAAATGAGTGCCTGGTACGGTGTGTAAACATCACCACTGGGGAGACAAAGGCGGCCGGGCGTGGCGTTGACCACCCACCACCTCGTGTGCCGTTCCGGCCTTCATATGTGCTCGCTAACAACACTTGCCCCTACAGTCTGTTAAGGCGATATGGGGGATCTTTGTCTTTGTGTGTTTTTGTGTGTCATACGTGTGAGCATGAGCATGTGCGAAATAAGTTCTGCATACATGCGTATTACAATGTGTGGGTTTGTTGTGTAACGCCTGTTTGTGTAATTCATGTGAGATTGTTTGTGTGTGCGCGGAGGTTTAATGCTGGCACAGGTAAATCCTCATTGGGCAATAAATGCAAATTTTCCACGGGGACCCGGTACCACAATAGAGACCTGGTTACGGCAAAAAAAAAAATAACTAACAAAAAAGCAAGTCTGGTCAAACAAAATCATGCGGCCGGGCGTGGTGCTGGCCACTCACCCCCTCGTGTGCCGTGCCGGCCTTCATAGGCGCTCGCTAACAGCAATTGCCCCCAACAATCTGTTCAGCCTATATGGGGGATCTTTGCCTTTGTGTGCGTGTCTTTGTGTAAGGCGTGCGCGTGGTTTTGTAAGTCTTGCGTCGTATAGACACGGCACACATGGTTACTACTAAACAACGCCTGGCTGTCGCAATCAGTGCTTCGATCGATAGCTGTGCTGTGACGTACAGCATAGGCACGGGTCAGGTCAGGTTAGGGTCATGGGTATACACCAAACGGCTTTCTCATTGGTGGTCGATGAAGACCGCACGCTCATTCTGCATCGCTAATCATTCTAGAACAGGGGTCGGGAACCTTTTTGACTGGGAGAGCCATAAAAGCCAAATATTTCTAAATATATTTCATTGAGAGCCATATAGTATTTTTAACGTATAATAAATGAAATATGTCTTACTTTTAATGCGACTTCTGGTGCTACATGGTTTTGCTGATGGCCTTGTAGTCTGGTTCAAAACGTGGTGAGGTTGAGCTTCGTGCAGGCGTGACCCGTGAAATTTATCTTCAAAACTAATTTCTGTTTACTTTAAAATGACACAGTATTATTAAGCAAATATCACACGTATTTTAAAATCAGTTCCAAACTGATTTTTATTTTTTTATTTTTTTATTATTATTTTTTCAACTCAATATTGTCTGGGAGCCATATGCCGTCACCGGAAGAGCCATATATGGCTCGCGAGCCATAGGTTCCCGACCGCTGTTCTAGAAGGTAAGAAGCTGGTAAAAGCGTAGCCCTGCACATTCTAGCTCACGCCGCTCCTGGAGGAGGCAGTACGGAAGAAATTTGCAGTCCACGTGTTTTGTATGCATGGGATATAGTGTTTCCCCCTCGCACACGAGGGTTTTTCTCCGGGTGCTTCAGCTTCCTCCCACACGCAGCACTCATTAATTGGCTGACAACACCCCAATGTATAGAGGACGGCAGAACTTGGGCACATTTTAGTGTCAGCTCATCGCGTCGCCGCTGCCTTCCTGTCCGTCTGTGATTCCTCCTCGCGCCCCTGAGTCGTTCTCTCTCTTCGAGAGCGAGCGAATGCTGTGCACGATGGCACGTTACAAGTTGAAATGTATCCGTTGCACAGATTCAAAGTAAATGAAGAGGCTGCACAAGCATGATATAAAACTTGTCTTGTGTTATTATTACGGACGTGTTGTGATGAGTGTGGCGGTGACTGGGATTGTTCAGAAGTCGGAGATTAAACCAGCTTCTCAATCGTCACGAGCTATTGGTCTCAAGCCCAGCAATAAATAACTGCTCGTAAAACCATGGTGTTAAATGTATACTTTTCCCTTAAATGTAGCTTCAGAGCAGCTTTGAGAATTAATATATATTCTGGCAAAGAATGTGGGAAAGTGTGCCCGTGTGTATAAAAGAGGTCGCTGTAAATACATCTCCGAGGTAGTTCTATGATGACATGTTCTGCGGAGCCTTTCTCTGTCACGTGAGGTAATGATTCGCTGCTCTGCGAGAGTTCGCAACTCATCACGCTGCCTCATGACTTGACGCCCATCGCGTAAGCGGAGTACAAATTGGAGAAAAGGCAAAATAAGAAAAGATGTGTGTGTGCGTGGTCACCATTTACCTTCGCGCCTGAGGAACTGCTCCTTCTCCAACAGAAGAAACAAGGAGGTGAGAATTAGCATCGGATGAGCATTCACATTCACACACATTTCCTGCTGGGATGACACGGCCGTAATAACTGGTTTGCACGATGCAGCCGAATTCGCAATGTGTGTCAACAGCACTTGTTTAACCATGCCACGTGATTAACTCGAGAGACATGAAAGCGTTTACGTGAACAAGCTGAGAGCCCAAAGTGAGACTCTCATTGTCAAGGGAGACCTGGGAATTTAAAAGTACAGCATTATAAATACAAGCAAATAGTTACGGAGTTCTGTTTTGTTTTATTTAAATGAGCTACAAATTATTAATTGGATATACAGGGTGAATAGATACCCCGCTAAATAATACATTGTAGCTGTTCTACAGGAAACAACATTTTATTTCAAAGTCTCCACACGTCTCCCTTTCATCTTAATGCAAATATTAAACCTACGGTCTCATCTGCAAGACACGGGGCCATCATCGCGCTCACAGTATCCACTCAGATGTTGAGAAGAAAGCAAGAGGCTCATTAGAAATCAGAGGGGATTCTATCAACATCTAACTCTGTGCGGTTACACTCTTTTGAAATGAGGCTGAGTGACTGCTAAATTCAGCACTGCGGGGCAATTGGTGACTTGTACTGCACGTGGCGACTACTCCCAGCACTGCGGACGCGATGGTCGGTGGATCACCGCCACAGATGTTGTGAAACTTCCCTTACACCCCCGTGGGCGTCCAGGAGATGCCGTACTCTGGCTCGCCAAAAATGTGGACTCCACGTCTTCGGTGTGTATGGGATAGAGTGTTTCCCCCTCACGTGCCGTGGGTTTTCTCCGGGTGCTCCAGTTTCCTCCCACATTGATTGATAACACCTTCATGTACAGAGGACCGCAGAGCTTGGACAATCGTTGGTGCCGGCTCCTCACCGCGTGGCTGCTGCTGCCTCCCCACTACACTGTGCGGCGCCGCATTACGAGTTGACATTACGGTTTTATAATTGGCGACATGTAGACACCAAACCCAACAATGCCTTCACGATGCCGCTTCTCCCACGTGGCCAGAGGCAGGTGCCTCTGAGAGTCACTACGCTTGCGATGCAACACGATTAAGAGATCTACCTTCGCCCACCAGGCAATTTCGGGCCATCAATTCCTCTTCCCTCGAGCTATTCTGTCTAATGAAAGCTACGCCGTAACCATCTCCACCGGGAAAGGGGCTCGCTCGGCACACACGTGTGCGTGTGCTGTAGCAGGATGAAATAAATCCGCGGCAGAATAAATTATAAATTATGTTAATGTTGTAGGCCCATATATGGAGTAATTTGTCGTGGCTTTGCCCATATAAGGAATACTGCAACGTGTGTATGTGTTCCAGCATGGATCAATCATGGATCAAGCTGTGATAATTCATGATTTCTGGATCTAAAGAGACGATTTGTGAATTGAATTGGCCCATATTAGGCCGCCCCTTGACGCTGATTGGCTTCCTTCAGAATTAACATCATTTATCATTCATTCTGTCGCGGATTCATTGTATCCTGTTACAGCGCGCCGCATGACACTTTGCCGGGCCGTCATCATATTCCACTTTTGAAACTCAATATCGTCGAGAAGCCACAGATGGAGAGCTCGGTGCACCGCGCCCGACGCGTCACCATCATTTATTCATCGCTGCATTTGAATATGTACCCACGAGGATCCTGCACCGTGATGATCTCCTCCAGTGGAGTAGAGTAGTAGTCGCGTGGTTAGCATGGGCCCTGGTGGAAGGTACGAAATGCCCCCCCCAACCCTCCCTGTTCATCCCCCCAACCCCCTCTGCGTAGTGCAGTGCCTTAGCCCCACTAGGCCCGTGGGCCCCGGTGAAGTTGCACTGCCTGCACTCGACGGCTACGCCACCGCTAATTCCACTTAAATGTCGAAATTTAGTTTTTCTTGGAAATAAATCTGAATATCTGAAGAGTAGAAAAAAAAAACCCACCATGCACTCGAGGGGATAAAGTCTGCAACAGACGGGCTCATGAATCTACTTGCTGTACTGCCAACCCAATGGCCATCTGGCTCAGAGGTTTGGACTTTCACAAATCTGTACGTGATCCACCAACCTTTGATTCCAAAGCACCGCTTTGGTTATAGTCTTTTCTTTAAAAGAGTCGCCTTAAAGCACAGATGATTTTTTCCAATTTAGTTCATCCCCATTTGTTGTGTATATTGTCCGCAATGCATTGCTTTGAACACTGTACTTGGTCTGCAATCACTTCCTTTACGGAGTAATTATCTCAAATTTTCCTTTGTTTCGGCCCCCGAGATTTATTGCATGGGAGGCGCTGCATAAATAATAACAAATGATGATGATGGTGATGATGATGATAATGAGAGGCATGCAGCCACCACACGTGGATGAAGCCAGCTCGTCGTCGGCGCTAACGAAGTGGATCGGCTCTACCTGCCGGCTGAGAGGGTGGCGATCATCTCGTCCTTCTTCTCCATTTGCCTCTTGTACATCTTGAGCTGCTCCTGCATCTGCAGGCGGTGACACAGCCACGCAAAGCAGCCGTAAGCAGCGGGTATATCAACAACAACAACAGCAGCCGCCGCCGCTATTCACCACTAAGTCAGAATAAGAATATTTATTTATACTGGAGGAATCCGATTAGCTATACAACTCTTGTTCGCGGATGTCCAGTGGTGGCGGCGACATCGCCACGGCGCCTGTGCACGTTGAGGCCACGTGGAGTGTCGATGGCTCACTGACAGGTTACGGGACAGACCTAAGGTGCCATGGGTTGACTGAGATGACTGGCAGATGCACCAACTGTGCCCCCTACTGTGCCAACTTGCTGAGTTTTAGCCGCCCGGTACCCCGCTCGTTATCATGCGCACAGCCAGGCGTGCGTGACTGACTTATATGTCAAATATAATTACTGTCCGTCCTATGATAGTCGTGCGTTGGTATGTTCAGTCAATTCCATGTTTCAGTGTTATGATACTCTCCAACACACTGGTGTGCCGAAGTAGGAACAGATTGGTACGTTGTACTGACGTGACGAACCTTACTAATTGGCTGTGTCGGGTGGTGGTGGTGGGTTATTCTTGGTTCTTTCGATCTAACCCAAGAAAATGTATTATGAATATTGGTCGCCAAAGCCTCCGTGTTAAACTGACCAAACACGTATAAAGCACTCAGCCTTCGTGCACTCATGATGCCAAACAACACCACCAGCTTTCCCTGAAGAGTTGGAATATGGTCCCCTTGTCCGAGGCCACCATCAAAAATGAATTGGAGTAAATCTTCGTACAGCGGGATGGAAAAGCAACAGTTGAAACGCGTTAATGTTGAATTCTAAAAAAATCTGTCTAGCAACCCAAGGAGGTGCAGTAGAGGCCGATGAATTATCGAGGAAACCAAAGCACCACAATGAACTTCTTCAAGACATCGTTGTGTTGAAAAAAAACAAAGTTAGTGATTTCCTACGCATGTATGTTGAACTTCTTTTGCACCGTACATAGCCAAACCGTGCTAATCGGCAATGAGCATTGGACACGTTATACCTGGGGGAGAGCATCCACATACACATCGATCTCTGCACTGCAAGCGCCTGACCACCTCGCAGTCCATTATCATAAAATGTCAACAGCACGCGGAGTGTGCCACCCACGTGACCGCGCTACGTGTGCAGCTCTCGTGTCAATCCACTGCTGGATGGGGTCCTCCGCACGCATTGGCGGGTCGTGTGGTGGGGTGGGTCTATTTGACCAGCGCGGGTTTCGACTTGCGAGTAGCGTCAAAGTAGAGTGCAGTACAACAATCCCGCACTGCCCTCTGCTGCACAACACGTGGTGCCGCAGTGCTGTGGGCTTGTAAACCACCCGGCCTCCTTGCTTGATGGGGTCGCCCATCCACGCGCGACCCAGGCTAAACCCCTGCTTGTCCGCTTCGCTTAGAACCCTCGACGTCCGGTGACTTCTGGCTGACTCCCGGCGATGTGTTCACGACTGCAGCTGAGCAGCGTCTCGTCGTCGTGGGTCGTCGTCAGTCGTCGCTGTGGCGTGGTGTCAACTTTGGCGCGGGGAGAGCAAACCGGTTTTAAAGCAACGGTTGAGGATGCGTCTTAATAAGCCGATCCGATTTATAGACGGTAAATTGCAGCTTTGTTGACACCGGGGGGGGAATACGTTTAGGGTGTGCGTCTTACTTTCCGGAGCGTCTTATAATCCAGAGAATAGGGTAGCACTTATTATTTTTATTGGGCGCCTCTGTGTCTGTGCAGTGTCCCTGAGTGACGTGCAGAGCAACAGGACTTGCTGATTAAGCAGACAATTCAAATAGCCTGGGTAATGAGATTATTTTGATTATTTGGCCGCTATCAATTTGCATCATTTCTTAAAAGGAAACTAATATTCTAGCTATACTTGGTCAAATAAATTAAAGTATAGTTTAATTTGTATGTTATTTTAGTGATTTGCTTACCTTTCTTATATTTCGCACTCCTATCGTATAATTGTCGTTGTAATGTGCTCACCAGCTCCGACTGGACATCTGTGACAAAGAGCTTTATAGCTCATCGTATTCATCAAGTATAAATACAAATTCTGATTCCGAATTAGCCAGGGATGGGCTGGGACTCGGTCAGGGTCTCCTCCCGAATGGCTCCTCATTAAGTAGGCCCCCTGCACTACCAAACACAGTCACCATTTCTCCAATAAAACATCAAACCCGATTTAAGAGCTTCTTCACTCACAGGATAATTAAAAATAAACCGTTACTCAATTAAATGACTACTACGTCTAGTCCCAAGAATCAAGTTTTTTGTATTATTTAAGAGGAAGCCCTCTTTTGTTAGATTATTCGGTCAGTTTCTCTTCGAGTGATTCAGAAAATTCACAACCAGGGCTGAATTATCAACCGGAGCTCCTGATATCGAGGGGATAACACTCAAGGGACGATATAAACTAGATCACGAATCCACGTACAGTACCGCACTCCCATACGTTCACAAATCGGAACAGATAGAGCATTAGCCCACTTGCTCTACTGCCATTTCCAAATTTTACATATAAAAAGTTATTCTTGTTTTTTTCGGTGAAGTCACGTAGAAGGGAAACAATAACATAATAAAAAAAATATTCCCTGCAGTCACGAAAGCTTTAAATAAAAAATATATATATTTATTATCTTGCGAAATCTCTAGCAAACGAGAGTATCCGCAGAAGCCCACCGCGCATACACAAGACGGAGTGGCAATCGAAGGTTCTAACAGACGGGCTCACACAACTCACTTGCTGGACTGCCACATCCTGGCCACCTCGCAGCCGCGCAAACCGGTTCGGAAGTTTCACAAATCTCGACCTCGTCATCCACCAATCCCTGCCTCCAGAGCAGAGGTCGCAAACGGGTTTTGATTCCTTACCCGTACCCGGCCGCACCAGGGTCACAAAGGGGTACCCGTGCCCGTTCCCTACCCGTACCCTACCCTAAATGAGTGACAAACGGCTACTCACCAGTGACTCACGGCCTACCCGTACCCGTACCCGGCCGCACCAGGGTCGCAAACGGGTACCCGTACCCGGCCGGGTACGGGTAGCCGGGTATCGGGTAGGGTACGGGTACCCGGTTGCGACCTCTGCTCCAGAGCGCCGGAAAAACACGTGCGCTAGACCGGCCCCCACCACGCGTTCTTGAACCAGCCACTTAATTACGGGGCGCAATGAAATAGATTAACGGTGGCTCCCACGGATGGTTGAGATGCCGTCGTGGTTGTAACAGGCGGTTTCTATCTCCGGGCGTGGCAGCTGAAACGATGGTGCAAATTGTCTTGACATCCCCTCCACCGGGCAGTGTTAATGGATAGTCGATCTGCACAGTTAGTCGATCTGCAGGTCGCGTCTGGTGGGGTAAAGTGTGCGTACTCCTCACCTCTCGCGAAATGCCTGGCGAGCACGGAAGAATAGGCCAAATACGTGGTGGAGAACCTTCCGCCAGCAGGGGGCGTGAGCAGGTAATTGCAGGGCTGCCTTACCTCGTCACAGCCGCTCCCTGATCCACGCAATTTCCCCATCATCGATCTCCACGCTCCTCTCGTATCAACCCTTCCCATCTGTTTTGGTCTCAACTACCGCACTGCAGGTGACACGCCAACTCTCTCGCTGCTCCTTACCCCCCCCCCCCCCCTGCACTGCTCCACTTTGTAACTGCACTTTGTAAGATGTTTTCTTGTTCATGTATTTTTTTGTTGTGGTTGCACCCGATTCAAGAGCCGAATGGCTCACATGGCTATATCTAATAAATGAACTTGAACTTGAACTCCGAGCCCGTAACTGTTCCAGCCTTGCTCAATTCAAGAAACGTCATTGCGCGGATGTATGTTGAACTTCTTTCGCGCCGTACGTAGCCGAACCGTGCTTATCTATTACAACTTTAAGCATCCGTTGGACATCTGTGAAACAGTGCTTCACAGCTCATCGGATTTACTCCAGAATAAACAAAGGTTCTGATTGTGATTAATAGTGCTGTTTGTTGTTGACCCCTTGTTGATTTGGGCCTCAGCAAACGCGATTTTAAAAATAATCATCCTCCCCTCTCTCTACGTCGTTCTCTCTCTCTCCATTCTCTCTCCACTCCACCCTCCATCCATCCGCCGCTCGCTTACCTCTGACACGCTGCGCCTGAGTCCAGGAGATGCGGGACGCGAGTGGCCAGGTGACCTGTATCCCGACGACAGCAGCAGATCGTGATTGCTGTTCGCGTCAATGCGCCGCGAACCGCCACCTGCCCTTCCTGCTGCTGCTGCTTGCGACGCCTCTGAGCGCTCAGAAGTCCTGTACGTGTTGGACATCGTTCGATCGTGCCGTGTGCGAGTGACAGAGATTGATTGAGCGCTGAATGAAAGAGCCTCAGAGAGAGAGAGAGAGGGGTGAGGAAGGGAGCGCGACACTCGGCGAAGTGAATGATGAGATGAGTCCCAAGAGCGAAATTGTATTTGATAATGATGATGATGAAGACGATAGTGCTCGTGATTTCAGTAACCCCAACGTGGACACAACTCGCTGATGATGATGACTTCAGTAACAGCACCGTGGCCACTACTTGCTGATGATGATGATGATGACTTCAGTAACAGCACCGTGGCCACTACTTGGTGATGATGATGATGACTTCAGTAACAGCACCGTGGCCACTACTTGGTGATGATGATGATGACTTCAGTAACAGCACCGTGGCCACTACTTGGTGATGATGATGATGACTTCAGTAACAGCACCGTGGCCACTACTTGGTGATGATGATGACTTCAGTAACAGCACCGTGGCCACTACTTGGTGATGATGATGATGACTTCAGTAACAGCACCGTGGCCACTACTTGGTGATGATGATGATGACTTCAGTAACAGCACCGTGGCCACTACTTGCTGCTGATGATGATGACTTCAGTAACAGCACCGTGGCCACTACTTGCTGATGATGATGACTTCAGTAACAGCACCGTGGCCACTACTTGCTGATGATGATGATGACTTCAGTAACAGTACCGTGGCCACTACTCGCTGCAGTTGCTCACGATGATGATGATAATGGTATCAATAACACTAATGATGTTAGTGACACCGCCGTGGCCACTGCCTGCTGTTGTTGCTGCTGATGCTGCTGATGATGGTGATGATGTGACGGAACAGCGTCTCTCGTTGCTATGGTGCGAGCACCAACACCGGCGAGGCGAGGCGGGGCCGGGTGGCTCCCGCACCTCGCCTCGACCTCCCCCGCACGCCGCGCGTGGCCGGGCTGGGTACTGGACGAAGGCGACCTTGGGATTGGGAACAAATTAAACTCGAAACAAATATTTGAGAGTTGCCAGTGAAAGCCCGCTGAGCTATTAGATTTGTATTCTTATTCTTCTTATTGAGCAAATGCGCGCCGTAATACCCTAACCTGGTGACGCGGTTTCGATTCCCGCTCACGGCCAACACCGCTGATGATTATCTGAACCGGTCCTGGGCCTCCCCTAGGTCGACTCAGCCTCAAATAAGTGCCTGGTGTGATGTATGAGCATCGCCACTTGGGAGATAAAGGCGGCCGGGCGTGGTGTTGGCCACCCACCCCCTCGTGTGCCGTGCCGGCCTTTATAGGTGCTTGCTAACATCACTTGCCCCAACAGCCTGTAAAGGCTATACGGGGGATCTTTGTCTGTGTGAGTGCTCCCGTGTGCGTGTCTGTGTGTGTGCGTGAAGTGTGTGTCCCCGTGTGTGTCTGTATGTGTGTGTGTCCGTGTGTGTCTGTGTGTGAGTGCCCCCGTGTGTATGTATATGTGTGTGTGATTGTGCTGGGGAGCGGTGGTGTAGCGGTTAGCGCGCTGCGCTATGAACGCGGCAACCCGAGTTCGATTCCCGCTCACGGCCAACACCAGTGACGATTATCTGAACCGGTCCTGGGCCTCCCTTAGGTCGACTCAACCTCAAATGATTACCTGGTGCGTGTATTTAAACATCGCCACTGGGAAGACGAAGGCGGCCGGGCGTGGTGCTGGCCACTCTCCCAACCCCCTTGTTTACCGTTCCGGCCTTCATTTCATAGGTGCTCGCTAACAGCACTTGCCCCTACAGTCTGTTAAGGCTATACGGGGGTTCTTTGTATTCGTGCTGATTATTTGCACCCTTTCGACCAGAAAACCAGCAAGGCGAGACGACCGAACCTGATGGCGGAACCCCGGGGGTCCCATAAGCCCCCGGGGGTCCCATAAGCCCCCGGGGGTCCCATAAGCCCCCGGGGGTCCCATAAGCCCCCGGGGGTCCCATAAGCCCCCGGGGGTCCCATAAGCCCCCGGGGGTCCCATAAGCCCCCGGGGGTCCCATAAGCCCCCGGGGGTCCCATAAGCCCCCGGCTCTCGCATTTTGAGTTAAATGAATGCTTCCATTTTTTGTCAAACCGTAACACATTTCTTAACACTCATTGTATAGGCATTTAAATACAGTACATTGTTGTGCTCCGATTTACGAACCATTCAACTTACGAATGGATCCCAGGAACGAATTATGTTCCCTAGTGGAGGAGTTAAGAAGAGTCATGAGACTCAGTGAAACAATTTTTTTTTAAGTGTGAGAATATAAACCGCTTAAGTGAGCGTGAAACAATATACCCAGCACGGCACTCGTGCCATGCTGGGTGCACTATTGAGGCCACGTGAAGTGTCGAAGGCCCGCTGGCAGGTCACAGGACAGACGAGATGTTAACTCCCTTGCCTGGTATGCAGGTGGTCGTGGGTTCGATCCTAACCCTGACGCTTGTTTATTTGGAGTGTGCATGTCCTCTCTCCCCGGGGTCGCGTGGATTTTTCTCCGGGTCCTGCGGCTTTCCCCTCCACAGTTATAATCAAGACGCGTTTAGAGTATTTGGCTGCTGTACATTTCCACATGGCAAGCCACCACTTCATTGAGTGATCACTTGTGGCCAGGTCGCTTATATAAAAAAGAGCTATATAGCTCAAAGAGCCTGACCTGATAAAAAAAACCCACTAGTTTCATAGTTTAGTTCAATAGCCACAGGTGCCATGGGTTGACTGAGATGACTGGCAGATAAACTCAACTAAAACTATTTTTACTTTACCAGTTAAGGCCCACTGAGCCATATAGCTGCTTTTCAGAAGCGAATTGGTCACAAATGATAGCTCAACGAAGTGGCTCATCCTGTGGAAATGTATAGCAACCAAATACTTGAAACCCACGTCGCGTCTAAATGTGGAGGGAAAACCCGGAGAACGCGGAGAAAAATACACGCAACCACGGAGAGAGAGAGAGACACGCAATTACATTGACAGTGCATCGGGGTCCGGATCGAACCCACGACCTCCTGTATACCAGGCGAGGTAGTTAACATCTCACCACCGCGGCGACCCACCTGGGCTCCCCACTGTGCTAAATTCCTGCGTTTTACCTGCCCGACAGCTCTTTCTGCTCGTTGTTATGAACGTCGCTCATCTTGCCACTCACCCCACCCACCCCTCGCACCCCACCCCCCCCAAACCCATCCCTCCCCACCCCCCCCCCCAAACCCATCCCTCCCCACCCACCTCTGTCTTCTCACATGCTCATGTACGCCAACATCATCCCCACCACCCACCCGCCCCAAACACTATCCCACACGACATTGGGCCGCCGGTGTTACATAAAGAGCCGACGTCAGTCTCGGAGCGCCTGGGCGCCGGTCACTTCGGCCAGGATTTGCGAGCGGTCATGCAGGACGACGGCTCTGCCAAGCGCGTGGCCATCGTCGGAGGCGGCCCGGTCCGTGAGTCTCCGGGTTTCACGTGGAAGTTCGTCGACTTAGACTGTGACATTGGCACGCGCGCGTGTGTGTAGTTGTGATTGTGTCGTCGTCTGTTGCTCGTGTGTAAAGTCGATTCAATTGAGTACCTGGCGCGGTTGTACAAACTACACCACTGCGAGAGACAAAGGCGGCCGGGGCATGTGGTGCTGCCCGTCCCCCCTCCTCCTCCGCTCTCTCTCTCTCCCCACCTCTCGTGTGCCGTGCCAAGCTCCAGTCTGTTAAGGCGATGCGGGGGGTGGTGAGCAGCTCCAAAATGGGACCTTTTTGGCCAATATCAGAGAAGGTCCCATTTCGTAGCTGCTCACTCCGAGCTATGAATGCTCTGATGGGTGCATTGTCTTTGTCGCTGTTCGTCTTTTGGCGTTGTTCACTGGTCTGACACTGGTGGTTTCAAATACATTACAGCCTCCTGTGTTTATAATACTGATAATAATTATCAGAGCCGTGTTTGATTTGAAGCTTTCGTGACTGCAGGAATCCATACTCTTTGGTTATTTCGGTAAAGTCGTGTAGGTAGAAAACTAATAGATCAGGTGGGACGACCACGGCAAGAAAAAACTGCTGAAGTAGTTGTCCCACCTGATGACGATTGCTTGTGTTGCGATCGAAACGTCGTGATCTATTATTTTTCTAATTACGTGACTTTACCAAAAGAACCAAAAAGTATGAGTATATAGAGCCGTGTTTGGTTGCGTGTTCACCACGTGTACCGCGTGTGGTTAATGCATCTACTTGATTCCTTGCAGAAAAATGATATTTGGTTATTTCAACATAAAACCCATTCTTATTTTTTCATACTTCAATACTGGCAAAGGTCTAATTTGGGGAGGGGGGTCTTTGCCTTTATTTTGTGTTACCCGGTGCGGTGTGCAAGCATCGCCACTGGGGAGACAAAGGCGACCGGGCGTGGTTTTTTGACACCCCCCCCTCTCTGACTCAACTCCCGGCCTCCTTCATCTTGTTGTATTATTTTCGTATTTATTCCTGATGCTTAGGCGTGCTGCCTTACGTGCGCATGGCGAACAACAGCATTTCTCTGTTATCCTTGTGTGCTGCTGCTGTTGGTGGTGGCGATGCCGTGGCGTGGTGGTGAATGAATGTTGATCGATTCTCTTGTGGCTCTCGTTAAAGGTCGGATCCCTCAACGCGTCCTACTTTGCGAAGCGTGGCTACCATGTGGACCTGTACGAAGCCAGGGAAGGTAAACGTAGTACAGCATATACACTCCACACACATGTGCGTGTTTAATATTTCTTATCCGTGTTTTTTTTATTTTGTAAAGTTAATGGTTTTTAAAATCTATATATATGTGTGGATGCTGCCCGGCACTGCAGTTGAAACGTCGGGCCAAAGTTGCATCCATCAACTCCATTATACCCACCCCTCCCCCACACTAAATTAACGATTTAAAAAAAAGTTTAACCAGGTTAGGCTCCACTGAGCTGTTTAGCTCTTTTTCAGAAGCGACCTGGCCACAAATGATAGCCCGACGAAGTGGCTGATCATGTGAACATTTATAGCAGCCAAATATTCTAAACGCATGTTTCTAAACGTGGAGGGGAAAACCCCGAGGACTTGGAGAGAAATCTACGAGACTTCGGGGAGAACATGCAAACTCCAAACATACCGCAGGCAGCAGGGTGGAGATCGAGCCCATGACCAGGCGAGGTAGTTAACATCTCGCCACCGCGGCGCCCCTACTTTTTCTGGAGCTCAGTACTTGTACACCTACGCGCTGAAATGAAAGCCAGCACCGGTAGGGGATGACACTGAGAATGACGAACCAATGAAACGGCACAATCGCAGACAAAACCCGTGTAACTCGAACACTAAGTCTGTGACTTTGCAAGAGTGCGTTTTCTTGCATCCCACTGGGATTTTTGCACAGTGTTGGTGTACGGTGCTTTTTCTGCAATATTTTGCTGTCTTTTCTTGGATTTTCTGTTTGCACATAGTCACTTTAAGATGTTTTCTTGTTCATGTTTTAGTTTTTTTTGTTGCGGTTGCACCCGATTCAAGAGCCGAATGGCTCACAGGGCTATACCTAATAAATGAAACTTGAAAACTTGCATGCATACAGAGTGATGCACGTCACCAGCACGGGATGTTGAATGTGTGTGCTACATATTGACCCTGGTGATCCGAGTTCGAATCCGGGCCGGGGCTTATACCGGTGACGAAGTGGGTATTTGAACCAGATCTGGGCCTTTCCCTAACTAGGTCGACTCGGCCTTAAATCGGTACAGTAGGTATGTTGAATTTCGCGCGGAAGGTAGCCAACCGTGCTAATCTGATGGGTGGTATGTAAAACAGCAGCGCTGGCGAGACAAAGGTGGTTGGCCTTGTGCCCAATGTGGGTTGTGTTCGCCCGGTTGTGTAACAGTCCAAACATGGGTAATGGTCAATGAACCCCTACACACTCAATATTATGTTTCGGAATTCCTAATATGCTGGCCCGTTTGCTTATTCTACAATTGCCTTTCGAAGTACAGCACTGTACTGCATACCCAATCAGAATTTGCGGAGAGAGGTGGTCTGCTGGGAATTCGCGCTAAGTGACGCAGCGAGGGGAACGCGTGAATCGGTGAACGGAACGCAAATTGAGAGCTATCGCCGCCACCACGTTGACTGTTGAGAAAGAAAGAACTGCTCGTGGAGCTTGAGCAGAACGCGTTCCCCTGGAAGGGATTAAATGATACCCGGTGGTCGAGACTGGTGGCAGGATGGCGGTCAAAGGAAGGATGATGCTCCGGGGGAAGGTTGCCAGTGCTGCTGAGATGGAGGGCCTGCAGATTTGAGTCCTACGGATTGCCGGATTGCAAGCACCACGAGGCATGAAGACGACTTTGGGGGGAGGGAAACCCTTAAATTAGCAGTGGGTAGATCATAGCTGCTGCTGATGATCAATGATCATAATGAATACCAGAAGTCAAGACATAGCAAAACGTCGGCATTTTTTATTATTCGAACACGTGAAAAATGTTTGGTTACAGGGGGATAGGAGATCTGTAAATGATTGCAATAGAAACATCTCAGTTACAAATAACGGGAGGGGAGGCGGTGGCTTTGGTTTGGCCAATGGGCATGAGGCCTTTGGAGTGGGCGTGGAGATGAAATCCAAGCAGAGGTCACTGATTATCCACACACACAAACGTCAACAAGACATTGACCCCCAACCCTTACAGCCACACTGTTGGTGCATGTGTTGTGAGCGAGCATTTATCAAGGCAAATGGGGCGGGGGGGGGTGTTGCAATAACCCCACCTGGCTGCCTTTGTCTCCCCGGTGGAGGTTCTTCCGCCAGCATTGGCGCGAGCAAGCACTCGCAGGGCTGCGCCTTTTTAAATCCTTTATATTAAGTTCACTTGCTTGCTTGCGCACTTATGACCGTGCAAATCTTTCGGTCGTTTTTTAACCCACTTCCCGTGATCCAATCGGGCTAACATTTAGCACACAGACTCATTGTGTGTGACAATTTTTTTTCGTGAAATTTTTTTTCCAAAATTTTACACTTTTTAGGAAAAAATATATATATTTAATTATCAATTGCTTAATGGTGGCAGGCAATCATCTGACCCATAGGTGGCAGCCATCTCAAGCCAGAGGATGAGAGGACTCTAGCCGCCCGTTTCAAAGAACAATGTGGGCTGGGTTGTGGCCCATTGAACACGCATATAAAGGATTTATAGTGAAAAACTTTGTTTTTACGGGTTAATTTTTTACCTGTTATTTCTCCACTGTCTCTGTCTGCGAGGTAGATATCCGCACGGCCCTCCACTTGCGCGGACGCAGCATCAACCTCGCGCTGTCCCACCGCGGCAGGGAGGCGCTGAGAGCCGTGGGGCTGGAGGACCGGGTAATAGGGCCCACACTCAACACGTTCATTCATTTTGTCGCTCGTTGCCTCCACATGCTGTATAGCCTCAACATACTGTTGGGGCAAGTGCAGTGAGCGAGCATCTACGAACAAGAACACACTCGCTCACTCACCCACTCACTCGCCACATTGCACCTCACTTCCCTCTCTGCACTACTCCAGTTCCGAATTCGTTTCTCCCATCATCGTCTCTTTCCCCCCAAGCTGTGATACCAATCAATAACCTCGCTCGATAAAAAAAAAAAGTGTTCGCTCTTTTCCATTCACAACTTTGATCATGCTTTTTGTTTTCGGGCCTTTGGGCTCAACGGCTCTATTCACTTTTCATACAAATTGCTCTCTGCAATAAATTAGCCGTTGTGCATGAAACTCGTGTACCCATTGAAAACTATGGCACCCCCATCCCCCAAACCTCCTCCCGTGTGTCCACACCCGCAGATCGTGTCCACCGGTATCCCCATGCACGGCCGCATGATCCACGCGCCGAGCGGCAAGCGGTCCTCGATCCCGTACGGCAAGAAGGGGCAGGTAGGTACGGTGGTTTTACCGGCGCCGGTTTTATCGCGTGGGCTACATGGTGGGTTCAACCACGTGGGGTGCGGCGTGGGTCATGGCAGTCCAAATACGTGGAATTACGTTTGCTGTACCTGACCGACTTTGGATAGATGAATAATCAAAAGTCATCGCCCGAAGGTTAGAGGTCCAACGATTCACTTCCCAACTCCCCCCACCCCAATTTTCCAGCTCGTACGTCCCAGGGGTTTTGGTGACTTGTCACAATTCGGCAGTCGCGATTTAATTCGCAAGTCGATGCTTATTTTGTCGTCTTCCGTTGTGTTGAATGTAGTGGCTGCAGAGGTAAAATCGACCCATTACGTACAAAGTATACCATTTATACCAACACACACACGTACGATTAAAACAATCAGGTTGCCTGCCGGGTTCATCGCAAACCGGCCCTTCGGCATAGAGAGAAGGCAGATGAGTTGTGGCCGTTACGTCCGCAAATTTGCGCGCGTTATAAATTGCATTATTATTATTAAAGTTAGCAAATGAACCGTTGTGACTCCAGTTCATGAACCTATCCGTCTGGAACTTGAATTCTTAGTTGGCTAAGATGGCTTTTGCTTTTGCTTGTCAACAGTACCTGCTGTCAGTCGATCGTGCGCTGCTCAACAAGGAGTTGCTCACAGGTGCGTGTGTGTGTGCGCGCATGTGCGGCGAGGTCGGGGTTAGGATCTGGGTCTCTTGCCATCTCGCCCTGCTCCACGCCGTCCCACCTGCCACACGCGTGCGTTCCCGTCCCGCGCGTTTGTCCCCACGTGCATCTCTGCATGCATCTCCATCCCCGCTTGCATACCTGCCCCCGCGTGCATCTCCATCTCCATCTCCATCCCCGCGTGCGTCCCTGTGTGCGTGTAGCTGTGCAGAGCTACCCCAACGTGCACCTCCACTTCCAGCACAAGCTGGAGACTGCCGACCCGCACACCGGATCCATCACATTCCGACGGTGCGTGCATGCACCTCACCTACTCGCTCACCGCCTTCCTTACTCGTTCACTTACCCATGAGCTCACCCATAAATTCACTCACTTGCCCGCTACTTCATTCGTCCACCCACTTAATAAACTCACTGTGGCTGACCCTAATCTACAACGTCCACCCACTTACCTGCAAAATTTGTGACCATCTCGTGGTCACTCACACATTGGCTCGTACTCAAAAATGCACTTGCTCAGCCACTTGCTAACTATCACACTCTCACCATCTTCCTCACTCACTCCATCACTCACCCACCCACTCCCTCTTTTGCCATCAGACTCACTCAACCATTAACTCACTCCCTAACTCACTTAAACACCTGATCAACAACTTTCTCACCCACCTACTCTCGCACCAACACCGTCATCCGAATCACTTGCGCTTCAACATGTTCTCCATCAAACTCGCCAACACTCTTCACGAACACACTCGCCTACTTGTCCACATGCCCACATACAAACTGGCTAAATGTCTCCCTACTTTGCTCACCTATTCCCTCACTCGCTCATCCAACTCGCTCATCTGCTAGACAGATATGTTTGAATGAAACCCAGCCCTGGGTTTCATTTCAGCCCGGAGCTGTTCAAGCACTGAGCTCGAGAAAAAGTAGGGGCACGCAGCGGTGGCCAGATAACTACCTCGCCTGGTATGCAGGCGGTTGTGGGTTTCAATCCGCAACCCTGATGCCTGTATATTTAGAGTTTGCATGTTCTCCCTGTGGTTGCACATTCGGAATCAACATGCGTTTTGAGTATTTGCCTGTGATTCCACATAGTGATAAGCCACCACTTCGTTGAGCTAACATTTGTGGCCAGGTCGCTTCTGAAAAAGAGCCGTATAGCTCAGTGGGCCTTATGTGGTAAAAGAAAAATAGTAATAATGATAAATATCAGCCTTTTTGATATTTTTCCATCATCAATGTCAAATTGTATTTCTAAAAACAATTCGTAATCACTGCCGTATACTGTGTGCACATGCCTCAACACTTATCTCGGTTTCTTCACTCAACGCTGCCCCACTCTGGAAATCCCCCCCCCTACTCCCCCGCCCCATATTTTTATTTCCCCCAAGTTCTCATAACAATAATCATTAAAATATATTGAGTGATTTGCTACCTTTCCTTAAACTTCGCAGTCCTGTCGTGTTTTTGTATTGTTTGTCGTTGTCGTGCTCTGACCTGCCCCGGCTGGACATCTGTGAAAAAGAGCTTTAAAGATGCAGATTCTGATAACCTTCCTCGATTTAAGAAAACTCTCTGATCTATTACACCTTCGGTCGTGCTGCTGTTCGTTGCTGGTCCACTCGCCGTTTCGGGGCGTTCTTTGGGCCCTGTGCTCGAGAAATCCTGAACTTTCACTTAACAGTTTTTAAAATGATATTTTATATATATAAAAAAATGATAATTGTTGTCATCGTTGTCGTGACGCGCGCCCCAGCTCTAGCGAGAAGCCGCTGCTGCAGGAGTCGTGCGACCTGCTGGTGGGCTGCGATGGGGCCTTCTCGGCCGTGCGGCGCCAGGCGATGCGCAACATGCGCTTCGACTTCAGCCAGACGTACATCCCGCACGGCTACCTGGAGCTCACCATCCCGCCCACGGCGGCCAGGCAGGTGCGCATGAGACCACCCACCCCTTCGCCAGCTCGCACACCACCACCACAGCCACTCGCCACCCCACATCACGGCAGTACAACCCCCCCCTCCTCCCCACATTGTGTTTGCAAAGAGACCCCATCCATCAGAGACAACAATTAAAACGATGAACACGGTTGACTACGTACGGTGCAAAAGAAGTTCAACATACATGCATAGAGGTCGTCGGAGAATATTGCTACTACTTCCGACTTGTAATTATCATCACCGTTATTATTATCATCAACACTGTTATAATTGTCAATATGGTCATCATCATCGTTGTTTTCATGATTGCAGTCATCACCATCTTCTTCCTCATTATGTTCAGCATTATTACCATTACAGCAGTCCTCAGCATCATCGTCATTATTGTCACCACCATCATAATAATAATAACAAAGAACATGTACAGGACCGCATTTAACAAGCGTCAATTGTGTTTTTTTACGTTTCCAGTTTGCGATGGAGAAGAATTACCTGCACATCTGGCCACGCAACACCTTCATGATGATCGCACTCCCCAACAACGTAACGTATCCCCCACTCGGCACGACGACATAATGCAGCCCTCGCCCACGGTGTAATGCAGCCCTCACGGAGCACAACAGGCTAATGAAGCCCAAGCAGCTTAAGGGGCCCCAGATTCATGTTACCAACATCCACGCTCAGCCACTCGCTCGCTCGCACTGGGACGTTGCTGGAGGCCATGATCAGACGCAGCTCGTCGGGGACATTTCACCAGAGAATATTACCGTCTGTAAACAAACCGGTCGAAATCCACCCGATCTCATCGGATCTTGGAAGCTAAACAGGATTGAGCCTGGATATTGCATGGGATGGATGATGACCACAGCACAGAAACAGGTGTTAACAGGAAGCCCTCATCCAGCAGTGGACCAAAGAGCGCACTCAAACAAACAAAGACACACGCGTGTGTGTGCTCGCGTGACCGATTAATCTCTCGGGCGTTGGTTCCGTGTGCCGTCATCGTCGCACTGTGCAGGACCACTCCTTCACCTGCACGCTCTTCATGCCCTTCGAGGAGTTTGAGTGCATCACGGAGCCGGAGCACGTCCTCGACTTCTTCAGCCGATACTTCCCCGACGCGATCCCCCTCATAGGCGTGTAAGTTTTCCGCCCGCTCGCCCCATCGTGTGCGGACAACTTCTGTTTTGTCGTTCGGCTAGCGGACTGACATCTTGCCACCCGATTCACTAATCAATATTTCCCTCCCCTCCGCACCCTGAGCAGAGAGGAGCTCAAGAGGGATTTCTTCCTGCTGCCAGCGCAGGCTCTGGTCTCGGTCAAGTGCTCTCCGTACCACGTGGGAACGCGGGTGGTCATCATGGGCGACGCGGCGCATGCCATGGTGCCCTTCTACGGGCAAGGCATGAATGCCGTGAGTGGCCATGCTCCCACGCGGGGGGGGCGCCTCTGGGGCCTGACCCCTGACCCTCGTGTAAGGGGGGGGGGTCCTTTGACTGGCGGCCTGCGAGCCACGGAGGCCAATGGACGTGGCTAGCAGAGATTTCTATGTACAAATGTTGAATTTCTTTCGCACCTTACATAGCCAACCGTGCTAACTAGATCTGCGGGGGAATGATAACAAACTAAACACAAAGAGCAGTTCTAAAGAAATTAGTTTTCCATCTGGATTTAAAAGTGCATAGCTCCAATAGCGTCCTAATATCGGGAGGAAGAGCTTTCCAGACGGCCGCAGAAGCGCATCTGAAAGCGCGACGCAGTAGTGACAGTCTTTGTTTGATGGTTAGCTAGAAGGCGCTGCGCAGATGACTGGAGTTTGCGTGATTGGTTTATGCTCCTTGAAATGGACAAGATGTTGTGGTTCGTTTGTGGCAAGAACTTTGTGTGTAATGTAAAGCGATACAGACGAGTGAGATGAAAGAGAATCACGAGATGAAAGCTGGAGGAAAAAGGCAGATTGTCGGTCACATGTAGAGATTCGGAATGGATTATTGATTTTATAACTTTTTTTAATCTCTCTCCCCTTTTATATTGCCAGGGCTTTGAGGACTGCTTGGTGTTTGATGAACTAATGGAGGAGTTCAACTGTGACCTCGGTAAGTTCAGAGGAAATTCAGCCCAGGAAGGAACCAGGATAGTTTCTGGCTCGTGAATGACTGATCTTTCGCTACTGCGAGAGCCTAAGGTCACATTTTATTGGAACCACCAGCTTATGTTTAATGCTTGCATGTTCTTGGGGTTGGAACAAGGCGATATACATATATAGATAATATAAGCGATAGATTTTTTGTTGCTTCTTGTGCCCCATGAATTCCAATGTGCGGTATTTAGAAAAAATGTGGCTCTGAATGGCTTCAACTGAAATGACCACGTTATTTATCCATAAAAGTCTGAACGAGTCTCAAAACACGTTTTGTTGGGGGGCTCCTGATATGGGCATCTTGGATTCCTGGTCATGGCTACCATCGGTGGTGAGCGATTTTTATATCTGAACCAATCTCCGACTCCTGTGAACAGCATTGAGAAAGAAATACGGTCAAGCCACCTCCAGTACTGATGTGGGAATGCATTCATCCAGCAGTGGATTGATAAGGGGCCGTAAATGAAGTGTGTTTATTGATTATAACAAAACATTCGCAGGACTCTTGGCAATGGTGAACAATTGCATAGCAAAAGTAAAAATTTTACCACAGAAAGAGAGAATAAACACATTCCTGCGGAGGGAGCTGGTAGGAACGTTGGGTTGCTCGGTCAATGGCCAGGGTCAACGGCGGCGTGGTGTATTCCGCAAATATGGCCGACTGTGAGGGTGGGCACAAGCCGGCGTGAGTAGGTTAAACGTTGAGTTTTATAAGGGCACCACGGGGTGACCAGCCCCTACCCACCCTCCCCACCAAGTCCCTCCCAGCCAGGGGCGGTTTCTTCATTAGGGCGATTGGGCGACGCACCACCCATGTCATTCAACCACAGAGTCACGCTAGCCGTCACTGTGCCTCTGGATATAGTCCAATCAGCGTCATGTCACGTTCTGTGGAGTACCGCCTCTTTTTGGGCGATTTCACTCCGGCTGAGAATCGCCCTGAGTGGCCCCATAGACTTACATTCAAAGATGTTTTTTTTCGAACGGCGGGCGCTCCAATGCATTCTCTATGGCTTCCGGGAGGGCTTGTACTAACGTGCTTACGTCATCATACGTAAGCACGTTTCATCCAACAATATAATTTATCGCCACCTAGTGGAATCTTTAATAAAATAAACTTTAGTGGTTTGTTTTAATAGTGAGTATAGAAACAAACAAGATGTATTGTAAGAGTCACTTTATTTTTCATTAATATTAAAGAAGTGAAGTTGCCTTTACATGCTTAAGCTGTTAATTTATCCATTGCATGGGTGGACCTTATCCTTATCAATCATCCAGACATTTGCCCCCCCTGAGAGATTTTGCAGGAGCCGCCACTGCTCCCAGCCCCACCCTTCCCATTTTTGGATGCAGGACGGACGGACACAATAATCCCCTGTGGGCTGGTGGAACCAGGCGGTTCCTACCAGTAATACGCTGACGTCTCGACCAATTCGCCTGAATTGCTTGCTAGTTTCCGCTTGACAGACCGAGTGGTTTCTATGGACCGAGGGTCGAGCGTCTGCTGATGCCCAGCCTCTCGTCTCTCGCTTGCCCCGCACGCTTCCCAGGCAGGGTCCTCCCGGAGTTCAGCCGACTGCGGGCCCCGGATGACCAGGCTATCGTGGACCTCGCCATGTACAACTACATCGAGGTGCGTTCCCTCCGCACCACAGCGGAGAGATGTTAACTCCCTCGCCTGGTATGCAGGAAGTCATGGTTTGAATGTTCTCCCTGTGGTCGTGTGGCTTTTTATCCAGGTCCTCCGGTTTTTCCCTCTTTTAGAAACATGCGTTCAGAGTATTTGGCCTAGAGAATATAAAAAAACTAAACCTCACAATACAATACACTGTTACTATTTTATTATTACATTAAAAAGCTCATAAATTGTGGAGGACAGGAGGATTGTGAGGAGTATAAACAATGACAGCTGTCTGCCGGTTTAAATGAAAATTGCCTCTGTCTGAGCGGCACCAGGCATGATAGAACAGGGGAATTCCTAGAGACTGTGGTACTTTTTTACTTTACGAAGCGAAATGAGTTTATTCATGGACTTTATTATAAGCAGGGGAGAGTTATTTGAATTTATTTATTTTAATAAAGTTAAACATTTAGACAATTTAGATAGACGTATTAGATAGTTTGGCATCATTTTAGATAATAACCATGGGGAGGCCATGTCAAGTAGTCAGGGGGGGGGGGCGGGGGGCACTACACCACCCCAGCCACCCCCATTTATCCCCCCACAGATATTTTTGAATGTCCGTTGTATGGGGCGCCGCAGTGGTGAGATGTTAACTGCCTCCCATAATATGCAGGTCATGGGTTAGATCCCGACCCTGACGCCTGCTGCTGTATATTTGGAGTTTGCATGTTTCTCTCTCCCTGTGGTCGCGTGGATTTTTCTCCGGGTCCTCGGGGTTCATTTCTCCACATTTAAAAAACACGCGTTTGAGTATTTGCCTGTGATAACATTTCAACATGAGTATAAGCCGCTTCGTTGAGCTGTCAGTTGTGGCCAGGTCACTTCTGAAAAAGAGCTAAATAGATCGCAGGGCTTTACCTGCTAAAATTAAAAGTTTTGTTTATAAGTTCATCCTCGAAGCCATGGTTCTTCAAACTATGATTATTATGGCTGGCCAAAAAACTAGCGTGCGCTGGTCGGCCGCGTAATGTTATGTCACGTGGACAGAAGTTGCGACGTCGCATGGCATCATGTCTGCACGTGGGCTCGCTGTGTACCTCTTGTCTTCATGCGTCTCATCTACGTTTCCTTTATTTAACCAGGAGATAAAACAAATAGGCCAATGAGATGGTTACATTGCTTCTTTTGCAAGGGTGCACTGGGTTGCTCGCTCATTTATTTTGCTTTCATCTCACAATTGTCTCATCTACAGCCCTCTCGTCTTAATCTCGTGTCTCTTTTATCCCATTAGTCTGTAATCTGTCCCGGAGAGCCATATCTCATGGTGGGCCACAGCTCGAATCAATTGTTCCCGTGTGGGCAAGCTCACAAGTGAGAACTTTAACACGACACGTCAATTTACGTAGTGCATTTAAGTTCAACCGCGTCTCAAAGCGCCGTACAGAAATTGTGGGAATATCTACTTCGTAGAAAGAGGCAGTTGGTCAGAGGTAGAGAACGTAAGGAATTTTTTTAGCTCGGAGTTGAACAGAAATGCGCAAACTAAGACGGCTGGGCTGGAAATGGCTGGGCCCACTGCAGGCCTCCAGAATTGATGTGCCGTGTCACCCGTAACCCGCGTGGCGTCTCCATTGACAGATGAGGGCCCACGTGAATTCGCGCTGGTTCCTATTCCGCAAGCGCGTGGACAATCTGCTGTACCTGCTCATGCCGGGAACGTTTGTGCCCCTGTACACCATGGTGAGTGCTGCCCATTGGTGTGGGTTGCATCAACAGGTTTCCCCAATTAAAGTGTTTTGCTTGTTCCACTTGCTCCAGTAAAAAAAGGCTTTTGGAATCTGATGATTGACAAAATAAAAAAAGATGTAAATGTATCCTACTCAAGAACGGTGGTCGATGGCATAATAGAACTGCAGTTAAAATCTAATTTCTTCATCATTAACGCTACCTTTAATAACACATTTATTTAATAGGCTGTGCTGGGTAACAGACCGCCATCTCGAACAAAGAGAATATTTTTTTAAAATATATATCTGGAGAATGCACTAGTTCCGTGAAAATAATTGGAAGCTTTAATAATGCTGACAAATTAAACTTTTGTATTGACGTAAGTTATGTATTCCCCCACAAGTCTCACTAAGTGACAAACCAAGAGATTATATCGACCTTGAGGCATTGCGTGCAACTGGCCATGGAAAATGTTCACACAATTTCCCCACATACTGGCATTCAGGACAGAAGATAAAATCTAATCATTGGTGTGGAGTCATTTGACCTCTGAAAATCCAGTTTTCACTTGACATCACTGATATTTGACCGTTCCCACCTGCCCCTCCACAGGCTTCAACTTGCCCCTTGCATGCCTCCTCCCCCCATTCTAACCCCATGACCTCACTTCTCCACCCCATGACCTCACTTCCCCACACACCTGACTCGGTGTCCCTGTGCTCACAGGTGACGTTCACAAGAATACGCTACCACGAGGTTGTGAAAAAGTGTAAACTGCAGAACAAGGTATACACACGCTTGTGCGCACTTTGTACACGTTGCTTTACTCCATTAGCATTTGCTACAAAGGCTGGGTGGATCCAGCAAAGACCTCATTGGCCTTTTGCTGACAACGTGAATGGCACCCACCGTTGTCCTGTAAGACATCTTTTGTAAAGACAGGAGTTGCAGAAACCCAACAGTGGAACTAGTGGTGCTGTTGTCTGTGGCAAATTAGTTTCTCGTTTCTGTGCAACCTCTGCACAGGTGGTGAACTCGGCGCTGTTGGGCATCGGGGTGCTGTCGGTGCTGTCGGCAGGAGCCTGGGTGGCGACCCGTATCCGTGGTCATCCCGACTCAAGCCTGTTGCTCCTCTGGGAGCTGCCCCGTGCCCTCCAGTCCAAGATCATCCCCGAGGGCTGGCTGGGATAGCCGACCTGCACATACCGGGAGGCTCATCCTGAGCACCCGTTGAAGCACAGGTTGCACCACTCCCAAACCTGTTTGGGTGGTGCCGCTTGTTTCGGCACGACGTCCGATGTATTGATCCATGTGCCCGGCAGCTCCTGAAATTCAGATTCATAAGCTCTCTACACGCAGAAACGTCGGCAATCGTGCAACAACAAAAAAAACCATGCAGCAAGACCTGAAAATGCTTCGGAGAGTTATACAGGGCAGCTGCGGAAACCTGCACAGGAGTGCATCTTAAAGCAGCATTTTTCAACCGGTGGTACCAATTCTGCAGACTGCAATTTGCGGTTCTATTGCGGGATTGACAATGTCACCAAAACAATTAGCACCATGCCGCCACCAACTTGAAATTCTTTAATGTTTAACAGTGGAGGCATTGTTGTATTCTCGGATGCAATCCATGTGGCATTGGTGCATAAAAAAGTTGCATAACACCGCCTTAAAGACAGGGAGCCAAAAATCATGACCATACAAATGAGCTGTTACTTGACAAGTGTTCGCAAATTAAATCCGTTCTTTCAGCAATTAATGCGAATGACTACATTTTTTTTATCGCTGTTTTATTGCAGATTTCATTTATGTATTTTGCGAAGTATACAGCATTTCCTACATAAATAAAATAAGCAAATGTACAGCAACACAACCATGAAATACTTTTAAAATGGAAGTTCAGACCATTTCAACTGTATGGGAAAGCTTCATTTTCCAACGTTGAACATTTTTTTTTACACACGTCCAATATTTATCTTTGATTGATCAAAGTATTATAAACATCCTTAGTCTTAAAGAATAACAGGTTTTACAGTTTGCCTTGTAAGTATGGCACGGGCTGTGCTTAACCAAGCAACTCAATTTACCAACTTGAATTTGTGCAGCTTTGCCCTGTAGATGTCCACTGAATAAGGTAATGGCCACATTAATCCAGATGTCTTATTTTAAATCAGGCAGTTTCATGTTCACAAATATTCCCAGATGGAAAAAAAATCTATACCCTTTGTCCAATTTAAAAACTGTTCATGCAATCCAATAAACCAGAGGTTTGCAAACCTCTCCCCATCCCCACGGAGATGGATGTAAATTTGTCAGGCTATGCTTTCTCAACGCAATTTAAGCTCCCACGTCACAGCCTCTCCAAAAACATGTGCACCATTGTGTAAAACATGTTCACTTTATAAGTGAACAATGCAATCACTGACCTGACCAACATGCAAATGTACTATTCACATAGATTTATAAAATGTGCACATCTCTATGTAAACACACTGAAAAATGGTGTATGGGATCAACACTTGCAAGTTTTGCACACTTTGTGACGTGTAACCAAGTGTAAATGTCTTGGTCTGGTTTCACTCTGCTCAGACTCGGCACTTGGGGGGTGAATGCAACACCCATTCCAATGTTGCTGAAATTGGGTGTTACCACTCCAATCTACAGTCAACACTGAAATTCGTTCATGCTGGCACATTTAGGTTGGGTGCTGCTGTGACTAGACCGGTGTTCAAAAACAGCGCCATTTAAATCGAGAGAAGTACAAAAGAATGTTTAATGGCTTCAGTTAAGCCAACCTTCAATAAAGACAATTTACAACCAATGGACTTGCAATGTTGGGTGCGATAAATGTATTGTTGAATTCTTAGGATTCATCAGACAATACAAGTTCAGAAAACCATACTAGGCCTTAACACATCACAGATGTTAAAGGACTGGATATCTTAACTTAAGCCCATATGCCCCTATATGCCCAATAATTTTCACTAGTCTACGATTGCAGCAATTCCTGGGTAAGCCACAAGATTAATAAACAAAACAAAAACTGGTGGTAAGAACAAAACAAATATTTTTCTGACTCGGGTATTGCCTATAAAGTCCATAGGCACAAACCTGATCGTCAGACACCAGCAAGCTAGCACAGGGCAAATGCAAATAATATTACACAATTGCTTCTGAAATTATCCTAACTGGATGTCTTTAAAACAAATGGGCTCGAGCACATTTGGAAACATTTACAAACGGGTGCAAGGTTTGAGCACACTGCCCCCCCTCCATGTGCTCCTTTCCCCAGCTCTTTAAACGTTTTATTTTACCAGGCAAAGCCCACGGAGCTATGTAGCTCTTTTTCAGAAGCAAACTGACCACAAATGACAGCTCAACGAAGTGGCTTACCATGTGGAAACACATAGCAGCCAAATACTATTACAAGCATGTTTCTAAATTGGAGGGAAAAATAGGAGGCCCAGGTGAAAAATGCACACGACCACGGGGAGAACATATAAACTCAAAATATACAGGCGCTGGGATCGAACCCACTACCTCACGTATACTAGGCGAGTTAGTTGATATCTCGCCACCGCGGAAGCCAAGACAGGGGAATCTGAACCCCGATGGCTTTTGACCACAAATATGCATGTTTTTTGCGGTTGTGCCATATCGCTCTCCGACGCGTGTTTTGAGTCAAGCACGACGCCCGACGTTTCGATGGACGCGCGGGGGGGGGGGGGGGGGGGGGGAACTTCCGCAGGAATGTTTAGTTCCTGCGGAAGTTCCCAGCACGCGAAATGAAACGTTGGATGTGGAAAACGATGCGTGCTACGATTCCCAACACATCAGAGAACTGTATAATGAAGCCAACTGAAACAAAAAGTACGTTATTAGTAACAAATGTCAAGTTTGTACATTGAAAAGGAACATACATCGGAGGTGCAGTTAAAGTGAAAACATCGGCATGCGACGAATCTATAAAATACAATTGTAAAGTAATCAGCACTCCATTGCCCCCACCAAGTCACTGGTGCACTTGTGGTACCTTTTTTTTAATGTATTACAGACAGTGATAGGTATTTTTGGTCTTTTAACTTTGTTATTTTCTTTGAACCTATCTACGTGACTTTACCAAAAGGCCCAAAGAATATGAATTCCTGCAGTCACGAAAGCTTTAAGTCAAGATACAACGATGATTGTTTAAGTCACTGTGTAACTGGGACCAACATGTTTTCCATGTGCTCTGAATAATGCCTCGGTGCCCTGTTGTAAATAATATAATATCCAAATTCTTAATTTCATATTTCGGGTTAAACACATTTGTCCACAGCGCTTTGGCATACAGTCCTTAAAAACTTCACCTGAACAGACCCATTCTTACATCTTGTGAAGGAAAGTACCACTTCCTTCACTGTTAGGCATAAGAGAATGTCTTATTCGTATAATTTGAGAAGACAATGGAATTATTCGGATTTGAATAGGCAAGTGCAAGAAAGTCATCACATCTGGCTACCAATGTGAGAAATTATGGTAAAATCAAGGGTCTGACAAACAGCACTGACTGACCACTTGCCAGGCCATGGATATTTAGACTACTTCTTGAAATTATATCCCCAAATACCTCAAATACAAAACGTTTAACCAAGTCTTGAGAAGTCAGTAACTGCCTAACTCTTCAAAAATAATACACGAGCAAGGTCTCCTCCGCTTTTGAGTTCCATGAAAAGGACAATTTGCAACAAGTGCTGAAAAGAAGATTATTTTACAAGTTAAATACCAATACATGATGTAAATAAAAAGACCGATAAACAACCACCTCTTGGAAAAAAACGCATGCAAAACACAAGAACGCAAAGGTGCTGCCACACCTATGGGAGTGGGTGTGCACCACCCAACATCTCTGCCCATGAACATCTCCGCTGCAGGAAACAGCCAGGCAATGTGACCAGGGTGGCGGGCACCAGGCCGACGCCAGCCGTGTTTCGTTCCTCAAGTACAGCGCAACTCGCGGTCGTCACTCCATCTTAGACATCTCAAACTTGGTGGTCATTATTTCCTGATGGGGAAAAACAAAACGGGGTTTTTTACGTTCAGAAAGTTTACAGCAGCTATTCCCAATGCATATTGCTCACGTCCGTAAAAGTAGGATCACGCCGATGGGAATAACCATCGCTTTACTGAGTTCAGCAACGCGTATCCGGCTGTGCTGTATATCTCTGCGATGTATTCCTCGGGCTGTACAATGCTGTATAATTGAGGTATAAAGTGAACAGCTCAATTCAATTCCTGAAAAAGCTCCCAGCCCGTGGAACAAAACGATGGACATCGTGCCGAACGATACGCAACACACAACCCAAAAAGACATCTAAGAGCTGCACAAGGAAGTTCACAGATATTGATAATGCCATGGTTTTTTGCATTGGTATTTCACTTTCACAAATACCAATTAGTGAAAAGCTATTGCTGAAGGCATTAACAAATATATGGCCAATTCAAGCCTCGTTGTCCAAGTAGTGCTTCTGTGCAGTGATAGTATGCTAGATTTTACATCAAAGTGTTTAATTTACTGAATGGTGTTTTTACCTCATCCGAGTCCAGCAAGGCAGGCATGGCACTGCAAGACAAGGGGGACACATTTCGTAAGCAGTTGTAGCGCAAGATACTTAAATCAACCATAATAATTTACATTGATTAATCTCTTAAATGCCGCAACAGCTAAAAATAAACTTACAACTGCATAGGAGATACAAAATAAATCGGGGTGTGCGGGCAGGGGGTGAAGAAAAAAAGAAACGCAAAATATAAAAAAAGAGGCCAAAATTATACTAAAGATCAACGCCAAAGGGACACGACAGATGTAGGGCAAGAGAGTGCCGCTCGCATGCAAAGCAGTCACACAGTGGAACAGAGTCTCAGCAACGGTATGCTTCCCAGGGAAATTTGTATTCTTCAGAGCCTATAAAGAGACGAGCCTTTCGCCCAAGGACGGGTGTATTGCAGTAAATCTGAAACTTGCAAGCGAAAATCAGACCGCGACGTGATATTTATTGCATCCATTCGTGTGCAATTTTTAAGGGTGCGGTGACACAGACCTATTTCATTTTAAGGTTATAATCCCTTGTTCATCATGACGTCCTTTTTACTTTGATGTCTCAACAGCGTTACGGAGATCGCCTGACGTGAGGGTTCTGCCTTTGTAGTGAGGGTTGTAAGTTGACGCCAAGGAGGGGGGGAGGAGGCGCCTCGGCCCCCCCATGTAGTGACGTCAGCCGCTAATTATGAATGAAGGGGGGGGGGTGTCCATTTGGAGGACGTCACCTTATAATGATTATTAATGAGGGGGGCTGGTCGATGTGGAGTGACATCACGAGTGTTGCACACAGACATTCTTGGCTCATTATAGTAGGTAATAATAATGGGGGGGGGGGGGTGTCCATTAGGAGGACGTCACCTGCTCATGATTATTAATGAGGGGGGCTGGTCGATGTGGAGTGACGTCATGGGCGTTCAGGACAGACATTCCTGGGTGATTATAGATATGCTCGTCGAGTTTCTAGTACGTACACATCTGCCATCGAGGCCGGGATGTTGTCTTCTACCCACTTGAGATCATCCTCCTGGAAAAAAAGCGACAATCACAAGAAATTGTTCCATTGCAACCGCATGCGTCGATGCCACATTAAATTTCTAAAATATGCTGGAAGATTTTTTTTTTACTTTGGGGGTTGCTCACCTGCTTGTTGACATTTGGGCGGCTGGATCCATTCAACTCGGGCTTATTTCCCCTCATCTTCATGCCATCTGAAATCAAAAGCATTTTACACCACGCAGAGAGTTTTAACAACTGACACGCGAGCTCCGGTCATCCTCGCAGCGGCTTTTTGCTAGCCCATCGAACAAAGACGGTCACTACTGCATTACGCGCTTTCAGACGTGCTTCTGCGGCCGTCTGGAACACTCTTCCTTTCGATGTTAGGAAGCCACTGGAGTGCTATGCACTTTCACATCTAGATTGAAAACGCATTTCTTTCTAGCACGGTTGGCTACGTACGGTTCGAAAGAAGTTCAACATACAGGTCATGTAGGTGGCAGCCAAGGTGTACTACTTGCTCCACGTACCGTATGCCTCGTTCATCATGGGCTCCTCTTCCTCGTCCTCATCCTCATCATTGTCCAGCAGTGGAGTGAACGCATACCTGAAAGGTGGTCACGCACAAACACCGCGTAGATCGGACATATGATACCATTTGGTTGCCGTAAAAAAAATCGTAGTACTAAACACTACTCTAATTTATCCACAGATGCGCTAACACTGTTGTATTAGGTCTTCCTATAAGTCATTATGTTGGGAACTAGCATTCAAAGATATAAGTTAATACTCCAGGCAATTATGGCACATACAGCCTATTTGCGGAGCTGACCTGTAAAATCTATATAAAACATTTTCAGACAAAATTAACAAGGGCAGTTTTAAAACCCTTTTTTTTCTGTAAAAAATATTTCGTCATCACCACCAACACATCAAAGTAGCACAGTACACACCTCTATGCATCTTTAGATCAACACATATGCTTACAGAGATGTCTGTAAGAATAAAATGGAAATGGAGCGATAAAATCAGCTGATATGGAGGTGCCAGGTAGATTGATGCATCACGGGACCGTAAGAGATAGCGACGACTTGTGAGATGCGTTCATTCAGAAGTGGATTGATCATGCCTGACGATGATAATGAAAGTCTCACCGCTGGTTGTTGGCAGATGGCCTCCAAAGCACCATAATGACCAGGAGGATGAGGGAAAAGAGAAGCCGCCAGAAGGCTTCCTCCACCCACAACTCCCGCCAGTCCTGTACTCATTTTGTACACACGAGCACACGCGCATGTGAGCGACGTTCATCCCATGACAACTACCTCGTAATACATACAAACGCACACATTCAAGTCTGTGTGAAGAATTTTAAATCCACTCACCGATTGGCATTCTGCAAATCTGAACTTCCGTGTAGTCCAGATGATGAAAATAAGCGAAGCTTGAAAAGACAATGAAATGTAAAAACGCAAGCATTTAGTTACATTCCAAAGCTGGTAGTACCAAAGTAAAATGTGCAAATTTATTTTAAGAATGAAAACCGATTGAACGGTGACGGATTCAATTCGTTCCCTCCTCATTCCGCATGCCGTGTGGACTCACCGATTATAGCGAAGATGAGCGTGTTGGTGAAGTGCCTGTAAAGGGACAGCTTCACCACGTTGCGCCTCAGCATGAGCATCTTCATGGTCTGGTACAGGCTGATGAATATGTGCTGCGCTGTCAAGGAGCCAACGCTACGTTGTCCTAACCCTTTCCACAATGGTTGTTTTAATAATACAGGAAACTTGAGCATATTGGCAGATATACCATCGGGAGCTCAGGCTTTTTTATATACAGATAGTCCCCGAGTTACGATGGTCCGACTTACGATATTTCGATCTTACGATGGCGATAGCGATACGACAAAATTGTAAAATATTAAACATTTCGCGCGGCAGGTAAACGCAGCAGCGTACGAGGTACCATACTGTACGTTGGGACGCTGCCGGGATGTGCACATCTCACGCCTTGTGTGATGCAGATAGGATTGTTTCCTGAAAAAAATTTCTATTAAATTGCAGTTCATATAGGTAGGCTCAGAATTTACCTTGGTTTTTTTACTTGACATATTACTGCGCAATACAGTATTGTAAGTAATAAATACATACAGTATATCGTTTAAACAGTACGGTACTCTACATTTGTCTGTTTTGCTAAATTATCACCATTCTTTAAGACTCCTGGATAGGCTAGGCCATCTTAGATTTACGATGGGGCCGTCGTAACGCATCTCCATCGTAAGTAGAGGGCTACCTGTATATGCAGACTAGATTATCCACGGATCTCTATGCCAAAAACCACTAACATAGGTATTCATTACCGATTGATGTGCGTGTTCAGTGATAACACTTTCCTGCTCCCACGCAGAACACTCGGTACCACTGAGTGGACAGCAGCAGAGCCACGCCAATCAAAATCAAACTCCGCCTACTGTTGTAAAAATATGAAACTACTGTATTGTAGAGGCGTTCACGTGGATTTCAGATTAACCGGAGCACATATTTGTTCGGTTTAAGCACGTGACTTGAAATAAACATCTCCAAGAATAACAATGTTGTATAACTGTTTTTATATTGGTTTAACACGTAGGCTTTTGCGACCAATATCATCCATTATGGATGGATGTTTATAGATGATTAATTTTGGCTTAAGGGAAAATCCATGAGTTATTAATTTGTCAAAATCTCAGGCGTGCGGTTAATCCGCAAATCAGATAAGCCGCATATGAACAATCGAGAGTCTACTGTATATGTGTATTTTAAATCTTGAGTAGCATTCGATGTTTAAGAAGTCATCATGACCAATGCTGTTGGTGACACCACGCTGTCTCACCATTGCCACTGTGCGGGGATTTGTTTCTAAACTCCAGTTCCCATGACCCGCCACAGTAAAGCTTTCTATGATTACCAGTAATCGGCCGCACGCAGTGTGTAGTGGCTTAATTTGTAAAGGTAATAGAAAAAAATGGGCATTCAAAAAAAGGTGGACCCCTGGTGGGTCATGAGGACCGGAGTTGCTAAATACCAGTGTACAGTTCTTTAGCTTGGGCCTACTTAATGAGGCAAATTGTTTAGAAAATTCAGTGTTTATGCTATCAGAACTACGTCAATATTCAGAGTATCCCCTTTACTGTTACAATTTAAACTTGATCAATTAAAATACAACTTTTTACAGCTCAATTATTAACAAAGTCCGAGCTAAACCTGTTTGATTTTAAAAACAGGACTGACCAAATTACACTGCATTACAGAGTGCAGTTTGTGACCTTTCTACGGTTCATATAGAGTGAAATCTCGTGCAGAAGCTAGGTTAGGTAATTGCAGAAACTAAAACTGACACTGGGAAAAGAAACGCATACAAATCTGGACGTAGATTTTGTGCGTCATCGCACATGGGACAGTAGGTCAGCTTAGAGAAACGGTAGAAATATTCAAAAGGCTCAAGAACAGAGAGTTAATTTCATGTGTGCTCATGGTTACAAGGTTCTCCTGAGCAGCCAAGGCAGGAAACACACACACACAGACACACAAGGATATCCACCAGCAGAGGGCAGTGTCGAGCACAGCCAGAGGGATTGCAGCCAGCAGGTCCAGGTCAAATTCTTGACCCTACGTGCCGTGCACATTGCAGCGATTGCAGCGTAGGGCGTTCACATCCACAAGAGGAATAGCAAACACTACACCAGCAATAAATGAGCGGGGTTGTGTTCATTTTGAGAACATCAAAAGTCTGTGTGTTTTAAAAGCTGGGTATCTAAAACACAGTTAAGTATGAAGCGCACGCAAGTACAAGGATGTACGAGTGAAGACATGAACATGCTCATGTACACAAGCGCAATAGGTGGAAACTTAGATTGCTCTAAACATGCATGCAAAAAACCACAAAAGTACACGTGACCTCAGGGGATTAAAACTACGAAATAGCATTTTTTTTGTGATGTTGTCGGCAGTGGTGCACAACTACTAAAACTCACATTAGTTAATAAGTGGCCTTAAAAGGAAAAATGATGTATAAATCGGTGACTTTTCAGGTAATGGGCACTTAATTTGTGCTATAAGTGCCATTTCCCAAAAAAAACGTATTATTTTGGACAACGAGGGCACTACAAATAAATGTTAAAACTATGCAGCAACAAAAACACATTTAAAAAAAAATGAAAAAGCGCATACAATGATCAAACTTAAAACCACAAAAAAGGATATCCAGTAAATGACACAGGAGTCAATGAATGCGAGGGCGATATCAGAGTACAGGACATTGACGCTGTTCTGCTCCTACAAACCAACAGAAAAAAGAAGCGGCGAGTGAATCACTCAAAACACATGACACCACAATATGAGTTTGTGTTTGACATTACACCCAACGACTCATCGGACTGGCAGCAAGGTGGATTCGTAACATCCTCCCCCTGAGTCATGTCATGCTGAAGGTTAGATCCATAATTATGGACTGTAAATTATTTCGGCACTCAGATGATGGATTACTTGTCGTAATAGAAATCATTTACAGCCATTTGTCAATCAAACTGCTGGACTGGGTCTCCCCCCACACCATTGTCGGTCATTTCAGGGTTGGTGAAGAGGACAGGAGCAGGACCGGTTCAGATATCACTCACCACTGATAGCCATGGCCAGGAATAAATCTCTGGTCCATGGGGGCCTAACAGAGTGCACGAACCACTGTGCCACCGTATCACCAGAGGTGTAATATACTTTGTCGTAAACGTGTTGTGCATCGCGTACATCAATAATGTAAAAGTAAGCAAAATGGAGAGCACGAGACAGCCCAGGTCTTACCCCAGAGATACGTAAAATGCCCTCCACTGAAGAAAATATGAGGTACAGCATCCCCACGCCAACCACTTTGTACATCGTGGTACCCAGACGAGGTCTACAAAAACACGTTGTTGAACGCCAAGTTTAGATGTCAACTTTGTAGGGCAAGATGTCTCAACATTGACCAAAAAAGGGGAGTGAAAAATCACACCATTAATAAAAAAACACATTCTGATTTTACTAAGGAAACCACAAATCCAAGCAACTCACTTGACTATGCCATAGCCAAGGCTGACAATGATGACCAGAAGGCGAGCCAGGGTCCTCTTGAGGGCAGAGAGTAGCTCCGCAAACACTACAGCCCCTCGGACTGCAAATAAATCAGTTTAAAGGGTCGTTAATATTCATGGTGGTGGCGGCTGCAGCAGAATACTTTTTTCAAATCTCAGCTAATGCACAGTCTGTGATCATACTTTGTGAAAAGGATTATGGGCGTGATTGCAGTTTCTCAATAAAACTGAACACAGGTGAGAGTTTAGTAACATTGCAACTAAGTATACAATCACAGCACAGAGGTAGAATTCTACCATGGTCTAAGGGTGAGCAGCATCCCAGAGATCTCTGATTTGATCTCCCTAGCGTGGCAGTTGAAACAATGGGAACTTTTTTTTGTTAAATACCCCTCCCTTTGTTCACCCAGAAACATCAATGGGCACACCACAGTTAGTCGATTATCAAGTTGGGTATGGTGGGGTAAACTGTAGGTGCTCACACCTCTTCCAAGACTTTTGGCCAGTGTGGAAGAGTATGTCAAATACCCTTTCTCTAGATGGGTTTCTCTCAGAGGTCGCAACCGGGTACCCGATACCCGTACCCTACCCGATACCCGGCTACCCGTACCCGGTCGGGTACGGATACGGGTACCCGTTTGCGACCCTGGTGCGGCCGGGTACGGGTACGGGTAGACCGTGAGTCACTGGTGAGTAACCGTTTGTCACTCATTTCCCAACGTCTTGTCTCTTCTCAAATCAAGTTCCTAGAATCAACCCACCCGCGCCTGCAACATGGCTTCATCCCAGAGGTCGCAATCAGGTACCCGATACCCGTACCCTACCCGTATCTGGCCGGGTACGGGTAGGGTACTGGTACGGCCGGGTACGGGTACCCATTTGCGACCCTGGTGCAGCCGGGTACGGGTACGGGTAAGGAATCAAAACCCGTTTGCGACCTCTGGTTTCTCTGGAGCTTCCCCTCACGGAGGTCCATCTGTCAGTAGTGGTGTGAGAACATAATGGCAGGACTGCAACTTCTAATTTCACCTACAGAAGTTAGTTCACCGTCTACCTCGCTCGTCATTGCTACACACCAGAGGTGCCGTAGTAGTTGATGCTGTGGTACTCGGCATAGAAAACGGCCTTCTCAAGCATGCCGAGAAGAATGACGGCTCCAATCCAGAACTGGATGCGCAGGAGGTCCTTCCAGTAGCAGGCCGACCAGGCCAGCCATAGGGCACCGTACAGAGAGTACAGCACGCACATCGCGACATAGAACTAAACACAGCATTGGAAACAGGGAGAAAAGAAAAAAGAGTTTGTTTCAAAACCCACACGGAATATAGTCATTACATTATATTGAACTGCATTCACTCTGTGAAGCTGTTCCCCGTGGCTAGCACCTCACATTTAGACGCTATGTCAATTTCATCTGTATTGTAAAGTGTATACATAGGGCATGTAATGATTAACCAAAATCAATTCTTATGTAGCTCACAGTGTGTGCATCCAATCACGCGTGAATGACTATTTGCTATGTGTATCATATGGAAATGTTACCTTCAGGCGAATGAAACCAATTAAACACAACACAGAACACAAAAACACTATACCAGCGAATGAGTACACAATTATAAATGAGGCAAAAAATATTACCTTCTTGAATCGTGACCCTTCATTGTGACAATTAAAGTCCCAGGGTAAAATATATAGTTACACGACTAAAATACGCAAAACACTTTATAATACTTACAATCATAAGTGGCCAGTCGGCAGCCGATATAAAGCCTTCCTCGCTCTTCATTTGAACTTGTACTACAATGAACACACAAGGCAATTTTAGGATTCACACAAGCCCAAACTCATTGGATTGTGACCATATGAGACATTAGCTGTAGCTATACCATTTACAAATGACAATTACATACACACAGTGCAGAACTATTAACCATATTAACTCTTGAAACTCTATGTTGCATCTTGAAAAAGTGTCTACATTCAATCTAATCAGCAGAAAGATTGTATTAAACAAATAAAGCAACATAGTTAATGTGCTAATGTCCACATTCTGTGCTGTTTGTTACTGGTCGCTGACGTTTTGGACTTTGGGCCTGTGTTCAACGATTATTTAAGAATATGTATGTTTGAGAATTAATAGTGCATTTATAGCTCGAATAAATCACACCGAAACATGCGACTGCTAAACAAACCGGGTATTTTCCATTCTGGCCCGACAGTTGTGTTGCTTTGAGGCTGGATACTCATTATGAAGAGGTATGGCCCATCTCTCCGTGTCCTTGTCAGCACATTCTTCTGTAAACACGATGATAAAATAATAGGTTTTAGCCTTTCTGGCAATAAAACAGGTGTTAAGATTATCAAGCACAAAATACAGTAAAACCTTGGATTGCGAGCATAGTTCGTTCCGGAAACGTGTTTGTAATCCAAAGCACTTGTATATCAGTTGTGATCACGTGACACTCGGCAGACAAAGCGTATACACGTACTACTCGTATTGCAAGACCTCGCTCGTTTATCAAATTAATATTTATTTTAAAAAATTGCTCGTCTTGCAAAACACTCACAGACCAAGTTACTCACAATCTAAGGTTTTACTGTAGAAAGCTATTGTAAGGCATCAAAAGTCTGCATTAACCCCACGTACTTATGGCAAAAAAGCAAACAAATAATATGCATTGTCTTTAAAATTGATTGGCCTACACCAGAGACAGCCTTCATTATGTGCTTGGCTCATATTGTCGATTCTACAACATTGCACACAGCATCAATATCTTTTTTGTATTAATAATAAAGTTAAAGTCTTACCCCTTTTTTGTTTGCGACTGTACTGGCCTTTTGCTCAATTTTGGAAACCTGCTGTCAGAAAAAAAGGACAATCGTGTGATGAGTGAAAGAGAGAATTTTCTGTGCTCAAAGCAGACACATCGATTGGATATTTTCAGTTGTAGGCCCACTGAATCTAGTTCAACATCTCAGGTTTGAATTACCTTTTCCTCCCGTTTAGTTTTTGTGGAATTACTGGCTTTAGCCTGTAAAATAAGAAATAAGAAACACCTAATTCAGTCCAAGTTAAAACAAGTTTGGATTTAAACAGATGCATTTCAATGACAGACTTCTTCAATAATAAATGATGTTCGTGTGTTCTTTTACAACAGTCCAGATCTTACCGTGTTATTAACTGCTTTGCTAAACTTCCCAATCGTTGGATGAGCTCCCATGAGCTACACACAAGAAACACACAAAATGTGTTCTCAAAAAACGCATTACTCAAAAAACAGTTGCACTTCTCTCAGCAAACAGGTGAACCCGTTCATTTTCACTCATCACAAAAACCTGGAAACCCACAACATCTCAATGTCCAAAAAGCAAGCTTTTGTTGGGAGTAGGGGGGGTTTGGTTTAGAAAAAACCGAATGATTAAGTTAATTCTGTTGCCCATCTATGGGAGATGATACAAAATTATAAAATGTGTTTTTTATTGTTGCAATGAAGCTAATATGGGATACCTTAAAATGTGGGTTATCAACTATCTTCCAGAACACACCTAAAATATACCAGCCGCTCTCTTCTGCTTACCTCCAGATTGAAATTTGCACATGTCATCGATACTTGGTTGGTGGTGTAATCTATATCATCCGCGATCTTCTCTTCCAAAATCAGCTTCACCTCCATATCCTGCTCAGAATCAGTGACACACCACATTGTAAGGGAAATGTCATCAAAACATATAATTTCAAACGTGGATATATAGAAGATTAGTGCTAAAACAAAGAGAGTAAGACGGTTTACAGCATTATTCATGAAGTATTAGGCTTTACATCCTGAAAAGCAATATATTTTATACATGTATTGTAAATTACTTTAAAACAAAGAAGCGGTAAGTGTTATTCATAACATTCAGTAACCACATACTTACTGGAATGTTTGCAATCTTATTGTAACACTTGGAATGTAACAGCATCCATTTCACATCGAAAATGGCGTTTGGTTGGCATGTCTTCTCTGACACTGCAAAAGAGAGAACGTTATTCAGTTTTGTTCTATATTAAACTCAAGAATACTGTATTATTATATTGTTGACCGAGTAAATACAATCACGTACATTTACACTGTTTAAGAACACTCACCCACGAGCATGACATCAGTGTTGTTAAACAAAGTCTTGTAGAAATGAAACATCAGGTTTTTCTAGAGAAAACACACAACATTGTGGTTAATATTTGCAATTACATTGTGTGGCACTAGAGAATAAAACTGGAAAAAGTTAGTTGCTTATACATCAGCAAACACAGTGCAAGGAATGAAGATATGACATTTAGCACATACGTGTTACAATTACTCATGTGGATCCATCCCTTTGTCAAACCACTGTTAAATGAGGGCCTCCCAACTTCATGCGAGGTGTGAGGATAACTTGACCATATTTCACCACGCTGGTCAGTGCAGATTCAAGGTGGAGTGCAATTACTTGAGAGCACAGATTTAGAGTGCAACATTGGATATTGCTGCAATGTCCTCTGCTCCGTCTTCGCTAAGTGATGCAGCATAAAACATCTGTTATGCATGGTGGCCACCTATCCAAACACTATCCTCCGATGAGCACAGTTGGCTATATACGGTGCGAAAGAAGTTCAACACACGTACACATCTAGGCTCAACACAGCTTAGCTTCTGAGATGGGTGACCACCATCTACAGAGGCGTAGTGTAGAAAAAATTGATTGTTGCAAAGTACTTCTCCGCTTCTAATTACTGTCCTGCATGTATGCTTTCCACCTTCACCAAGCCACACTGACCAACATGAAAGTGGAGTGTGGTCACAAGGACCCCCCACGGTGCCAGGGAGGCCCTTAATGCAGCAGTGGACTGACAAAGGGCTGTACAAGTATCGTATATTTGTGCAAGCGATGTGTCCAGGTCACGGGTGAACACACACCGGGGCCGACGTGGAGGGAACAATCCGTTGACAAATAAAAAGCACTCCATTAAGTGAGGCTCCACGTTATACGGAAATGCGATCATACAATATAAATACGTGTACTGGATTGGATTGTCATATTTGTATTTGCACGCTCGTTGGTTTTGTTTGAATAGTATTTTTACTCCATTGGTTTCGTGTATACCTTAACATTTTCAATTAAACGTGTGTTGACAATTGTGTTTTTTCATTACGTTATACTTCTTGAGATGGTTTGAATTTAGACACCTTATAAATTGCAATTACTGCACTGTATTAATTTCCAGATTGGGAATGGTGGCAGACTGGTTAACGGCGCTGTGTTTATGAACTTAGCGACCAGTTAGTTTCTAAGCCACAACTTGAATCAGTGGCGAGTGATATATATTCAAACTGACCCTGCCTACTTAGCCTTCACCTACACTCACTGACCAGCATGGAGAAGTAGTCAAAAACCCATGGCCATATCTGTCAACCCATGCAGTTTAGCCCTATTCTTGTACAGGGAATATTGAGTTTTCAGGTCCATACAGCGTACAGCCGTTTCAATACGGACAAAAAAATGCATTTGTTTGCGTTTCTCCCATGTGATGGAACTTTGTAGGATGAACGTTGAGATGTATAAGGGCATGCATGGGATGACCAACAAGGTCTGAATTGTTATCTAATGAGGTAAGCACTGATAAGGGGTTGACAGGTATGCATGGATGACATGGCGTAGGGAGACACTTCCTTCAGCCAGTGTGGATAGAGAACGGCTGCATTTTGAGTCGAACAATTTCCACACCGGTTACACGCCACGACGTTCGTCCCCGTCGAGGATTACGACGAGGCCGCCCGCGTCGCGAGCTACAAAGACGCAGACACCACTCACACACAGACACCACACACAGACACCACTCACACACAGACACCACTCACACACAGACACACAGTCACAGACACCACTCACACACAGACACACAGTCACAGACACCACTCACACACAGGCACACACAGACACCACTCACACACAGACACCACACACAGACACCACTCACACACAGACACCACACACACACAACACACACAGACACACACACAGACAAACACAGACACCACTCACACACACACAGACACCACTCACACACAGACACACAGACACACACACAGACACCACTCACACACAGACACACACAGACACCACTCACACATAGACACACACAGACACCACTCACACACAGACACACACAGACACCACTCACACACAGACACCACACACACACAGACACACACACAGACACCACTCACACACAGACACACACACACACCACTCACACACAGACACACACACAGACACCACTCACACACAGACACACACAGACACCACTCACACACAGACACCACTCACACACAGACACACAGGCACCACTCACACAGACACCACTCACACACAGACACCACTCACACACAGACACCACGCATACACAGACACACACATATACCACACACACACAGACACCACAGACACAGAGACACACAGACACAAACTAACACACACACAGACACACACACAGACACCACTCACACACACACACAGACACCACTCACATAGACACCACTCACACAGACACAACTCACACACACACACACACACCACTCACACACAGACACACACACACAGACACCACTCACACACACACAGACACACCACTCACACACCACTCACACACAGACACACCACACACACATACACTCCACACACACAGACACCACTCACACACAGACACACCACACACACACACACCGACACCCCACACACACACACACACCACTCACACACCACTCACACACAGACACCACTCACACACAGACACACACACCACACTGAGACACACAGAGAGACAGAATCCCTGCGAGGGCAGCACGAGGAACTCCCCGAGGTGGGACCGAGAGGGGAGCCACGGGGCGGGGGGTGTAGATCACAGCCTGGGGTGGGTAACTCTCATCCCGGGACAATCCGTGGGTTTGGGATTCCAGGGCACTACAACAACAACAACGACAACAACAACGACAACAACAAGAATGGAAAAAAAATGACACGAATTTCTGAGGCCGCTCCGCGACTTCCAATTCCCCAGCGAAGACGCGCGTGGGACCCTCGGCGTTGCTCGCACGCGATTGGTCGACGGCCGACTCCCGGCGGACGGTGGCGACCAATCACGCGCGAGCGTTCGCCCATCCGCGCTACCAAATTCGCCTTGGGTGGCTGTGGTGGCGAGGAGAAACACCACCACCACACCCCCGTCTCGGATCCAGGCCCACGACGACCGCCGCAGCCGCCGCCGTTCGCTCACCGCGTTGAAGACGCCGTCCTTCTTGCCGACCTGAGGCGCGACGGCCACGGCGCAGAGCGCGAAGTGTAGGAGGAGGAGGAGGACGGCGGCGGTGACGGCGACGCCGCCGCTGCTGCTGCTGCCCCGAGCCGCCATGTCGGCTTCGTCGCGGCTGTGACGTTGTGCGCGTCATCACCTCTGTCTGTATTTACAGACAGCGGCTTGTGTTTTACCGTCGCCCACGTTGGGGGGTGGGGGGGGTGTGACCAAGAGTTGTGGGTGGCCAAGTTGGCCACTGACCAGGCCATGCGAATGATCAGAGGGGGCTTTGCGCTCTTCCAGTTGGGTGGGGAGCGGTTCGTGCAACTACGAAGCCAGCCCCACCTGAGTTCGATTCCAGCTCATGGCCAACACCGGTGACGATTATAATTATCTGAACCGGTCCTGGGCCTCCCCTAGGTCGACTCAGCATCAAATGAGTACCTGGTGCGGTGTGTTAAATATCGCCACTGGGGAGACAAAGGCGGCCGGGTGTGGTGCCGGCCACCCCACCCCCTCGTGTGCTGTGCTGACCTTCATAGGTGCTCGCTAACAGCACTTGCCCACCCCAATGGTTTGTTAAGGCTATAGGGGGGATTTTTCATAATAAAGGTTTTTGGGTTATATCGCGTTATTATGTGTCGCAACCCTCCACCACCCGACACGGCCAATCAGTAAAAAATGTGTCACGTTAACAAAACGCCAATTAGTTACTTCTTCAGCCCACCGGTGTCTTTGAAGAGTTCATCCACAATATTTAGAATTTGAGTAGTACGACGTTTCGCTGGTAATTACATCCAGCATCTTCACTTTCTCGGGTGAGAGTGTAAAAATCCACCCGCTCATGAATATTAATGACGGGGGGGGGGGGGGTGCGGCATGTGGAGTGACGTCACGCGCGTTACACACACATTCTTGGCTCATTATAGTCGTAATAATACTGGTCGCGAAAGCCTCCGTGTTAAAAGGTGGGATCTTTGTCTTGTGGCTGGAGACGCACCCACGGTGGGGGGCAACGATGGGGGACTTGGGGAGGGGGGGGGGGCAACGGTGTGGGGGAGGGCAATTGTCCCCTCCCCACCGAAATATTTTTACTGTCGTATGCCCATAATGCAAATTAGTAACTGACTCGTGAAAGCTAACGTGTCATTCAGTTTGCTTACACGTGTAATGCGAGCGTAAATGGGGTTGTTGCTGGGCTCTGGTCCAATCACACGGCCCGGGGTGTTGGGGGGCGGAGCCTGGTCTGCGGGGCGTGTGGGAGGGGCCACCGTTCACCTCGGCTCCAATGGGAGGCGAGGTGAATGGGGGCGGAGCCAGCGGGGTAGTATGGGAAGGCCGGATCTGAGGATCCGGAAGGGGGGGAGTCAGGGTCACGTGGGGGGGAATGTATATAAGTGGGAGCCCGGAAGAGATCGGGGCAGTCGGGGAAGTTAAGAGTCTGAGCCACGTTGGGTGGTGAGAAAGGATCCGCGCCATCGGCCACGTGGCCGAAGGACCTCTGCACGCCGTCGGCCAGCGGTGTGCGGAGTGCGGGAATAGAGGAGCTAACGGAGGAGCGTGCGGGGCACGCGAGAGAGAGCGTGTGTGGCACGCGAGAGGAGTGTGTGTGGCACGCGAGAGGGAGCGTGCGCGGGGCGCACGCGAGACGACACTGGTCCGAGAGGAGGCCAGTGGGGGGTGCGGAGAAGAACCTGAATAGAACACGGAGACCAGCATCGCCTGACAGAGTCTTTTATTACACATGTGTAGTGGGTTCAAGGAGAGTGGAGACGACTTGTAGAGGCAACACGTTTATTTACAACACCGGTAACAATAGCAGTCTTAACACAAAAGGCAGCGGACCCTTAACCTCCTGCCTGGGGAGGTACGGCCTCTGGGCTAGTGTGCCCTATCATTGGGACCACGGGCTCTCTCTCCTCCGGCTAAGGGTGATCTAGGTGGGGCTATACTGACCCGACCCAGCCAAGGTACGGGTCCCGACCACTGGCCCACTCGGTCCCGGCCCTTACAAGGACGTCGGGCCCGGGGGTTCCCAGGGTCTCACCACTGGCCCACTCGGTCCCGGCCCTTACAAGGGCAGCGGGTCTAGGGGTTCCCAGGGTCCTAGGCTAGCTGGTCTTAGGACTGGCCGCGGACTCGTCCAGAGGTCCGGCTTTTATACACCTCCCCATGTGTGTCCGCCCCTAGCCACGCCTCCCTTCCAGAGAGTTCCAGGGGGGGTCTTGGGGGATCCTAGAACACCCCGCAGCCCCCCCCCCCTACTTTGGGGCTGGGGAATGTAGCGACCCTCATGCCGGTCCAAGTTACTACCCCTGGTGGGCTCTGTCTGCTACTGCAGGTAAGTACACGTAGCCCATTTACAGCGGTACACATAGAAACACATTCCTGCGGAGGGAGCTGGTAGGAACGTTGGGTTGCTCGGTCAATGGCCAGGGTCAACGGCAGCGTGGTGTATTCCGCAAATATGCCCGACTGTGAGGACGGGCACAAGCCGGCGTGAGTAGGTTAAATGTTGAGTTTTATAAGGGCAACACGGGGTGACCAGCCCCTCCCCACCCAGCCCCACCCCTCCCATCACCCACCCAGCCCCACGCTCCCCGCTCAGCCCCTCCCCACCCAGCCCCTCCCCACCCTTCTCACCCAGCCCCTCCCCACCCTCTCCACCCAGCCCGACCCCTCCCAATTTTGGATGCACGACGGACGGACACAATAATCCCTTTTGGGCTGGTGGAACCAGGTGGTTCCTACCAGTATAATGTAATACTGTATTATAGAATCGTGATGTTTGATTGCGATCAATTTCGTTTCTTCAAATGAGTGAACTTGAGAATAGGTTTTCCCCTTGAACTGAAAGGTTTCAGTTTGGTGTTTTAACATCTTAACACCTGTTTTGTTGCCAGAAAAAAAGTGGAAAAACATATTCTCATATTTTGGTACTGGCAAAGGAGGTCCCATAATGAGTGAACTTGGTACCAAAGTGGAAAATGATTTTGCCACCGACGAGAGTTGTTTGTGTTCCACTGACAACGCAGTATCACCAAATAATCCGAATAACAAACACACGTTGATTATACGCCTCCTATATTTGACTCTCACACATTTCTTTTTTTTTTACATCCCATCAGCCACGCGGCCTTATTATGGGAGTGTTTTTTTTCATCAGCGCAATGATTTAATCCAAGACAACTCCGGACCCGTTTCAACATTCAATGTCTCATCAGCAAGGTCAGGCTCGCTTCCATCGATGCTGGTAAACTGCCAGATAGAAGACAAGCTCTATGATTTTGGGGCCGTCCATAAACGACGTCACGCGATTTTGGACGATTTTTGCCCCCCCCCCCCCCCCATCGTCACGCGGCGTCACAAAAAGTCAGACCCCCCCCCTCAAATATGACGTCACAAAGCTCTGCCCCCCCCCACAAAATAAAACATGCTTCAAATCGCTTTAAACGATTGTCATTGTAGTGCGTATTTAATGTGGCGCTGCATTTATATAAAAAAAAGTCTAATTAAGTAGAACGTGTTGTCTATATTTATTTAAAGTTGCGCATTTTGATGTGACGTCACATTTCTCACCCCTCCCCCCCTCGTCACACATCGTCACAAATGCCTGACCCCCCCCCCCCACCCCGGGGGGGGGGGGGCAGAGCTTTGTGACGTCATATTTGAGGGGGGTCTGACTTTTTGTGACGCCGTGTGACGACGAGGGGGGGAGGTCAAAAATCGTCCAAAATAGCGTAACGTCATTTATGGACGGCCCCTATCACGCAAATAATCTAAATTATTGCACATGTAAATCAATGTTAAATCACGTAGAGGCACGTGTAAAGATGATCGCCCTTTGCCAACACACTGCTGGGTGGTGGCCTTCCCCCGCGCCATTGCGGGTCCTGATGGTTACTTCACCATACTTCACCACGCTGGTCAGTGCGAGCTCGCGAAGGTGGGGGACGCGTGAACGCGGATGAACGCGGGAGCTAAAGCCTGGCAGGATCAGCGAAAAATGTTGGTGCACTGCCCTCTGCTGCCCATCACGTAGCGTAGTCCAAAAAACTGCTATGCCATGGTGATCCAAGCTTGCTTCCAAGATTTGACGTGATATGGCGCGCATTCCGGGTGAATGTTAAGGTAATTTTACACCTGGTACGCTGTGTATATATCGCCACTGGGGAGACAAAGGCGGTCGGGCGTGGTGCTGGCCACCCACCCCCCTCGTGTGCCCTTACGGCCTTCTAAGGTTTGCGCTAGCAGCATTTCCCCCAATAGTCCTGTTAAGGCTACACGAGGGATCTTTTTCCTTGCTTTGTACGACCTTCGAAGAAGCTTATTCTTAGGTTTTTTTCGGTAAAGTCACGTAGGTAAAACATTAAAATTAATAAAAAATAATTTTAATGTTTTACCTACGTGACTTTACCGAAAAAACCTAAGAATATGAATCCTTGCAGTCACGAAAGCTTCAAATCTAGAATTTGAAGAAGCTGTTTGGCTGCATAACCCAAATACAACTTTAAAACCTGATCCCACAGACGATGTAATTACATACCTGGACAAATGGGTGGGTTACGCCCGTCACTGTCACCACTGAAAAAGACAAAATACAGTGCAGCACCTTCTTCTTTTGCTCCGTCAGATAATAATGTAATACTACAAATAACAACTTCAACTTGTAACGCGCACAGCATTCGCTCGCTCTCCAACAGAGGGAACGACTCGGGTGCGAGTAGGAACCGCAGACAAGGTGGGAAGGCGGCAACAGCAGCCACACCAAATATTCCCACCCCCCAAAGTTCTGCAGTCCTCGATATATTATTCTAAAAGATCTTACCAGCCAATCATTTACTGTCTAACACGTACGCTTTCGCGACCAACATCATCCATAATACAGGTTTTTTTGGGGGGGGGGGGGGGGAGTTAGATCGCGTAAATATGTCTGTTTACACGTGAGTGGAAATCAGAGCGCCCGGAGAAAAACCCCGCGTGCAAGGGGGAAACACTCTATCCCATACCGATGGAACAGGTGAGCCAGGTTATGGGCGCCGCTGCGTCCTTGGGAAGGAAGCTCAACAACATTTGTGTGATCCACCAACGCTCGCCTCCCTCCACAATTGCGGAATTATAGGCGTGCGACGCAACCGTCGAAACTGATCGCGGGCCACACAATGACCCGCCCTCTTGCATCATTAAACGAGAAGCATTTGAGATATTGACCGGGCCACTTCGGCCCTACTCCCGGCCATATGAATGATGGCAGAGTCTTGACTGTGGTGTGGCGTAGCGTGTCTCGGAAGGGTGCTAAATTGCCTAGCAACACAGTCACACACGAACCGTTCGCCCAGGGCGAGGGGATGGTCTGAACTCATTTCACACATTCACGCACACACATATGTTGGCAGAACCCGTTCAGAATCAGAATTTTTATTTATACTAAAGGAATCCGATGAGCTACAGCGTTCTTTTTCACAGGTGTCGAGTAAGTGGGCGGGTCAGAACGTTACAGCAGAAAACAATACACAACACGATAATAGGAGTGCAAAGTATAGGAAAGGTAAACACATCGGAAGTAGAACTTTAGTTCACCAGGTTCAGAGCGCACCAATGCGCCGCCGCACCAAATATTCAACGTGAGTTTAAAAAGGACTGCGTTGACAGAGTTGCAAAAATAGTATTAATCACCTAACCACAATGATGATTAGCATCGCTTCAATTACCCGCACTGACCGGTGGTGCGGTGAATGGTCAAACAACTCTCATGGCCGACACGACGTGGAGAGGGCACTTATTCAGCAGTGGAGAGATTATGGCTGGTTATTATGACAATGACGAATGCATTGTTTTAACTCTGGTCGAGTTTAAGAAGCAATGCATATGTAGTGGCTTTTGGCTGCATCGCTGTGCAACAGAGCCGAATTTCTCACTGACCGTAATGAATCAAGTTACGCGTGACCAATAGCCACTGCCGGACTTAATTGCAGCCGGAGGCTGTCCTAGGGCAGAGCTCCGTAAAATATTCCCCCTTCCCCGCTGCCGGAGGAATTTTTGATTTTTTTTTTACCCTGGCCACAGCTGTAGCGAGGGGCATACTGCACATACAAAAGTATATTTTCCGGGTCGCAGAGCTGAGTGAAATAAATCCCTGACTGTTGCATGGCAGAGAAAGAGAGATGGGTGGGGTGGGGTGGGAGCTCTGTGCTTGACTCGGATGGGTGGAGTCGCCACCCGGACCAGCCCAAACCAACCCAGCCCAGTTTTTTTTTGTTCCCTGCGCTCTCGGCAACGACTAAAGCGCATTAATAATGAAATAAAACACTACACAAACTCTGTTTCCCCGCATGACGTATATCCTGCACGGAGCAAAGCGCACTCACAACCACAGGCAACATCGCGATCATAATCACAATCACACGTTGACAGCTTATAAGCTAGCTAGACAGCCAAGCTTGGCTAACTCATTCACCACAACACACTAACAGGCTGCTACGGGGGACTCGAGAAGTTTTCGTAGAAGATGGCATTCTTCTCGACAGACAACCTAGGTGCCGGCGGTCGAGGGGGGGACGCGTCCGCTCAGCAGAATCCCGCGGCCGTGTTTGGACCCCAGGAGCCCGGGGCCTTCAGCAACAGCGCCATCAGGAACAGGGGTGCCTTCGTGTGCCAGACGAAGCACAAGGCTTTCGCGGAGCTGAAGAGGGAGTGCCTGGCGAAGGGTGCCCTCTTTGAGGACGCGGAGTTCCCGGCCACGGACTCATCCCTGGGTCCGTCCTTCTCCGGACAACGACACCAGTGGAAGCGACCGCAGGTAAAAATGCATTTTCACAATGATATTCATCACGATAATCCATCATCATCATCATCATCAAATATCATCATCAGTGAGATATTGCCGTGGTGTGATGGAAAGTTAGCACACTGGACTTGCAATCCAGAGGTGTGGCCGGTCAGATTTCGGTCGATGTCCCGGTGCGCTGGTTGAAATAAATTATAAGTTTTGTTTAAATTCCACCCGCTGCATCATTCATCAGTGAATTAAACAAGGTGCGTAAGTGTACACCATTATCATCATACCCAAGATACGAACACTCAGTGCGTTATCACCATCGGTGTGTTATGGCCTTAAAAGTTTTCAATAGCACAGCGACCATGTGCGTGTCGGCGTGACGCTACCGTTGAGAGAGTCACCCTCATCAACATGATGTCGGGAAGGAGTAAGAACACTGTTGCAGATGATCCTCCTGTCATCGCCATCATTAACATCATCATCTTGTCAGAAGTAATGGCACCGTAGAAGGAAGCTCCATCGTCAAGATGAAACAAAAGTGTTGTACTGAAGAGTGTATCTCATCATCCGCGATTGAATTACAAAAAGGTAAACATTGAACCGTATTAGTACACACATTCGCATCACTGTCAGGCGTAATAGCACGATCATAGAGTGCATACTCATAATCGTCACGACTGTACTCTGAAATTCTTCAACGGCCACCAGCAAGCCCTCATCCAGCAGTGGAAGCGCTTAGAAAGTGTTCAAAAGTAGTTAAATGATCCGTCGGTTGATTGAATGGCATGTACACGCTTCACAAAGTCTCAATTCATAACCGCAGTGCCCGTCACACCGAGGCTCAAAGAATGATCATGACACTTTCACTGTCACTTGTAAATCCAGATTCCTGAACGTGTGCTTGTGTTGCATAAGCAGCTCACTTCTGATTCGATTTAAAGCTTTCGTGACTGCAGGGATTCGTCTTCTTGGTTCCTTCGGTAAAGTCACGTAGAAGGGAAATAATAAAATAAGAAAAATTAAACATAATAAAATAAAAATTCTCACGACGTTTCGGCCACAACACAAGCAGCCATTCTCAGGTGAAGAAACAGAGCTGTCGGAAAGACAGCGTCCCCCCAATGAGGGTAGATTGACCAGCTGTCGGAAAGACAGCGTCCCAGACAGCGACCCTCATTGGAGACAGCTCTGTATCTTCACCTGAGGACGGCTGCTTGTGTTGTGGCTGAAACGTCGTGATAATTTTTATTTTATTATGTTTTATTATTTCATTATTTCCCTTCTACGTGACTTTACCGAAAGAACCAAGAAGACAGCTCACTTCTGATTATGAACCAGGTCGCAAATATTTAGACAAATGTCCGTTTCTGTCGCACATTACCAACCTCATCACACCATCATCATCAGCCATGGTCGATCTACCGCGAGATGAAGCCGCCACCACACCTCATGATCCTGCGATGTAATAATCCGCCTCGCCACCTGCACATTAACGGATTTCATTGTTCGATCCCATCGACGGATGTCCTTCCTCACGCGTGTTCCATTCCTTGGCCGCCATACCGTCACGATTCCTTCACCACTGCCCGCCCGCAATCCCCTTCTGGAGACTGTGCCTAGCCCAAGCCTTGCTTAGTGCCTCCGGCTTAGCACGGTTGGCTACGTACGGTGCGAAAGAAGTTCAACATACGTACACACATAATGCTGCCGAGATCGGATTATATTGTCTAATCCAGTGATCCTCACCAATTTTCAGTGATTGGGGGGGGGGGGGCACTTTCGCCGATAAGACATCATCAGTGTGAGGGCCGGCACACCGCCTGCAAGGTGGTGGTGTTGTCACTCGTTGTGTGCTGTCGGGGGCCCGCAGGTCAGGGGCCGCATAAAAGGCCACCAGGGGCCACACAATAGGCCAACAACATGTTCCTATTTCGATTTAAAGCTTTCGTGACTGCAGGGATTCATCTTCTTGGTTCTTTCGGTAAAGTCACGTAGAATGGAAATAATAAAATGATAAAAATAAAACATAATAAAATAATTCTCACGACGTTTCGGCCACAACGCAAGCAGCCGTCCTCAGGTGAAGAATAGGTCTGTCGAGAAGACAGAGTCTGAATGAAACAACCCCAGGCTACGTGACTTTACCGAAAGAACCAAGAAGAACATGCTCCTATTATATCTTTCAATAGGAACAACTTTTTTTAAAGTTCATTAGCCAATAGGCATTCCGGCCCACGTAGTATTTTTTGTTTTACGAAATGATTAGCTGGTTAAACAATTTCGTGATACTGACCTTGGCGAGAGGTGCATAAGGACATATAACCAACACTCAACACATTTGTCAAAATCACTGCCCTAAGAGAAAATATATTTTAAAAAATAGATAAAATGTCGGGCAACGTCTCTTCTCCATAGCACAGCAATGATTCGCTTAGGGTGCACGTTAAGGCATGGAGGGGGGAGGGAGGTTGTCTGAATTCCAAGACAAGCATTTTACGCACAACGCTGTTAATTTAAAAAAACACACACACACGACAGCTGATTTTGAAGTCTAACATGAACACAGCACGGTGAGAACAGAGCGAGCAGACTAATCATCAGCCATGGTCAATCCACTGCTGGATGAAGGCTTCGCCAAGCCGGGCGGTGGTGGTGCACGCCCGTAATCAAGCACCGTGGAGGCGAGGGTTTCGTGGATCACACACACATGTCGCAGAAACTCCCTTCCCGTGCGTGTCGATGGAGGAGGCGTAGCCCTTGCTCGCTGGGAGAAAGTGTTACAGCTCGGTCCAGACTCCCACCTGTTCCGTCTGTATGGGATGGAGTGTTTCATCCCCTTCCACGCGCGCGGTTTTCTCCCGGCGCTCTGATTTCCACTCACATGCAAACAGCCATTAATTAAATTTCGATTTAAAGCTTTCGTGACTGCAGGGATTCATCTTCTTGGTTCTTTCGGTAAAGTCACGTAGTTGCTCCGTCGAGCAATCATTCCTGGCCAGGTCGCCTCTGCAAAAGAGCTGCATAGCTCAGTGGGCCTGGAAACTGGTAACATTAAGAGGTTATATCGGTAAAGTCACGTAGAAGGGAAATAATAAAATAATACAAATTAAACATAGTAAAATAATTCTCACGACGTTTCGGCACAGGTCTGTCGGAAAGACAGGTCTGTCTTCTCGTCAGACCTGTTCTCCACCTGAGGGACGTCTGCTTGCGTTGTGGCCGAAACGTCGTGAGAATAATTTTATTATGTTTTATTTTTATTATTTTATTATTTCCATTCTACGTGACTTTACCGAAAGAACCAAGAAGATGAGCCATTGATTACTCTTTGGTTCTTTCGGTAAAGTAACGTAGAAATAAAAGAAATAATAGAATACGACGTTTCGATTGCAACACAAGCCATTGATTGGTTGATAACATATTTATATATAGAGAACAGCGAGGTCACCGCCTGGCTGCCTTCCGGCTTGTCTGTGCTTCCTCGGCGATTTCGAGACGCAGTTTTGAGTGAATGACGCTTTGTTAAACTAAACATTATAAAACACGAGGCCGCAGTCACCGCTCACGCAACTACGGTTAAGTATTGCAACCTCTGATTTTCTAAATTTCGTGTGCTATTGAACCCGCGTATTCATCGCATCACCTATCGGTGTACTTTGCCGATAAATAATCAAGTTGCACATAATGGACGTGCAACAACTGACCACCCCCAAATATTGAATCGATTGTCACAATTAGTATTTGTTGTATATACTGTTAGAGCAATGGCGTCACGTGCCTCACCCCTCTAGCCACCAGAGGCCGTTGTATTGACCGACAAAAAATCGATTGTTCAATCGAATCGTCACCATCATACGTAAATGATATAGAGGAATTTAGTAATATGCTAAATTCCTCTGTTGATATGCAAATTCCTTTGTCAAGGCGCCCTTCCTCCCCTAACCCAGCTTAAATATACGCTGTCAAACTTGGTGGTGTTCATTCAGACGCTGTCTTTCCGACAGACCTGTTCTTCACCTGAGGACGGCTGCTTGCGTTGTGGCCGAAACGTCGTGAGAATTGTATTTTATTATGTTTTATTATTATTATTGTATTATTTCCCTTTACGTGACTTTACCGAAAGAACCAAGAAGATGAATCCCTGCAGTCACGAAAGCTTTAAATCGAGATATAGAGGAAATTATTGTTATATACTCCCTACTGTGTACACATGTGTACCGGGAACACACAGACCCATGTAAGAGAACACTAGAGTGTGTGTTGAAGTGGGCACAGCAATACATCTCAAGCCACGACGCTAGTTCGTGTTGTTGCTCCCCACGGAAGGCAGATCGAATTCAGAAATCCCTCGACGCAGTCTTAAGGGTAGCACAGTAGTGGCAGTGGTTAAACGCATCGTGCCATGAAACCGGTTACCCGAGTTCCATTGGCAACCACAGCCAATGTCCGATGTCCTGGGATTAGGGGCCGTCCATAAATGACATCACGCACCGGGGGGGGGGGGGTCAGACATTTGTGACGATGTGTGACGAGCGGGGGGGGGGGTTGAGAAATGTGACGTCACATCCAAATGCGCAACTTTAAATAAATATAAACACGTTCTACTTAATTAAATAGACTTTTTAATCAATGTTTTCTCCTACAACATCAGCGTGCAGCGCTACAATGACAATAGTTTAAAGCGATTAGAAGCATGTTTTATTTATTTTGGGGGGGGGGGGCAGAGCTTTGTGACGTCATATTTGAGGGGGGGTCTGACTTTTTGTGACGCCGTGTGACGATGGGGGGGGGGGGGTCAAAAATCGTCCAAAATCGCGTGACGTCATTTATGGACGGCCCCTTACCACTTCAACAACCCGCACCGGTCAGCGCGGTCAGGTTATGGGGGAAAACAACTCCATGTGCATCATGGGGATGCCTTCATCCAGCAGTGGATCGGCAAAGTGCTGTCACAGATTCACTTTCGCACGTTTGATTAGCGTCAACGGTCCTCTTGGCCTGCGTCCCGACACACTGCAAGATGCCGCTTGCCCAGAGCCGCAAGACGCCACTTGCCGTGGAACTGCCACGAAGCTGACAACGCCCTGTCCATGTCAACCCACGCCTCTGACAATGCAGTGTCCGCGCTGTGTAGCGGCATGCCTGAGTAGAGGCCAACGTTCCGTTGAGAAAGCGGAGTGAGACAATTTAAATGTAACGAACGCCACTGTACGCTCCCATTATTTGCGTTGCGTGCTTGAATGGGGAATCGTGCGAACATTTATTTGTTTATTTACCAGCTAATGCCCCACTGAGCTATACGGCTCTTTTGCAGAAGCGGCCTGGGCACAAATGATAGCACAACGAAGTGGCTTATCACGTGGGAATTGATCGCAGCCGAATACTCGGACCTACAATCAGCACGGTTTGTTACATACAGAAGTTCAACATTCGTACATACTATATACATACTCCCCCTTAACTTGTATTTAAGAACTTGCATCTTGGAATCCCTGCCTCACTTGATACAGCAAATCTGGCTGTGACGGTCCCACCTGATGACGGAGACTTGTGTTGCCTCCGAAACGTCGTGATTTTTATTATTATTAATTTAAATTTTATTTTTTACCTACGCGACTTTACCGAAAAAACTAAGAGTATGAATCCTTGCAGTCACGAAAGCTTCAAATATAGAATTCATACATACTCTAAACGCACCGTTTCTAATTTCCATCATGGTGCTGTTCGTAAGAGGCGGCCGTGGAGTTATTGGTGACCACAATGGAATTCTAATGCAAAGGTCCCCGGTTCGATTTTGTTCTCCAGGCACTGGCAGTTGAAACAATGGGGAATTTGCTTAAATCCTCACCGCCGCATCTGTCCATCCAACTGTGCGCTGGGGTAAAGTGTGGGCAACTCCCATCTTTTACAAGACGATCGACCACAACGTGGAACAGGTGGCCAAAATGCTATCGAGGGCAGGCGTGAGCAAGCAAAATAACAAGAAGAGCTATTTTCTTCGAAGTCGGTTAAAAAAAACCCTACATATTTCGAGAGCTGCAACGCGTGTGAATACAACGGGACGGTACTTAATGAATACCGTCAAGCCATGTGTTTTTGTAATCACTATTCTGAGAGCAGCACACGCACAATGATTTGTAATGCCGCACTATAAATAATTTTCGGGCTTTTAGACATTCGCGTTTATCGAAAATAATTATAAAGGAATTTATTTTATACCTACGTGACTTTACCGAAAGAACCAAAGAGCATGGGATCCCTGCAGTCACGAAAACTTCAAATCTAGAATAATTAGGAGGGTTGTTTTTTTTCACGGTGTAATTATAGTGTCGGGAGAGCCTCGAAGCGCATTCGTCTCCGGAGCCGCAGGTAGCCGACCTCTGACCTCCTTCTGACGGTGGGGTAGAGTGACGGGCTTCTTGAGAGCTGCCTGTAGTGGAAGCTCTTGTTTTTAAATCCTTTATATTAAGTTCTACTTGCTTGCTTGCTTGCGCGCTTACGACCGTGCAAATCTTTCGGTCGTTTTTAACCCACTTCCCGTGATCCAATCGAGCTGACATTTTGCACACAGACTCGTTGTGCGTGACAATTTATTTTCTTGAAATTTTTTTTCCCATAACTTTACACTTTTTAGGGAAAAAAATGTATATTTAATTACCAATTGCTTAATGGTGGCAGGCAATCATCTGACCCATAGGTGGCAGCCATCTCAAGCCAGAGGACGAGAGGACTCTAGCCGCCACGCATATAAAGGATTTATAGTGAAAAACTTTATTTTTACGGGTTCATTTTTTGCCGGCCAGCAGTGGGTTGAGCGAGAAAATGTGCAGGGCTGCACCTTTACACCTTGCACTGTTTGCAGGAGATCGTTCAAAACCCGGAGTTCATCGTGGACGGTGCCACAAGAACGGACATTAAACAGGGCGCTCTGGGTAAGGCACGCGGCAGAAGATGAAATTGTAACATCGTGTGCGTGTGTGTGAGCTGAATGGGGCGTGGTAGTGTATCGGTTAGCGCTCTGCGCTGCGAACCCAGCGACCCGAGTTTGACTCCCACCACTAGTGACAATTATCTGAACTGGTCGTGGGGCTCCCCTACATCGATTCAGCCTCAAATGAGTACTCGGTGTGGTGTGTTAGCATCGCCGCTAGGGAGACAAAAGCGGGCGAGCGTGGTGCTGGCGACCCACCCCTCTTTGCCCAAAAGTCTGCTAAGACTACACGGGAGGTATTTTCCTTTATCCCATATAACAAATGAACACTCATTACAACTAGGATAATGACAATGTATGTGTGTGTGTGCGTGTCCTTTGGGATGGTATCTGCAAGCCATCTCAGTTCGCCCATAACACCTGGGGCTGTTCCTTGACCTCCTGTCAGCGAATCTTTGATGCTTCACATGGCCTCGATTTTGTACCGAGATTTATTTTGAGTGTCATTGCATGTCACGAGCACAACCATCACCACCACCACCACATAGTCCATGTTTCATTTGTCGCTACCACCTGAGTTTGCATCACTTTCGTGGCCCCACATTTCCTTACGTGGCCGATAACTAACAGTGAATTGATTTCACAACCATTTTAAAAGAATGGGGCCTGTCAGGTAATTAACTCTTATTGGCCATATAAATACATCGATACTGCTAAAGCTTTGCAGCCGTAGGTGGTACCAATTTCTGCACTGGCCCACGGAGCAGGCAGCGCAGCGTCAGGAATGCACTGTTGCTCTAACAAGCTCGGGGCAAGTGGGACCGAGGCTGAGTGCATCTCACACCCCCCCACAACCCCCCTGCCACCTGCGTCTCGACTGAACCGACCGCTCTGAATTCCGCGCGGTTCACCAGGTGACTGTTGGCTGCTGGCTGCCATCGCGTCACTGACACTCAACGATCAACTGCTGGCGAAGGTGGTGCCTCCGGGCCAGAACTTCAGGGATGGCTACGCTGGAATATTCCACTTCCAGGCAAGTCTCTCATTATACACAAGGAGATCCATTTAGAGATAATAAAAAGTCAATAAGTGATGTATGTGTATCATTACACCTCCTTTCCCAGTACCAAAATATAATAATAGGGGTTTTCCCCTTTTTTCTGGCAACAAAACTGAAACTTTTTTTACAAGGATTCATGTCTGCATTAACCACAATACTTGCAGGCGTTTTGGCGTCCTCTGCATTTTGACTGCAAGTATTGTGGTTAATGCAGACATGAATCCTTGTAAAAAGGTTTCAGTTTTGTTGCCAGAAAAAGGGGAAAAAACATATTATTATGATGTATGTGTATTTATGAAAACCCCTATTATGTATGTGTATTTATGTATATTGTGGGGAGCGGTAGTGTATCGGTTACTGCTCTGTGCTAAAAACCTAGCGACCCGACTTTAATTCCCGCTCACGGCCAACATCAGTGGCAATTATCTATACCGGTCCTGGGTAGACTCAGCCTCAAATGAGTACCTGGTGCAGTGTGTAAACATCACCACTGCGGAGACAAAGGCGGCCGAACGTGGTGCTGGCCAACCACCCTCTTCATAGGTGCTCGCTAACAGAACTCGTCCCAACAGTCTGTTAAGGCTATACCAGGGATCTTTGTCTTTGTAGGGAGCGGTAGTGCAAAGGTTAGCACACTGCTCTATGAACCCGGCAGCCCGAGTTCAATTCCTGCTCATGGCCAACATCAGTGACGATTATCCGAACCGATCATGGGAAGTCGACACAGCCTCAAATGAGTACCTGGTGCGATGTGTAACCATTGTCATTGTGGAGACAAAGGCGGTCGGGCGTGGTGCTGTCCACCTAACCCCTCATGTGCCCTGCCAGCCTTCATAGGTGCTTGCTAACAACATTTGCCCCGACAGTTTCTTCAGGCTAAACGGGGGCCTCTTTGTCTTCGTGTGTGCAAAAGTTCTGGCACTTTGGCGAGTGGATGGACGTCTTCATCGATGACCGACTTCCAACGAAGAACGGGCAGCTCGTGTTCGTGCACTCGGCCGACAAGCGCGAGTTCTGGAGCGCGCTGCTCGAGAAGGCGTACTCCAAGTGAGGATCATCATCATGAGCATCTCCACGAGCCTTGATCTGTCGACTTCTGAATGAGGGTCTCCTCCTCACACTGCCAGCATCCCTCGTGGTCCTGGGATGCCATAATTCACCTCTCTTTCTACATGTCAGCTGATCTCATTGCTCCATCTCCGCGGCGGTTGCACTGGGGCGTGTTTGCTTGTTTGGCTGCCACTCTCATCATCTCCCCTTATTGCCACGATGTGCCATACCCAAGCAAACTTATTTTAATAAAAAAATCAATGTGATGTCTCCAACTTCTATGTATGCGTTTTTGGTTTTTCTGTGCCTCAGTCTAACTCCAGGCACACGCCTCTCCATGCTTCTTTGCACCATTTGCAACTTCGGTAAAAAAAAATGTGCAAGTGGCAATGTTTTCGATCCGATCCATATGGCATAGCACGCCACAGGAGATACGTAGATCTTTACTCATGACGAGCAAACAGTACGCGAGCTTGGGCAGGACACGTTGGTGTAAGGGATGATGGCCAAGACTAGCGATGGAGTGGAAGCCAAAGGAACACTCCTAAGCAGATATCCGCCGTGGAGACAGAGATAAAATCGACGCAACGCGCTTAGACGGACCGCTGCATCGCAGGACCTCGAGCAATGCCGTCGGCTTGTGGAGGACTTCATCCAGCGGTGGATTAAACCTGGCTCGTGTCCACCGCGCGGCACACAGGCTCAACGGCTCTTATGAGGCGCTCAAGGGCGGCAGCATTGCGGAGGCCATGGAGGACTTCACGGGGGGCGTGTACGAGCTGCTCGACCTGAAGACCGCTCCGCCAGACCTGTTCCGCATCATGTGCAAGGCGCGGCAGAAGGGCTCCATGATGGGGTGCTCCATCGACGTGCGTGGAACTCCAACCCTGACCCTGGAGCAGACTCCAACATCCAACTCTGACCCTGACCTAGATTCCAACCCTGGCTACAATTTTATCCCTGATCCAAACTCCAACCCTGATCCAAACTTCAACTCCCAACTCTGACCCTGACCCCAATTCCAACCCTGGCTCTTACCCTGACCCAAACTCCAACTTCAAACTCCCAACTCTGACCTTGACCCCAATTCCAACCCTGGCTCTAACCCTGACCCAAACTCCAACTCCCAACTCTGACTCTGACCCCGATTCCAACCCTGGCTCTAGCCTGAACTCCAAACCTAACTCCAACTGTGAGCCTAAACCAATATCAACTCTAAACCTGACCATAACCCCAGCTCTAACCCACCTCTCACCCGACCTTTATTCTACCTCACAATAATAACAATGGTGATTATTTGAATGATAAATAAGGGTCTTCGGTAAAGCTGTTATCTTAAAAAAACGACGATTATGATAATGATGTGATACACTGTACGATAGAGTATATCACATCATCTTGTTGTCCTTTCCCCGCACCTCTGATTAGCACATTCGGCTACATATGGTGCGAAAGAAGTTTCAACATACATACATTACCTTGACTATATACTGATGATGATATGTACACTGGGACGATGAGCGCCGTGCTGTATGGCCATCGTGACGGTTGAGGTGGTTGTTTCTGTCCAACTGTAGCGTCTAAACATGGTGGGTCTCCTGCTGCCTCCCCCCCCCCCCCCCCCCCGCAGGTGACGAATGCCTCCGAGTCTGAGGCGCGGACGTCAAATGGTCTCGTGAAGGGCCACGCGTATTCCATCACGGGGGTCGATGAGGTCAGAGCACAAAGCAACGTTACTCGTCTGTGGCTCCGGGAAAGCCCTCGCCGAGTCTCAAGGCTTTTTCTTTTTTTGAACGAGGGTCCTGCATTCGGACCAATTCCATATTTAAATGAGGGATCTGGTGGTAATTTCGCTTCACGTGGCAGGAAGCCAGAATGCCTGGGAAAAAAACCCGCCCTGAGTGCGAGGGGATAACACAGTCGCGTTTACGAACCTACTTGCTGTACTGCCACACGCTGATCGCAATCGCAGCCCAGTGGGTTTAAAAAATGTCAGAGCGCATTAAAATGAGCTCCGCCTGACGCACCGACCCTGCCTTGAATCTGCATGGCTTAGACGTGCGCACCACCACGTCCTGCGCAGTGGTAACGCACCGAGCCATGAACCCGGCGACTTGAGTTTGAGAAGGGAGATGTAGGGTGGTGAGGAGGTGGGGGGCGGGGGCAAAGAGAGAGCAACACGGGAGAGAGCAGAGCAACACGGTGGCACAGCAGGGGAAAACAAAACAGCCGGAGCCCAGCAACAGCAACAAACAACAATAAACAACAACAAACAACAGCATCCCAGGCACAGCCGAGGCAGCCAGGACAGCATCAAAGCTTCCCAGGGCTTTCACAGGGTGGCATTTTTATAGGCATTATAGATTTAAATATGTTGTTATTGAATACTGGGTGCCAGCCTCCAATGTAATGTATTCTTTACAGGGCCTACTATACACAGTCAAGGAGATGCTACTATGGTGCGAAGGTTCATGCGCTGGACCTGCAATTCACAGGTCACCCGTTCAATAGCCTCTGTCCACCAGGCGTACATCATGAATAAATATCTCCACCAGACAAAAAAGGTCAATAGCAGGGTGCGTGTGTTGGGGTAAAGTGTGGCAGGGACGTGCGGTCAGGGGAGGCAGGGGAGGCAGAGCCTCACCTGTCATACTCCAATGAAAATAGCTGTTACGAAAAGTAAAAAAAAGGAATAATCAAATCAAATAAATAGTAAGATTTTTCCAGTGATCTGTGTTATAAATGTCATTTCTGTACGATTACAATCATTTTTATAGTCAAAATCGCCAAATTTGCGGAGCTCGGGGGCAAATATAGGAAGAGACGAGAGGTGAGGCAGCGACGAGCTCAGCCTCCCCTCTGATTGCGCAACCCCTCAGTAACTGGATGGAGTGTGGGCAATAAGCACGTGCCTGTTACTATTTCAGTATGTCATCAATGTAATGTTTGTAGACCCCTTCATTTCATGTCCTCGCCTTCCATACTCCAGGTAACTTATTTCACATATGTGTATAAGATATTTAGGCTCGCTGGTCTCGTCATGAAACTGCAATGAAAAAGCACCAGGTGAGGCAGCTATCACATCTGCCTCACCGAGGGGGATGTGTCTAACACGCCCCCCTCAGTGAGGACACGCCCCCTCCGTGAGGATACGCCCCCCCCCTCCATGAGGCCACGCCCCTTCAGTGTGTGAATCTGGCTCTGACACTAGCCAGTGCCTCCCCAGCCATTGACCTCACCGCACGTCCCTGAAGTGTGGCTACCCCAACCTCTTCCAAAGACGTCCGGACAGCATGCAGGAGTAGGCCAGATACCTGGGGGCGCTTCCACCGCCAGCAGTGACGCTGAGCAAGACATTGCAGGGCTGCGCCTTTACCACGTACGCAGTTAACCCCGTCAAGGTGTGCGCGTGCAGGTGAACTACCGTGGCCAGAAGGTGAAGCTGCTCCGTATCCGCAACCCTTGGGGCGAGGTGGAGTGGAACGGTGCCTGGAGCGACCAGTGAGGATGCATTTTTTTAAAACTCTTATTTTGTCCTTCCCCCACCCCCCGATTTATCCCAAGTAAATTCTGATCAAGCCAGTGATAACTCAAGAGGATCAGGAAAAAAAATGACAAAAGCGATGACGTTAAAATATATTTTTTTCTCCGTACATTTTATTTCAGCAGGAAGGGCCCAATACGCTGTTAGGTTCTATTTCGTGGGTGTCATGCTATTGAAAAACTAATTGCAACGATGGATCAAAGAGAAGTCAGGGCAAAAACAACTGCGTTAGAAAATAAATCGGAAACAGTGCATGAACGTCATCTATGTTGAATCAAGTATATTTCCAGTCACAAAAGTTGACTGGGAAAAAATACTTAGACAAACCGTTCATAGTCAAATAAACATGGTCTTAGACTGTGTAACTAATTCATCCCTATCGTCTTAATTGTAGAGGCCAGTGTTCTTCATTGGAAGGCCCCGCGGGCCACTGGCGTCCCCTGGTGACCTTTAGTGCACCCCCTGACGTGCGGCCCCCAACAATACACAACGAGTGAAAACACCTCCCATCGTCATCGTGCTGCGATCAAACCCCAATGGTTTCCAATGTGTGGCGGCCCTCACACTGATGATGTCATATCGGCGCAAGTGGCCCCCATCTGAGAATGAGTGAAGAAAAACTGGTATAGGCCATCTCATTTGTATCCGTGGCCTCCGATGATCCTGTCACGTTTCCACTGCTTCGTTTGTACTATCGTCTCATCTGTCTTGTTTGCACATCTTATTCGTTTCGTCAAGTACGTACATTGAACTTCTTTCGCGCTGTACGTAGCCAACCGTGCTAATTGGAGGTACGGACGATGGACAACAAACTAAACAACACAAAACAGTTCTAAAGAAATTAGTATTTGCTAATCATTCTCACGGTTCGTGTAAACCATTTACTGTTACGCATTACATTTGACATCTATTTTAATCGATGAATCGATGCTTCCCATAACATGCTGCCGCCAACGAGTAAGCACGCCTGACCACTCGACCGTCTGTTAAACCGGATCCGCCTGTCGGTCAGCGCTTTCCAACCGTCTGCCAAGCCGGTTGATCGGTACAAATGGTCAAAATCTCAATAACATCTCCATAAAATGCTATCCTAATAGACGACGTTTCTGGCTATGGCCCTACTTCATTGTAGAGAGATTAGGCCCAATGCCTGAGATGTCACTGATGATAGTTTTAGACTGTAGGACCACAGTGCTACTGACGAATGTGTTAGTTGTTGTTATTTGCGCTTGTGCACCACTGCCAACGTAGAAGCATGACAATATTGTTTCGCTTCAGTGCGGTCGTCAGCTGGTCTGTTCACCAGTCAGCCAGAAATCCTGTCGACGAGCCAGTCACAAGCGTCTTAACAATTCACATCATCCGGAATTCAATTAATTGTCACAATTCAGGGTCATCATTGAATTGCAGAAAAAAAAATTGTACACTGTCACTGACTATTTTCTACCTTGTCTAGTACATCAATTTAATTGGTTTCATTATCATAAAAGTAACATCTATGAGACCCTTTTTTGCCAGTATCAAGATGATGGAAACAATAGGCTTCATCCTTTCGAGCAAGAAGTCAGGCGTTGACATGTTGAAACACCAACTAGACACCCATCATCATCTTGATAATTGCAACAAAAAAAGGGTTCCATAGATATAACTGCTCAAACGGAGCTATTGATGCTTTGATATTTTTGCATTGCCCTTGTGATGTTCGCTTTTGGCGCACTTTGGTCTCACGCTGGTGAGACGACGCCATAAAGGAGGCTGCCTCTAGTGTAGGCCGTAACATTTCAAAGACAACGCGTATATTATTATTAAAACACGTTTGTTTCCATGCTTTTACCACAAGCATGATTGTGCACTCAATGCAGACTTGACGCCGAAAATCAACAGTTGCCTAAAAGTGTGCGTAAATATTGATCCTTACACGTGTGCCAATGGCTGTCGATGTACTCAGTGCCCCGGAGTGGAAGGCCCTGGATCAGGGAGAGAGGAACCGGCTGCAGCAAGTGATGGCGGAGGATGGAGAGTTCTGGTAGGGAGGCATTTGATCCTTTTGGCGTGCAATATTGTGGATTATCGGATAAATATAAATGTTTTACTCTTTACCGTTGTGCGAATATCTCTCCAATGTGGTTTCAGTTTTCGGACCACGTGCTGGGAGTTATTCAGTTCGGAAACGATTCAGTTCGGGAACAATTCGGTTCGGGAACAATTTGGTTCTCAGAGAAGCTCCTAGCCCGTGGAATGAAACGTCAGACATAGCACCCAACAACGAGCAGTATGACCTGAAAAAGCTTCGGAGAGATACGCAGTGCGATCGTGAACAACCTAAGCAGTAGTTTGGGAAACATCATTGCTCTACTCCCTCTTTTGTTTCATCCTCCACGTTTCCCTCTCCTCGTTTCATTTTTCCGTTCCTGAATTCAACGCGCTACTTTATTTCTACCTGGGCCAATTGCCCACACAAAACGACAACGACAATCACAACAAACGCGACGGCTGCAGGATGTCGTTCGACGACTTCATGCGGTATTTCACGAAGATGGAGATCTGTAACCTGACCCCGGACCGTGTGGAGCGCGAAGGCGACCCGCGCTACTGGACCGTCACGGTGCACGATGGTCGCTGGCTCAAGGGCTGCACCGCCGGCGGCTGCCGCAACTTCCCCGGTACTTCCCGTCGACGAGTTTGCATCCAGGTTACACCTTCGAAGCTACCCCCTCCAACACCCCCCCTCCCTCCTCGTCCGCCCCCAGTTTCCGTGCATTACCCTACCAGTAGAGGAGGCTTCGGCACGTGTCGTGACGGGTACTGCAAGCTCCGACCATGTCCGTCCGGTGCTCGCTGAGCTGCATTAGCTTCCGGTTGCTGAACGAATACGTTATAAGGTAGCACTCATTACACACAAAGTGCTTGCCACAAATGGACCACAATACCTTGCTGAGCACAAACCATCACCATGCGAACTCTGGTCATCCTCGCAGTGGATTTTGGCTCACCATCGAACAAAGAGGGTCACTGCATAGCTCTCTTTCAGATGCGCTTCTGCGGCCATCTGGAACGCTCTTGCTTCCGATATTAGGAAGCCACTGGAGCTATGCACTTTTGAATCATCTAGATTGAAAACTCATTTCTTTAGAACTGCTTCCCGCTCATGACCAACAACAGTGGCGAATATTTGAACCGGTCCCTTGCCTGCCCTGGGTCGACCCAACTTTAGATGAGCACCTGGTCCAGTGACAAAGGCCACCGGGCGTGGTGCTGGCCACTCGCCACCACCGCATGTGGTGCGCCATCTTTTTTTTCAACTCAACCCGAGCTCGGTACGTAGCACCGATCACAGAATAAGAAGGGGGTGGGAGGGGGGGGGCAAAGATTCCACGAACAAAAGTCTGAGATCGGCTCACCCAGGTGGGGGCTTCTAGCGGAGGAGTGAAAGTTGTGCGGTGCCATCCTCCTTAATAGGTGCTCGCTAACAACACTTACCCCAAGGTTGAGGCCAACGTTGGCATGTGGTTGAAATCAGAATCAGAAGTTTATAACCTGAGTAAATTACGCAAGGAGCTATACGGCTCTTTTTCAAGGGTGACTGGGCCAGCAGACAGACATGGCAGCAGGAGTTTATGAAGAAGATATATTAGGACCGAAGCAGAAATATTTCTCCACAACTCTGACTCTCCGCCTGATGATGCTGGTTGTAATTACTGGTGAAACGTCGTACTCGAATTGTGAATGTTGTGGGTTAACTTTCAAAAACACCGGTGTGCTGAATTCGAATTGGCATGTTTTGTTCACGTGACAAACCTTACTAATCGGCTGTGTCGGGTGGTGGCGGGGTTAACGATACATTTCTATTTACGCGATCTAACCCAAATACCTGTATTATAGATAAGATATAAAATATTTTAAAAAAATATATAAAGTGAATAAATACTCTTTGGTTCTTTCGGTAAAGTCACGTAGGTATAAAATAAAATAAATCACGACGATTCGGGCGCAACACAAGTGTCCATCATCAGGTGGGAAAGCATGGTCTGCTGCTGAGGCAGACTGTTTTAAAAGGTTTGATGACGGACGCTTGTGTTGCGCCTGAAACGTCGTGATTTATTTTATTTTATACCTACGTGACTTTACCGAAAGAACCAAAGATTATGGATTCCTGCAGTCACGAAAGCTTCAAATCAAAGTGAATAAAACCAAATGACCGTACAAAACAATTGCGTACATTCGCATTCGTATTGTTTCGACGTCGATGATGTCTGCTTAAAGGAGCGCAGTGGAACCGTTGGCCCGCCATTCAATGTTCTTGTGAATCGGACCCACAGAGACGTTCTGGACCAACCCGCAGTTCCGCCTCAAGCTGCACAACGAGGACGACGAGGCGGACGAGACCGGCAGCAAGGCCTGCTCCTTCATCGTGGCGCTCATGCAGAAGAACATGCGCAAGCAGCAGCGCAACATGCTCACCATGGGCTACGCCATCTACAAGGCATGCCGAACACGAATAAAAGCCCACAGTTTCGATTTAAAGCTTTCGTGACTGCAGGGATTCATCTTCTTGGTTCTTTCGGTAAAGTCACGTAGAAGGGAAATAATAAAATAATAAAAATTTAATATAATAAAATAATTCTCACAACGTTTCGGCCACAACGCAAGCAGCCGTCCTCCGGTGAAGAACAGGTCTGTCGGAAAGACAGACCTGTCTTTCCGACAGACCTGTGCCGAAACGTCGTGAGAATTATTTTATATGTTTTATTTGTATTATTTCATTATTTCCTTTCTACGTGACTTTACCAAAAGAACCAAGAAGAAAAAAGCCCACAGCTTTTAATGTTACCAGTTTCCAGGCCCACTGAGCTATGCAAGCTCTTTTGCAGAGGTGACCTGGCCAGGAATGATTGCTCGATGAAGCAACTATCATAATCGCACCTCCGATTGGCACGGTTGACTGTGTATGCTGCCAACAGAAGTTCAACACACATACACATAAGTGTGGAAATTTACAGCGGCCAAATAATCTGAGTGCGTGTTTCTAAACACGAAGGGATAAATCCACATGATCACGGGGAGAACATGCAAACTCCAAATATGCATGCGTCAGAATTGGGATTGAACCCATGACCTCCTGTATACCAGGCGAGGCAGGTAACATCTTGCCACCGTGGCTATGACTGCTGCCACCGCCGGCTGCCCTAGGCCAATGCGTGATTGTCTGTGACGAGGGACGAAATTATAAATATTACAATGGTCAACACACTTTTTCTGGCATAAGGTATTCCAACGGTTTCAAGGTAATTTTGGGGTGCCGATTCCAAATCTGGCTTCAGTTTTTGTCTATCACATCAGGTTTTTGAGATATCAAATATTGCATTTTCAATCAAAACTGCAGAAGAAAAATATTAAATAAATGTGGATATCTACATAAAATGATATTATAAACACACTATCCTAAAAATACAGCACCATATTTTAACACTAAAGCAGTCACTGACTCGCAACAACTGTTAATCATAAGTGACAGAGTTAATTTCGGGTAAAATCAATGAAAATGGGGTATGCCGATAGCATAAAAATGAGATGTGATAGAGCAAATCTGAGATTTGGAATCAGCACCCTGAAATTAGTCTAAAACAGCTGCAAAAGTCCAGGCCAGAAAAAAATGTATTTTTTTTGTTGACCAGTGTTATTTAAGGAGAAGAATAATAACAGGTTATATAGCAGCACCTTTCATAAAATGTTAACGCTTTTTACATCAATGATATTGGGGGTGAGGGGGAGGGGTAATAAGTGTCTGAATAAAAATAAAAATGCTTTCTTAATGCGAAATGTCATTAATCCGAAGATGCAGACCGAGATAGTTGAGATCCGTTATTAGACACTGCAGTACCCTGGGAAAGATAACAACAATTTTTAACAAAATAACCCTCTCGTAACTTAGATACCACGGTCATCATTATCATCATGACAGCTTCTATCTTTATCAGCATCTCGGAGATCAGTGCTGGGTATATCTGGTTCACGATTTATGATCCCGGCACACCACATCCAGTATACCTTTCTCTATGGTTGTGACTATCGGTGGCATGCTACCTATTCCGGTCTGCTAGCAAACCTGGAAGATATTCGCTGACAAATGTAAACTCTGTCAGGAGTTCTTCTTGGAGCAAAACGACCCATGACAGTCATCGTCATCACGGACGGCAGAGTGGCACATCGGTAACACAGCAAGAAGGGCCTGAGTTCAATTCCCAACTCGGGTGCCTTTCTGTGTGAAGTTGGTATGTCCTCCCACTGCTTTGCAGAGTGTGAGAGTGAGTGAGTGTGTGGAGTTTGTATAGTGTTTGTGCCCTACGAGAGGAGCGCCAGGCTGCTAAAATGCAGCAAGTTGGCACAGTAGGGGCTACAGCTGGTGCATCTAACAGTCATCTCAGTCAGCCAATCCATGGCACCTGGCTCTGTCCCGAGTCCTCCTGTCAGCGAGCCTTCAACACTTCACGTGGCCACAAAGTGCACCTAGCCTGGCACAGGCGCCGTGGTGACGTCACCGTCACTGAGTGGCGAATGGCGGGTATTGGTATTGGAGGTAGTACGGTCTCCCCGTGTTCTGTATGGAGTTTCCTCCGGGTTCCTCTTATAAGTTATAAAACACATACCATATAGCATAACAATGCAACACACGGCAGCAAAATCACGCCTTCCTGTGACAAATTTGGTAGGGCCCCTGCTGAGACTCAGTGAGGCTTTTCCTTCGTAAACATGAATAATAAAAATCATCGTCGTCTCTCTCTGATGTCTATACAGATTCCCGATCAGACGGGCCCGATGCCCAAGGAGTTCTTCCTCTACAACGCCTCCAAGGCGCGCAGCCCGTCGTTCATCAACCTGCGCGAGGTGTCGCAGCGCTTCCGCCTGCCGGCGGGCGAGTACGTCATCGTGCCCTCCACCTTCGAGCCGCACCAGGAGGCCGACTTCCTCGTCCGCGTCTTCGCCGAGAAGCCCAACCGCTCCAAGTGCGTCGCGAGCGTGTGGCGACGCACGCTGGCACCTCGCGCCCCTTGCTGGAGAGAGAGAGGAGAGAGAGAGGAGAGCTGATATGAGCTACCCGTCGGAGGCCGTCGGACTGCGAGAAGGGCTGCGTGCAGAACGAGAGAGAGCGAGAGAGTGAGCGAGAGAGTGACCGAGAGAGTGAGCGAGAGAGTGAGAGAGTGAGCGAGAGAGTGAGCGAGAGAGTGAGAGAGTGAGCGAGCGAGAGAGTGAGCGAGAGAGTGAGCGAGAGAGTGAGCGAGAGGTGGGGGTTTACATAAAGCAAAGTAAAAAAAAAAAATTACGAAATCATGAACGAAGCAAAGTGCCGACTACACCGAGCATCTTCTTGTTTCCACTGATCGTAAAAAAAGAAAGGAGAGAGAGAGGAGAGAGAAAGAGGAGAGAGAGAGGAGGGAGAGAGGAGAGAGAGGGCCAGGGTCGGAGCGAATTTCCCAAAAATGAGAGTCAACGCCTCGGTGCTTATCTCTCGTTTTACAGCCGCGAGACAGAGACGGTGCTGGGAGGGGAAATAAATCTGCAGGTCAACAACCGCTGTTGACTCCCCCCCCCCCCCCCCCCCCCCCACGAAGCGGTTCGCATTGTATTGAGCCCTGAATGGGAGGGTTAACGATGATGAGTCGAAGCCCAACCAGGATTTGAGCTTGCAAACCTTTCGATTGCAAGCCGCTCGCTCTGCCACGGAGCTACCGGCGTTGTTTCTCAGAGGGCAGTGTTGGCCGCTGTGGGGTGATGAAGTGCATCTTACTTGCCCTGGTGGCGGTGGTGGTGCTGCTGCTAGTGCTGGTGCTGGGAGCGACGGTTGTGCTGCTACGGCTGGCGGTAGTTGTGTTATTGGTGGTGCTGGCGTTGGTATTATTGGTAGTAGCGATGGTGGTCGTGCCGGTGGTGGTGATGGTGATGGTGGTGAGCGGCAGTGGTGGTGAGTGGTGGCAGATCGCAGTCGAGCTGTCTTCGTGCTCCCACCTCCGAGCCGCCATCTCACACGAACTTTCTCGTGGTGGTTTTGTTTTGGAGTGAACGATAACAGCGGCGAGGGTTGTTGCACAGTTAATATCACTGGGTGCCTTGCACATTTACATTGGCCTAAGGAAAGCTGAATTAGTCCTCTCTGGGCTGGGTAGGAACTTGACATTTGTTGGTTCAAGGACTGTCACAGTACGGGAGCAGTAACTTGTGCCCATCTGAAAGACGCTCCTGTCGAGAACCTAATTTCATTGCTCCATCTCCGCAGTCGACGTAACACCTCTGGTGTCATTCCCTCCTTGGCTCCCACTCCATCGTTAGATTCGACCATCGCTCATCGACCCTTGTAGCGACGCGTTATGCCCAAGCCCATTCAAAGCAAAGTACTTTCTAATCAAACATAATGGGTGTTGCTCACAATATTATCCGCATTTGGTTACGCGCCTCGCTCACGAGGAAGCTATACGCACCGCCCATCCGTCCCTCTACCACTAGAATCCAGTGCAGTGAAAAAGGCTCCGCAATTGCGCTCTTATCTCATCAATAATTCAGTCTCGAATCACCGCGGCAGAGTGGGGCCGGCATTACGCGTCTGTGTCTATCGATGATCCTTCATATGCGTGTGCGTGTGTGTATGTACATGCGTGTGTGTGTATGTACGTGTACAGATGTGTATATGGGGAGAATTAGTGCGCTGTGCTACGAACCCAGCGACCCAAGTTCGATTCCTATGCACGGCCAACACCGGTGACGAGTATTTAAACTGGTCATTGGCCTCCCCTAGGTCGACTCAGCGTCAAACGAGTGCCTAGTATGGTGTGTAAACATCTGCAATGGGGAGACAAAGGCGGCCAGACGTGGTGTTGGCCACCCACCTACTCGTGTGCCATGCCAGCCTTCATAGGCGCTCACTTGCCCCAACAGTATGTTAAGGCTATATAGGGTATCTTTTTCTTTGTCTACATCATGTGTGTGTTTTCTGTGGGTTTTTCTCCCCCCCCCCCCCAAAGGGAATCGGATGACAAGATTGGAGCAGACATAGATTTGGTGAGTTCTAAATGAGTTGGGTGGAATGGTGGCACAATGGTTAGAGCATTGCGAATATGCACTGGCAGAGATAAGTGATCATTTTAACAAGTCCAACCGCACCACCCTTGACCCCCACCCCTCTACAATCCCACACTCACCGGAATGGTGAAGTATGGTCAAACTACCCCCCACAACTGAAGCTGTGTGGGGAGGCCTCCATTCCACAGTGGATTGACAAAAGGCAACAAAATATTATTTAAGCTTCACTATACCTGCTTGGCCCTTGTAAATCTATTATTTATTTCGGTACGATAGACGCTGGATTTAAGCACACCTCGTAGGAGCAAAGCCACGTGTGCTTATATCTAAAGTTGTTTGCAACCGGTGTAGCACACTACTTACCGGTGTATGTAATGATGTGTAGCTTCTATCAAAACTGTGCTTTTATCAGAACTGTGCTTATGTACAGGGATCTAATGTTTTTGTATGAGAATTTGTTAAAACTATAAACTCTTTTTTATTTCACCAGGTAAGGTCCACAGAGCTATATCACTCTTCATGAGAAGTGACCCTGGCCACAAATGATAGCTCAACGAAGTGGCTTATCACGTAGAAATTTATAGCAGCCAAATAATCTAAATTTATGTTGACTCTAAATGTGGAGGGAGGACCCAGAGAAAAATCCACACAACCACCGGGAGAACATGCAAACTCCAAATATACAGGCTTTAGGGATCGGGATTGAACCCACGACATCCTGTATACCAGGTGATGTAGTTAACATCTCCCCACCGTGACGCCCCACCTCTCCCCCCACCCCCGTGTGCTTTGTGTATTTCAGAACGATGTGGCCAAGCCTGGAACGGAAACCGAGGACGATCGTAAATTTAAAACCTTGTTCGGTCGGCTCGCAGGAGAGGTAAATCAGCGGAATCAGAATAATCTTTTATTTTGACCGCAGGCGGAGGAATCCGATGAGCCTACGAAGCTTTCTTTTTTCCACAGATTTCCAGTATGGGGCGGGTCAGCGAGTTACGACAGCAAACAATACAAAATAACACATGATAGCAGTGAAAAATAGAGACAATGGTAAGCGATGTCACTAAATATAAATAAGCGATGCATTCATTAATATGAGTCCGATTCATCAAGCTTGGGCAAGGCAGCAAAAATAACAACTAAACAGTCCCAGACCACATCAAGATAACACACAGTCCCTCAATAAAATGGCACATTATCAATAATAATTCACCATAGTAATACAGTAATACTAAATCACCGTTATCAGTAATACTAATTTTTATTTTATTTTACTTTTATTAATTTTAATTTTAATTTGTTACCTACGTGACTTTACCGAAAAAACCTAAGAATATGAATCCTTGCAGTCACGAAAGCTTCAAATCTAGAATTAATTCACCGTTATCAATAATACAGTAATACGAATTCACCGTTATGAGTAATACAGTAATAATGATTCCCTTTAGCTAGAAAAGCCTCGCCGAGTCTCTAAACACTTTATTGGGATGGTCCCGCCACTTTGGGATGTTTTGGCAAATTAAACGAGTGCTGGGCTCCGTGGGGTAGCAAACCGAAGAACCCGGAGAAAACCCACCACACGTACGAGTTGGTAACGAGCAGAGATCCGCACAGATGGATGCAAAAATCCACAGCTTGCACTGCCACATCCTGGCCATGTCACAGCCCGTGGCTACTGACACCGGCTATTCAAGTACTAACCAGGCTCGACCCGGATTCGTTGAGATCTGGCGCTGTTGAGGGCGATGTGGTCGGATGCAAATAAGCGTTGAAAGGGCCGGACAGGAGCGTATTTTACTGCTCGTAAACGGGGTTCGCAGTTGGAACCCAGTGGCCGCCCCATTTAATACTGCGGGTGCATTGTTAACTGTGCATTTTTTTGCCTGACAGATCAACTTGTGCCGGCGACGCTGTCCAAATTGGCAAAAAGCGTGGAAAATGACACTCAAATAATCACACACAGCAACATCGCCCCTACTTGTAGACTTGTAGACTATAGCTGTCAGTAACAACATAGTGCCTCCCCCGATAGCCTGGTGCGACACGAATGGAACAAATACCAAATTGCACTAAATTATTACGAAGCTATCTATTATTAGATATTATTATTACTTTGGACGGGCTATGGAAACCACTTTCAAATATAAGATGAATATGTCTGGATATAAAGCGATGGTATTTTGTGGCAGGGGTGCGATCTGTATTTTCCATATGGGTCAGAGAACCGGCAGCTTGATGTCTCAGAATCATTGAGACTGGATGCTAAGAACTCGATGGCCAGGACAGGCTAAGCAATGCATATGTCCCAAAGTGAACAGTGCAGGGTACACCTTCTTGGTTCTTTCGGTAAAGTCACGTAGAATGGAAATAATAAAATAATACACATAAAACATAATAAAATAATTCTCACGACGTTTCGGCCACAACGAATTCAGACTCTGTCTCCTCGACAGACCTGTTCTCCACCTGAGGACGGCTGCTTGCGTTGTGGCCGAAACGTCGTGAGAATTATTTTATCATGTTTTATTTTTATTATTTTATTATTTCCATTCTACGTGACTTTACCGAAAGAACCAAGAAGATGAATCCCTGCAGTCACGAAAGCTTTAAATCGAAGTGCAGGGTTCACTCTGTGGATGCGGTTGAGCCAAAACGGTTGCGCTGGGTGGGAGACGCGTGGACAGGTTGGAGGAGGGCCGACTGCCGAGTCAGGCATTGGGGTGACCTGCGAGCGTTCGCATTTCTGATGGGCTGGACTCATAGGAGTGCGCGAGAACAATAGTTCAAACCAAGTGGAAGAGAAGACCAAAGAGCAGTTGGTGGATGGGGTGAGGCTGTTGAGGGCAGATTGTGAGGGTCGCTGTGTATCTACCGTGCAGCAGCTGCGGGCGGAGGGTTGAGAGCGTTGGCAGTGAGGCAAGGTGGCGATGGTTGTGGCATCATTGGCGGCTTTGGTCACGGTAACATCTCGATCTGATTGAAACTTCAGACATGAGGTCATTTTTGGTTTATTTATCATTTGTTTTATTCAGGACATGGAAATCAGCCCCAAAGAGCTGCAGGACATGCTAAACAAGATCACTGCCAAGCGTGAGTCACTGCGACACTCCACCCGCTTTGTCGCTCTTTGTGCAAACGCACGCATGTACGCACGTCCACGAGGTGATGTCTTACGCAGGTACGGTACGTGAACCTGGCCGCGCCCCTTGGCCGTGCGCGCGTTACTTTGAGTCGGAGTTGAAACTGGATGATGACGCCGCGCCGTCGTTGAGCCCTGTGGGGCAACGTCGCCGCGTCGAAGCCACAGGCTCTGCTCAAGGGACGATGGCAGTCAGGTGTAAACATTGGCCTGACGTGTAAATCGATGTGGGGGAATGCTCTTTCCGGATGATTCTAACCAATAAAACGCGAGTCACTCTTCCGAAAGACTTTGCCACCCGCTCGTTTGTATTGGACGTTATCACTTCGGATTTTTGGGAGGCAAAATGTTGTTAATTGGGAGAGGCGGTAATTTTCCCTGAATGTCCTCACCAAGCGAAAACATTGTTGGTAGGATGCATGTTTCCCTCCGACGATGGACGCTTGCGAACTCTGTACAAGGATTGTTGCAACCCGGTATTCCTATTATGCAATGAATGCGCCACTGCAGTTTTGTGAGGACAAAATCAGGCGAGATGAATGTGGCGTGCTAAAATAATTCCTGGAATTTCAGCCGGACTGTTCCGGCTGAAATTATTCCACTGGTGGCGATATCCAAAAGTCCTGGGTCTAGTACAGTCTCTCATTTTATGATCATCTGTTATAATGTATTATCATACGGGAGTCACAGAAATTACTAGTCGCTTGAAATATGTTATTCTACTCAGTATACAAACGTCGAAATGCATGCACATGTATCATTTGAGCACATTTTACATGCAAATAAAACCGGGGGGCCATGAGAGATTTGATTCTTCGATCAAATCTCTTACCAGCTTCGTGACAATTTATCAAATCTCGGGAGTGGGCGAATCATCAAACGATTGTGCATGGACTAAAGATGAAGTGCAATGTGTATTAAATTCTATGACTGGCATTTAAAGCACTGAATGGAATGGCACCAGATTGCATATTGGCCTCCGCGTACAGTTTGGTCAGCTGATGGTAGTGACCGCTGCTGTGCATTGCGAGGTTTAAGGCTCAGGAGGAAAGGAGAAGAGGTGGCTTCTTGTGTTCGGACCCCGCGAATGACCGTGGAACTCTGACCGATCGCATCAGAGGTTTCGCCCACATCGAGGCTTGAGGCCTACTTCTATAATTTAGCCTTATCATTTTACTCTGGCATCGTATGACTATTATACCGTTTTATTAAATTTCTCTTCTCTTCATGTATTGCTATGTGTATATTATCTTAACTTGTGTACACTGGCCTTGAATCGCACGGTATGAAAGGCACTCTGTAAATAAAAATTATGATTATTATTGCAAAAAATTATTGTGGTGCCTTGGTGGCAAGAAGTTAACTACCTCGCCTGGTATACAGGAGGTCGTGGGTTCGATCCCGACCCTGACGCCTGCTGCTGTATATTTGGAGTTTGCTTTTCTCTTTCTCATCATCATGGTGGTGGCTAGAATATTTTAACTACCTCGCCTGGTATACAGGAGGTCGTGGGTTCGATCCCGACCCTGACACCTGCTGCTGTATATTTAGTGTTTGCATGTTCTCCCCGTGGTCATGTGGATTTTTATCCGGGTCCTCCGGTTTTTCCCTCCTTATTTAGAATCAACGTGCATTCAGAGTATTTGGCTGCTATAAATTTGCACGCGATAAGCCACTTCTCTGAGCTATCATTTGCGGCCAGGTCGTTTCTGAAAAAGAGCTATGCGGCTCCGTGTACCTTACCTGGTAAACCAAAAGTGGTTAGTTTTGTTTATTGCTATAAACACGTGGCGGTTTTGTATGCGTGCTCGTTGCAGACGGCGAGCTGGAGTCGACCGGCTTCAGCATGCATGCGTGCCGCAGCATCGTCGCCCTCACGGACGTATCCTCACCCCACAGCCTCTTAACAACAACGAGAACAAAAATAATAATAATAACAATAGTAAAACCCAATACGTCCGTCAATAACTCTGAATGTGCGTTCCCTTAAAAGGGAAAGAATACACGGAAAGTAGGCGACGTTCTGGGCAGTGACCCTTCGTCATAGCGCACAATGGAGCATCGCAACATTATGTATTTGTGATAATAATAAATCTATTTGGAACGTGCACATTATTGCAAAAACGGACAAAGTCGTCGTTCAACCACGAAAATCGGAGGTGAGGAGCAGCCGGTCTCGCAGCTGCCATCTGGGCACGTGTCTTTAGTCGAGCGAGAGACCAGAAAGCCTTAAATGGGGACGAAACCCAAAATAGTCAGCTTCACTGGGACGTATGTATGTGTGTTGAACTTTTTTTGCACCGTACGTAGCCCACTGTGATAATCGGAGGATTGTGCTTGGATGGGTGGCCACCATGCATAACTGGAACCACGGGGTGCCGTCACGGCCGCACCTGTACGTGCGGTGGCCTGACAGAGCGTCCGTGTTTCACGTGAAGCGTGGTGGGATTTGGTGTTGGGGGCCTTAAATCTACGCTCAGGTGGACGGCTCAGGGAAGCTGGGTCTGCAGGAGTTTCGCATCCTGTGGAACAAGATCAAGAAGTGGCAGGTGCGTACGTGGCTGCGCCAGCCTTGTCGAAATCTCAAATGCCGCTCGTCGTTACGATCCCACAAAGCGGGTGTCGTGGGCTGCTGCCGGACCTTCCTCGTAATCAGATGGCAGCGCAGCAAAGTCTGTCGTTGTACTGTACTACGCTTCATTGTCGTTGATTTTTGACCCGCGTTGGCTTTTGAATTTTCCCGCGCGGATTTGGATTCTTCTTTTTTTGTTTCTCTCAGGCCATCTTCAGAAAACATGACGAAGACCTGTCGGGAACGATGTCTTCCTACGAGATGAAAAACGCCCTCAATGCCGCAGGTGGGTGCGCACTTCCGCTTACAAAAACCTCCACCCCATCTGGTACGGACACGAAAACGCAGGCACTCTCAGTGTATGGAGTGACAAAAGCGATTGATCATATCGATCATGTTGATCATATACACCAAGGCTCATATTTTCCGGGGAGGCCACATAATGAAATAAGCACGTGCTGGTGGATCATGTGACGTCATACGTCACGTGTGCAGACGACATGAGATCACGTGACGTCGTAGCGCCTTCACACGTGACCACGAATCTCCTGCCTTCAGCTCTCGCATCTCGATATCTCTTGTTTACCTCCGTTTCGTCTCACTCGTCCGTATCTCTCGATGCCTGGGTGAGCCGCCATGTCCCTCGGCATGCCACTCAAACAATGCAGGGCACGGCTAAAGATGAGCGGAAAGAAGGTGAGCGCAGGGCAGGAAGGGGAAGGAAGGGGAGATGGAATGAACCGGGCCAAGATGTCGGGGATGAGAGGGGATGGAACAGAGGTAGAAGAGAGCAGGAACGGAGCGAGCAGCAGGAATGCTGCACGGAGCGGCAGCGCGTGTCTCCCTCCACAGGGGCGCAGGCAGAGGGAGTCACAGCGGGGGTGGCCACACGTACGTCACGTGGTTTACGCGGGAGGCTTGAGCCGCATGAGTATTTCCCACACGTCCAATTGGCATCGTTGGCTCCGTAGGGTGCGGAACAAGTTCAACATGCATAACAGCCGGATACAGACCCGCGATTACCAATGAACGCTGTTGCTAATGTGAATGCCCCTCGCTCGCGTGCCCCCCCCCCCCACTCCCGTGTGACGTAGGCTTCCAGCTGAACAGCCAAATGTACCAGCTGATCATCATGCGCTACACGGACGAGAGCATGCTCATCAACTTCAACGACTACATCACCTGCCTCGTCCGGCTGGACGCGATGTTCCGTGAGTGTCCAGCGCGAGCGGTCCGTGACACAACGCCGACTTTTGGGCCACCCTTTATATATATATACTGGACAGCTTTGAAATAGCTCATCAGATTACTCCAGTGTAAATACTGATTGTGATCTTGACCCTGTCCTGAGTCTCCCCTACGTCGACTCAACTTCCAACGAGGACTTTGCGCATTATGTAAGATATGAGCACTGGGGAGACAAAAGTGGCTGGGCGCGTACGTGTGCCACTGTGCTGTAAACACACGGGTAGTTGACAAGGTGAAGGCGCAGCCCTGCAATTTCTTGCTCACGCCAATGCTGGCGGAAGGGCCTCCACTAGCGGGAGCTCTAAGAGCTCTAGATGGCTTCTCTAGATTTGGCAAGATATTTGGCCTACTCTTCCACGCTGGCGAGACATCTTGGAAGGGGTGGGAGTACCCACACTTTACCCCCACCTCGCGTGGCCTGACCTCGCGCGGCCTGACCTCGCGCGGCCTGACCTCGCGCGGCCTGACCTCGCGCGGCCTGACCTCGCGCGACCTGACCACGCGCGACCTGACCACGCATCGGCCGACTGCAGCGTGAGCCTATTCTCATCGAGAAGCATGAACCATCAACGCAGCGGCTTTTGGCGAGCCATCGAACAAAGACGGTCACTGCATCGCACGCTTTTGGATGCGCTCCTGAGATTTTCTTGCTCACGTCAATTTTAATTTTTTTCGGGAACACGTGCCACTTTTCTAGCGCAATTTTTGCCACCCAAAGCGCCGTGTGTGCGCCCACGGAATCTGACCATTGCCACGCATCTCGATGCGTTTCTCCCACAGGCGCTTTTTATACCGTTGACAAGGAGAAGAAAGGCTTCGTGAAAATGCCATTTGACCAGGTACGCCGTCCATTTGTACGCATCGTGAGTTGGTACCAATGAAAACATTCGCCGAAGTGTGACAGATCGCATATGAACGCGTTTTACCGTAACTGCTTCTGCGTCTCATGTGCGTGCGTGGATGGTTGCGTGCCTGTGTTTTGCAGTGGATGACCGTGGCTATGTACGCGTGAATATTCGGCGTCAACGAAAGAGAGAAAACGCGACCCCCCCCCCCCCGAAAAGAAAACGACGGCTGTGATCTTCTAGCTAGACACCTTTGGGCTGGCTGTGGGTCCCCCACGCTGTCCCACATGAGTTTCAAGCATGATTGGCGAGAATAACATACTTTTAAGTGACTTTTAAACACGCCACCCTGGCACTTTAGTGGCATCACTGTTTCTGATGCATTTAAAATGAAGGCAGTCACACCCTGCAGATTCATCACATACAGCCACGGCTGAGCTCTCCGATTATTATCCAAGTAATCGATCACTCCACCGATGATTGGCTCAAATGCTCGATTAATCGGATAACAGGAATCGGTAGGACAAGAAAAAAGTGTCACCTCTGCTCCCATGTGTGCCGCTGAACTGGAGGTGATGGGCCGGGCTTGGTGATGTCATCTGCCTCATCAGCCACGTCACGTTAGGTGTGGCTTGTGGGGGGGTGGGGGGGGGTTTCCCGCCTTCGGGAGGCAGGACGTGGGGGCGGCAAGATTTAAAAAGGTGCCCAACTAATCGAGGACAAACATAAAAAATAGTCGATTACAACGCCATGGTGGGTACCGTGGAAGGTCACTTGAAAGATACATTATTTCGCTCACAAAAAAACCCTGAAACTTGTAGTTGGATGACTCGGAAGACGCAGGCTATTTTTCTAGCTACAAGATGAGAGCTGTTTGTTGCTTTGGGTCACGTCTTCCATGAAGAGACCTTGAGAATCGCCACTATCAAGAACATGGCAGCTGCATTTGCCGCCTGTGTGAAAATTTATATTCATGGGCGGTGGGATAATGAGAGTCCGGATGGAATTATAAGGGTCTGTGTGGGATAATGAGGGTTCGGATGGGATTATGAGGGTTTGTGTGGGATTATGAGGGTCCAGATGGGATGATGAGGTTTCAGATGGGATTATGAGGGTCCATATGGGATGATGAGGTTTCAGATGGGATTATGAGGGTCCAGATGGTATTATGAGGGTCTGTGTGGGATTTGATGGTTTGGGAAAAGTGGGTGAGACGCGGGTGGCATTTGGCCGGGATTCAGCGATGTGTTTGGGAGGAGGTTCGTTGATGAAGCTTGCGATTCGGGTTGCCACATGTACCGGGTTTCCCAGGTTCATTCTCTTGTTGAGGCAGCTGCTGTCCTGGGAAATCTATCGGTCTTCCCTGGACAATAAAAGTCACAGTTTTTTTTTGTCTGTTGAGTCGCAATAATATTAATTTATACACCACTCAAGACAGACAACGCATTTACATGCAATTCTCCCCTCTTCTGGTATTCCGAGATATTCTCCTGTCATCCTCGCAGCGGCTTTTGGCTAACCATCAAACAAACACAGTTTACTGCATCGCCCGTCTGGAATGCTCTGCCTTTCGATATTCGGAAGCCACTGGAGCTATCCACTTTTAAATCTAGGTTGAAAACGCATTTCTTTAGAACGGCTTTTTGTGTTTCGTTTCTTGTCCTTCCCCCGCACCTCCAATTCGCACGGTTAGCTACGTACGGTGCGAAAGAACTTCAACATAAATACATTCTTCTTCCTGCATTTTTTGTATATCAGAGGTGGCAACCCTAGTCGGCATGGTATTGTTGATTTTTTTTTTGTGTGGCATGTGGAACAGTGATGTCCTGTGCTGCAAACTGCCTTGCACGGTTACGATCGCTTCTGCAATCTCGACGGCAAAGGAGCGGCTCTAACAGGAGAGCCCGTTCCAACGTGAGGCGCGTGACCACGATGCCATTAATCATCGAACATCAATTCCCTGCACTCACGATATTGCGCGCATCCAATTAGGCCTGTAGGAAACGACTGTTTACAATTGACGCACATTGTATAAATATGCCTGTCCACATTCAAATAACTCAAAATGCGAGCCAATTTCACGAGATCTCTGAAGCTTGAGCCAGGCGTGTGAGCCCGGACGGGTGACCGCCACGCAACTACTTGATGGGCATGAGAGGTGAGTTGCAGCAAAGTGTAAAATGTTGCGTTGTTGTATTTTACTATGGCTGCAACGTCGAGATTCCCCGCCTTCACCATTCCGCACTTAACTCACAGAATCGTGAGGTTTGGGTCAAATAACCGCCACGATGCGTACAGAGCGGTGGAGACATTCAAGCGATGTTTGCATCGAAATTAAAGTTAAAGGACAACACCAAAGGACTGTATGATGCACACGCACAGCCATTTTGTATATCCACTGCTGGATGAGGGCCTCCTCGTGCCGTGTCGGTCGTGGGGAGGTTATTTTGACCATACTTCATCACGCCAGTCAGCGCGAGGTTGTTGAAGGCGGGGAACATACGTTGGTGCGTAGTGCAGTACAATTCTGCATTTTTGTTTTACACTGGCTGTCCGATGCACACCAAGGAGCCCTACGACCTACATGTTGTAACGCAATACACTAATGTTGTTTATACTTGCCTTTATCTACAGGAATACGTTTTCATAGATGATACTAAGGTATAAGCCAATGCTATCGGTCATTATAAGTGCCTGCCCTGTTTACAAATGCCACCCGTTTGGGACGGGGTGTGGAGCCTCTTCACGATGCTGAGCCACCGTTGAGGGGCATTGGGTTCTTGGGTGGGATGAACGGTCTGATGCTTTTACAAAGTGTCAACGCTGCAGTCTTTATTTCACACTGTTTAACATTAAACGTCTTTTAGCAAACTAGACCAATGAGTGCAGACCTCTGCTTGTGTGTGTGTGATGGTGGTGGTGGGGGTGTGGAGAGCGGTGGTGGAGCGGTTAGTGCGCTGCGTTACAAACCCGGCGACCCGAGTTAGATTCCTGCTCACGGCCAACACCAGTGACGGTTATCTTAACCAGTCCTGGGCCTCCCCTAGGTCGACTCGGCCTCGAATGAGCAGCTGGTGCGGTGTGTAAACATCGCCACTGGGGAGACAAAGTCGGCCGGGCGTGTTGCTGGCCACCCATCCCCTCGTGTGCCATGCCGGCCTTCATAGGTGCTACTCGCTAACCGCACTTGCCCCTACAGTCTGCTCAGGCTATACGGGGGATCTTTGTCTTTGGTGGGGGGGGGGGGGGAATTGGGGTACTAAAGTGACCGGTGAGAAGCAGTTATAGATCGGTGTGCCGCACTTGGACGGTAAGCAGGTTGCGTGTGGTCGGGCAAAGTGTGGGCACTTCCACCTCTTACAAGAAATCTGGGCAGCGTGGAAGAGTAGGCCAACGTACCCTCTAGAGGGGCAGAGTTGTCGCATCATCCTGTGCCAGAGAACGATCTGCAGAAGTTGACATCACAGAACTTCTGCCGAGATCCCTTAAAGTGACACACGAGACGTTTGTACATTTTCCCATTGATATATATTTTCAAGATGTAGAATTTAGCTAAATCGAGTGGAAAAACTAATTTTATTTGTTTTAATACGACTCTGTTTTACAATCATCAACTTCAGAACTGTGTTTCATCATTGGTGGCTGAAACTTAGATTGACGCAGTTGCATTTAAACGCAAGGCCTAAATTGGCCAAACATCAACCTCCTTTGCTGACCCCATCGGTCAGAACTCACTTGCCCCAGATATCCGTGCGCTCGACTCCATGCCCCTGTTCAAGTCCAATTGTGTTTTAGCCAATTCAGCATCAACATTTGGGCTCGTGCCCTGCATTTTACAACAGAGAGGTCGCGGTGAAGGATCACGCGTCGGAGGAGCTGTGTCGCTGTCGGTTACCAAATGAACAAGGCGATCTTCTTGGTTCTTTCCGTAAAGTCACGTAGAATGGAAATAATAAAATAATAAAAATCAAACATAATGAAATAATTCTCACGACGTTTCGCCCACAACGCAAGCAGCCGTCCTCAGGTGGAGAACAGGGCTGTCGAGGAGACAGAGTCTTAATTCAGTCTGAATTCAGTCAGATTCTGTCTCCTCGACAGACCTGTTCTCCACCTGAGGACGGCTGCTTGCGTTGTGGCCGAAACGTCGTGAGAATTATTTTATTATTTCCATTCTACGTGACTTTACCGAAAGAACCAAGAAGATGAATCCCTGCAATCACGAAAGCTTTAAATCGGAACAAGGCGATGTTGAGAGCGATTTGGATGATTCTCCGTTGAGACTTCCACCTGCTCAACACAATCAAGCTGGACCTGGGTGAATTCCTACCGTTAGAAATCAACAAGTCACCGTCCCTGGTTTACAAAAACAGTTGGTGGTCCAAACAGACAAAGTTTACCCCGCATCGCCTTAAACAGACGTGTGGGGCAAGTGCTGTTAGCGAGTGCCTATTAAGGGCGGCGCGGTACACGAAAAAGGTTGGGAGGCCAACACCATGAACCTTTGTCTCCCCAGCGCTGATGTTTTTTACACACCGGACCAGGTACTGATTTAAGGCTGAATCGACCTCGGGGAGGCACCAGAGCTGGTCCCGATAATTATCGCAGGTGTTGGTGGCCGTGAGCTGGAATCGAACTCGGGTCTTTGCTGGTTTCTGAGTGCAGCGTGCCGACCACTGCGCCACCGCTTCCCAGACTCAGCTGTGCGCACACAGCGCTTGTTTTGTGTCAAAACGTGTCCGTTCTAAATATACACCTCGTCAAATGAAAGCAAGTCCATTGTTGGCTTGATTTTGTGTGACCACGCTGTGCTTGGTTGCGCAGGCCGACAGGAGGTGTGCGAGGCCTGCACCTCGACAAATGAAATGAGAGTGGTGTCATTTTTCTCGAGTGAAATTGTCGAAACTTTAACGAGCGATGTTTATATGGTCGTGATAACACACCGGGATGATCATTTGACCTTGTCGATTATTAAAAAATATATATTTGTGTCTGCATACAAGTTCAAAAACAAGATTCCTCCAACAAACATACTATCGTACTCTACCTTAAGGACATTTACGTCACAGAAAGTTACCACGGTGACCTTGACATCACACATATTTATGATCGAGAGATGCAATGCTTGGAGGAACATTTAATCGTCATTTGTCACCCTGCGTGCTACCAATAAGCCGTGTTGGGTCCAGAGTAACTCAAGTGTCGGGACTCCCACCCCTTCCTTCTCACCTGGTTTACAATATGCCCTCTGGCCAAGATGATCACAGAGTTGCCAAGCACATTGCGTGCTAACTGGAGAATATTTAGGATTGCTTCTGACCCGCCGTGTTGCCATCATTACACATGTTTGCTCAAATGTGCAAATGATCGGTAACACATTCTAATAAAGAAAAACCCATCAGCCCCAATGCTCACGGCGTTGGGGCTGATGTCACCACAGCATGCGGTTGTGATGGCCGGTCTAACGTGTTCGGCCGGTACCAGAAGGAGCAACATCTATCGTTTACACGAATAGCCAGGCACACTCCATTGTAGACCAGGTCTAAAGGGTTTAACACGTAGGCTTTCGCGACCAATATTATTCATAATAAATGTTTTTGGGTTAGATCGCGTGATTTATAAATTTGTCATAACCCTCCACCACCCGACACGGCCAATCAGCAAAAAAGTGTCAAGTTGACAAAAGACAAATAGTTCACTACTTTAGCACACCGGTGTGTTGAAGCGTGAAAAACCACAACATCTACATTTTTTGAGTACGACGTTTCGCTGGTAATTGCATCCAGCATCATCGGGCAAATCGCCAGAATGGCGAGGCTCTGCTCTTGCTCCCGGTCTTAAATAGAGCAGCAGCAGGGCGACGTCATCATTTGTAAATGTTGTGGTTTCACTCTTCAACACACCGGTGGGCTAAAGCAGTGAACTATTTGTCTTTTGTCAACGTGACACTTTTTTGCTGATTGGCCGTGTCGGGTGGTGGAGGGTTACAACACATTTATACATAACGCGATCTAAAGGGATTTCTCGCCTGGTGTAATGGTCAGCGCACCGGACTTTCAATGCTGAGGTTGCCAGCTCGATCTTCTGGCGTGGCAGCCATGGCCTCTGTCCACCTATCATATAAATGGGTTCATGCTGCAGCCATTCGATGCATGGTGGGGTAAAGTGTGGGTACTCTCACCCCTTCCAAGATGTCTCGCCAGCGTCGAATAGTAGGGCAAATGCCTCGTAAAGTCTATAGAGGCCATCTCGAGTTCTCCAGCGCTCCCTCTCGTGGAGGCCAGTCTGCCAGCATTGGTGTGAGCAAGAAATTGCAGGGCTGCGCCTTTTACCTGTTTCAACTACCCGTGAGTTGAGAGCGCAAGGCACACGTACGCGTGGGGGTGGCATGGATAGCACCACGCCGGGCCGCCTTTGTCTCTCCCCAGTGATGATGTTTCACACAATGCCCAAAGAACTCGGTGAAAGCGCAGTCAACCTAGGGGAGACTCGGGACAAAGTCAAAATGAGAATCAAAATCTGTATTTATACTGGAGTAATCTGATGATCTATGAAGTTATTTTTTCGCAGGTCAGAGTTGTCACTCGCCACTGATGTTATCCGTGGTCGGGGAATCAAACCCAGGTTTGATTATCCAGCTCTCCAAATTTACGTGGGACAAAGACAAAGATCCCCCCCCCCTATAGTCTTACAGTCTGTTCGGGCAAATGCTGTTTGCGAGCACCTATGAAGGCCTGCACGATACACAAGGGGGTGGGTGACCAGCACCACGCCCGACCGCCTTTGTCTCTCCAGTGGCGATGTTTTTCACATCGCACTAGGCGCTCATTTGAGGCTGAGTCGACCTAGGTGAGGCCCAGGACCGGTTCAAACAGTCTTCACTGGTGTCATCCGTAGCCGTGGAATCGAACCCAGGTTTGTTTATCCAGAACCCCAAGTCTACGTGGGACACGCGTACACTCATGCACACACACACGCACATCTCTACCGCAACTTTAATCGGCAGCAGAAAGTGCTTGGATTGGGGACCACCATGCATCGTAACAGGTCTTATAGGCTGCGGCGATAAGGGGCAGTGCAGAAAAATATCCACGAAATATAATTGTTGAACTTCATTCAAACCGTACGTAGCCAACCGTGTTAATCGAAGGTCAGTTTAACACGTAGGCTTTCGCGACCAATGTTATTCATAATCAACGTTTTTGGGTTTAGATCGCGTTATTTATAAATGTGTTGTAACCCTCCACCACCCGACACGGCCAATCAGTAAAAATGTGTCACGTTGACAAAGACAAATAGTTCACTGCTTTAGCCCACCGGTGTGTTGAAGCCACAACATTTAGAATTTGAGTACGACGTTTCGCTGGTAATTGCATCCAGCATCATCGGGCAATTCGCCAGAATGGCGAATGATGCTGGATGCAATTACCAGCGAAACGTCGTACTCAAATTGTAAATGTTGTGGTTTCACTCTTCAACACACGGGTGGGCTAAAGTAGTGAACTATTTGTCTTTTGTCAACGTGACACTTTTTTTGCTGATTGGCCGTGTCGGGTGGTGGAGGGTTACAACACATTTATACATAACGCGGTCTAAAGGGATTTCTCGCCTGGTGTAATGGTCAGCGCACCGGACTTTCAATGCTGAGGTTGCCAGCTCGATCTTCTGGCGTGGCAGCCATGGCCTCTGTCCACCCATCATATAAATGGGTTCATGCTGCAGCCATTCGATGCATGGTGGGGTAAAGTGTGGGTACTCTCACCCCTTCCAAGATGTCTCGCCAGCGTCGAATAGTAGGGCAAATGCCTCGTAAAGTCTATAGAGGCCATCTCGAGTTCTCCAGCGCTCCCTTTCGTGGAGGCCAGTCTGCCAGCATTGGTGTGAGCAAGAAATTGCAGGGCTGCGCCTTTTACCTGTTTCAACTACCCGTGTGTTGAGAGCGCAAGGCACCCGTACGCGTGGGGGTGGCATGGATAGCACCACGCCGGGCCGCCTTTGTCTCTCCCCAGTGCTCATGTTTCACACAATGCCCAAATGACTCGGTGAAAGCGCAGTCCACCTAGGGGACAAAGTAAAAATCAGAATCAAAATCTGTATTTATACGGGAGTAATCTGATGATCTATGAAGCTCTTTTTTCGCACGTCAGACTTGTCACTCGCCACTGATGTTATCCGTGGCCGGGAAATCCAACCCAGGTTTGATTTTCCAGCTCCCCAAATTTACGTGGGACAAAGACAAAGATTCCCCCCCTATAGCTTTACAGTCTGTTCGGGAAAGTGCTGTTAGCGAGCACCTAAGAAGGCCTGCACGATACACAAGGGGGTGGGTGACCAGCACTACGCCCGACCGCCTTTGTCTCTCCAGTGGCGATGTTTTTCACATAGCACTAGGTGCTCATTTGAGGCTGAGTCGACCTAGGTGAGGCCTAGGAGCGGTTCAAACAGTCGTCACTGGTGTCATCCGTGGCCGGGGAATCGAACCCAGGTTTGTTTATCTAGAACCCCAAGTCTACGTGGGACACGGGTACACTCATGCACACACACACACACATCTCTACCGCAACTTTAATCGGCACCAAAAAGTGATTTGATTGGGGACCACCATGTATCGTGACAGGTCTTATAATCTGCGGTGATAGGTTTGTGAGGGGCAGTGCAGAAAAAGATCCACAAAACATTGTTGAATTTCATTCAAACCGTACGTAGCCAACCGTGCTAATCGAAGGTATGGGGGAAGGACAACAAACTAAACACACAAAGCAGTTCCAAAGAAATTACTTTTCAATCCAGACATAAAAGTGCATAGCTCCAGTGGCTTCCTCGTATAGGAAGGAAGAGCGTTCCAGACGGCCGCAGAAACGCATCTGAAAGCACACGGATGCAGTGACCGTCTTTGTTCGATGGCGAGCCAAAAGCGGCTGCGAGGATGACCGGAGTTCGTGTGACGGTGTCTGCTCTTCGACGAGACCGGCAAGGCACCATAGCCTTGTACACAGGGCATTAGATGATCGTTCTGCATCTCTGTGGACCCCCGCTCCTGCGCGTTCAATATAACGAGTCGTGCCAGTTTTTCACTGAGACACTCAGTGATGGCTCGCGGAAAGATTGCGATGCAGAGATGACCTTTAATTTTTCGCACGTGAGTGCACATTTTAGGAGCGTGAGTGTCATTTGACACGAGACTATTGGCAGCAAATACATTTCACGTGTATGTTATCAATCCACTGCTACTCTTTGGTTCTTTCGGTAAAGTCACGCAGAAAGAAAATAAATTAAATTATAGAATTTCGACGTTTCGATTGCAACACAAGCAATCGTCATCAGGTAGAACTACATTTGAGAGAGAGAGACAAAACACAGACACGGAGATACACAGACAGCTTGTGTGTGTCAATCAAAACGTCGCATTCTATTATTTAATTATTATTTTTTCTACGTGACTTTACCGACAAAACCAAAGAGTAATTCCTGCAGTCACGAAAGCTTCAAATCAAGTCTAATCCACTGCTAGAAGAACCCCTCCCCCACCGCCGTCTACGGAGTAGCTGTACGTCATATGGGTTGTTTGACCATACTTCACCATGCTGGTCAGTGAGGATTGTTGAAGGGTGGGTGTGGGGATATGGCACTGAGGGCCCGTTCAGATATCACACGCCACTGATGTTAGCCGTGTCCGGGAATCAAACTCGGCTAGCCGGATTGGCTCATGCAGTGTGACAACTACTGGCGCCACCGCTCCACACAAACCATAACATTTAAACGTCGAACAAAAAAAAAACTTGGCGGATACAGTACTCCTAAGTATTTGAAAAAAAAAGACAAAATAACTTTAATATGTATTGAACAACGCTGCATAAAAGAAACACGAATTTCATGATATTCAACTTCCACTCAAATCGTTTCCGCGGATTTGAAGACATCAATCAGCCACGGTCAATCCACTGCTGGATGAAGGCCTTCCCACCTCTGGCGATCATGCAACGTCAAACTTATCCACCCCATAAAGTGCCTTGCTGCGTCGCCGCACGCGCCGCCCGCGGCACATCGCTCCATCTCCTCGGTGACTTCTCGGACGCGTTCGCATTCCCTTGGCTAACCGGTCCATCATCAGTCGGACATACATGTAACCCCCCCCAGCCCCCGCCCCCCCCTGTTTTTTTTTAGAGGACACATACACGAACCACAACGAGGAGTGAGTAAAGCGTTTCACCGGCAAGGCGGACGAGCGAGTGGAAATGAACACCCGTGCCACGGCGCGTACGTGCGTGCGTGTGCGCGTGTTTGTGTGATCGCTGTCAACGCAGCGGGAGGAAAATGTGGGCGCGTGGGAGCGGTGGCGCAGTGGTTAGCGCTCTACGAAACCCGGCACACGCACAGACACACACACAAAACCCCAGAGTTCGATTCCCGCTCACGACCATTAACAGTGAGGAATATTTGAACCCAGACTTGGGCATCGCCTAGGTGAACTCACCCTTAACTGAGTACCTGATGCGGTGTGTATTACACATCAGCAGTGGGGATACAAAGGCGGCCGGGCGTGTGTTGCTGGCCACACCCACCCTCCTGTTGTTCCGTGCGGGTCTTCATAGGTGCTCGCAAACGACACTTGCCCCAACAGTCTGTTAAGGCTATACGGGGGATTCTTTGGCGTTTGCTTTGTGTGGGCGTGGTGCCTTACCTGCCCCCCCCCCCCCACTCAGCCCCCACCCCCAGGACACAGGTGGTATGTTGCTATAAAACACTCCTGCTGCGTGGACACCCCCAGCCCAGTGCCATCCCCTTCAATACGAGGGTGCGTCCACCGGGCCCACGTTGAGAAGCCCCGTAGACCATCATCCGAACGTGACACATTACATACGAACGTAACCGAATAATAATCTATAGCAACTTCGGAGATATTTTTGTTTGTTTAAATAAATATCCCACCCACCCCCCCTCTTAAAATCGAATCCGTTCATTAATTAATCAATTAGTGAATCAATTCACGAGACCCCCCTACCCGATTAACAGTTCAAGAAGAAGCCACGATGCCGTCCTACTCGCTCGCCAAAATCCCAGGCAGCCACTCCAGCGGGGCTGCCATCAAGAGTCGAGGCGCCATGGTTCTGGGGACCAAGGAGAAGAAGTTCGAGGAACTCCGGGATGAGTGCCTCAACTCGGGAGCCCTCTTCGAGGACGCCGATTTCCCTGCCGAGGCCGAGTCGGTGTTCTACAGCGACGCGGCGGCTGGCGAGAGATTCGTGTGGAAGCGACCGTGGGTGAGACCCAGCACCCGCTGTGGCGGTGACTCTTGTTTGTGTTTGAACTTCTTTCGCGCCGTACGTAGCCGACCGTTGTCATCGGAGATGCGGGGAGGGGGTCGGGGAAGGACCGAGAACTAAACGACAAAAGCGGTGCTGAAAAATTAATTTTGAATTTTGGAAATGTGTTGACTGGTTCTGTTGGTTTGTTGACGTTCTTGTTTGCTGGTTGTATTTACGGATGGTTTTCTCGTTGGTGGTGTTGGTAGTCTGGTTGGTTGGTTCTGGGTAATTTTGGTTGTTTTTTGTGGTGGTGACTGACGATGGTGGTTTTCATGGTTAGATGCTCCTGTTGTCGGATTGATTATCTTGTTGTTGGTTGATTGGTCTTGTTGCTGTTGTTGTTGGTGGTGGTTGTTGGCCTGGTTATTTGTGGTGGTGTCAATGAATGGTCTTGCTGTTGGTAAAAGTGGCTGATCTTAATGTTGTTGTTGTTTCTTTAGTTGTTGGTGATGTTCGTCTTGTCATTAGTGTTGTTGTTGGTTGGTCTAATCTATTTATTGTTGTTGATGGTTGTGGTGGTTGTTTTGTTGGTGGTCGTGTTCATTGTTTGGGCTTGGCCTTGCTTCTGGTTTGTACCACCTGTTTGTGATGCTCCCTTCAATTCACTTGCTCTTTGTTTTTTGTATATTGAGGGAGAGGTGAGGCTGTGTGCTTGTCTTGGTTCATTTATTATCGTCCCATTTTGTTTGCTTTTTTAATGACAGCACTCGTGTGACTGAGCAAATTAAGAGGAATAACTTCCGCTGAATTTAACACATTTAACCAGAATGACTTGGCGTTTACAGACTTGAGGAACCCCCCCCCCCCCTTCCCCATAATGTATCACGTACAGCCCTCTTTCAATCCAAACACACCAGGATAAGCAATAGGACACGAGAGCGGCAACGCCTAACTATGCCGCTGGCGGTGTCACCGTCAACGTGGACGGGGAGTCATGTCAAACGCATGCAAAGTTGCCCCGTAGGTGCGGTACCAACTTTTTTTTCCACCGACACATCCGAGCCGAGCCGGTTTTTCCACTGGCTATTTGCCCTGCCGAGCCGGAACAAAACAAAAAAAACACGTGACTCTTCAGAAGATATCTCAATTTGGCCAGGAGCCAAGCAGGGCCAGGGGCGGGGCCTAATTATGCATTCATTGCACGTGACGTCAGCGGCACGGCTCCTGTGTCTGCAGTGCAAGAACGGCCTCGCGCCTCCTGAGCTGCACCGGGTTGGGTTGAGTACGGCCCTGGCAAGCTCGGTTGTCCAATCCAGTGGAAAGAAAACCGGCACCGAGTGGTACCTATCCACATCACCTGCATAGAGGTGACAGGCAGGTGTAACCGAGTAGCCATCCGAGCCAGCGACGAGTACATGTACAACCCCCTTCATCAATCCACTGCTGGATGATGACCTCCAAATGCACCAGGCGTCATGGAGTTAGTTGTGGGGGGTGGCGGGGGCATTATTTGACCATATGTTACCACTGCCACTGATCAGTACGGGTTGCTGTAGGCAGAGAGCATAGACACGGGATGATGGATGTGTAGTGTCGCAATGGGGCTTGCTGCACTGCGCGTTGCTGGCCGCCCCATAGCACTGCAGCCGATGACAACAGCCTGTTTGAACACGATGGTCGCCAATGTTAAGCACTATCCAGGCTCAAAGCTACTTCGCTTCTGATATCTGATGAGATCGTTTACACGACAGAGGATGCGGTCATAGGCTAAACTAATTTATAATACCAATTGCTTGCCCAGGAAAGCCTCGCTCCATGTCCAATATTGTTTTCCAGGAGGGTCCTAAATTTGAGGGTGTTGGGCCCATGCCATTTTAAATGAGCGTTTGATTTCGCGTGGTAACATTTTGAACCCATTGCTGTGCTGCCATCTTCTCCAAGCCAAGCCTATAACACCTGATCTGGGCAGGCAATCTCCAATTCAAATACCGTCCTATCCATAAAAATATAATAATAAAAATATAATAATAAAAAGACTATAACACCTGATCTGGGCAGGCAATCTCCAATTCAAATACCGTTCTATCCACAAAAATATTATAATAAAAGATTAACACACTTGTCAATAGCACTGCATTTAAAGGGGGAAAACATGGAAAAAATAGGCAACGTTTTGGGCAATGGGCCTGCTTCGTAGCACATAAAGAGATAGAGAGAGAGACCAGAGATACAGAGTGCATGATAAGAGTTGAGAGACTGCACTTTACATCATGGGGGGGAGGGGCTAATTAAATGTTTGTAATGTTGCCTGATGACCAGTGTATTAAATAGGCACATGAAAAGTTACAACAATGATACGATTTTGGATAACGGACAAACCCTTCTATATTCAACAAGAATGACTGTAAATAAACTAATTTTAAAATTAAAAGCAAAGGTCGCGCCCAATACTGCTTTGCCGCTGAGATCTGACGATGTCACGTGCGTCCGCGATGTCTGCTGCTTGTGCTGCCGCTCCAATTTAAACTCCGGAATATGAATAGACCGGATGGATAGATGTTTATATTCCCTTGCAGCAGCAGCAACAACCCATTCGATACTCGTATTACAACTGCCAACGCGCAGAAGTCCGTTGCATTTACCGCGAATATATGTTCGAGGATGTAGGGAATGATAAAAAAGAGCGTTGCGTTACACGTGATGAGTTTCCGCCGATCATTAACAGCGATAATCATTGTAACGTGAGCGCGGAAATGTGACGCGAAGTCTGCTTTAACGAGAAACAACCCCGTATCGGGGCAAGCGGGAAGCTAGCACCAAGCTATTTGGCTATTCAATTTCATCACATCGCCGTCCTCATGGTCGATGTACTGCTGGATGAAGGCCTCCCCAAGGAGGAATAAGTATAATCCGTAAAAACAAAGTTTTTCACTATAAATCCTTTATATGCGTGGCAGCGAACTTAATATAAAGGATTTAAAAATATATTCGCCTGTGGAGGACGCGGGGATCGATCCCGCGACCTTTGGCATGGGAAGCGAGGGCGCTACCAACTGCGCTACTCCGCCACGGCCTTTAGAGGGGTTACGCTCTGGGCTCTTATACTGTGACGTTCAGCCAAAGCCAAGAATGAGTTCTATTTGAATATATGTAAAATATATTTTTTTTGCCTAAAAAGTGTAACATTTTGGGAATTTTTTTCACGAACAATAATTGTCTGGCACAACGAGTCTGTGTGGAAAATGTCAGCTCGATTGGATCACGGGAAGTGGGTTAAAAAACGACCGAAAGATTTGCACGGTCCTAAGCAAGCAAGCAAGCACGCAAGCAAGCAAGCGAACTTAATATAAAGGATTTAAAAAAGGCGGCCGTGGGTGTGCTTCTGCCCGCACACCACCTCAATCTCGTGCATCATGCCCGTGATTGATGATTGCCCTCGAACAGCACTTGCCCCAACGGTCTGTGGAAACTACCGGGATGGAGAATTTCCTTTGCCTCTTATTGTGCATCCCTTATCCCCCTTACATTGCAAGCTCCCCACCCCTCCCTGCACTCCTTCCTCCCATCGATGCAGTGGACGACGAGAACGGCCGGAAGCCAAACAAAAACGATCGTGCAAACTCTGCACGGCGGTGCCTAAAAGCCCTGGTGCAGGTGCAGCGCGCGACGCGTGTGGGCCAGGGTGATTTTACGATTTTGGGTCGGGCGAGGGCTCTTCGTTGAGGTGTGACCCTCAATTTGCTCTCACAAGCGCTCGGCCCGGGATGGTTGACGGAAACCGAATTGTGCGGCGTCTGGCCATACACGGAGAGAGAGAAACGTCCGGACAGCAGCCTGGGCATCTTCCGCGCTCTGGTCGGAGCCAGGGTGGGCTGGAGTTCCGGCATGCGCGGCTGACCCACGCCGTGCCGGCCTTCAAGGAGCAGTGGGCGCTGGAGGAGGCCGTGTGCTCGGTGGCAGAAGGCGGAGAGCTCTGCATGCAGATATGAACTCCCGTCGGAGGCCGTAGGACTGCGAGAAGGGCTGGGTGCAGATGCAGCACTTGTCGTAACAAAAAGAGCGATGGAGAGAGAGAAAGAGCGATAGCCGAGTGCCGTTTCTGCACACGTTTGTGCATGGCCCGAGGGAGTGGTGGAGGCCCACGAACGCGGCGCGGGCCACGGGAGTTTGGGAGACGGTGGCAGCGCCGTGGCGAGCGGCGATCTCGCGCCTGTGAAATTATCATGAACCGTGCTGGATGAGCACGTGGGTCCACCAGTCAGCAGATGTTATTGCTAGGGCGCAGCGCCCAATGTTTTGAATGTATATTTCAGACACTTAAATGTATAATTTCATTTTAAAAAATGTTTTGTAAAATAATATCATGATTCGGTGGTTAAATTTACAAACGTCTATATAATGCATCTTGAAAATAAATCATGAATATCAGCCATGATCTAACCACTGCTGTGCATAATAATTCCTTACCCATTCGGTGCACAGTAAATACATTATGCTTTTTGTGTATTCTCAACGGAGGGAGGCACGACACGAGCAATTTGTCCGGAGAGTTTAATCTCCCTAAGTGGCCACGTGATTTTTTTTTTGACAACCCAGCGGCAGCGGCGGACTGCACCAATGCGGCCAGGAAGCTGGGATGCAGACACTTGGCTCTGAGTCGACCAATGGGGTGGCTGGATGTGGCTGCAGTGCAGTCATGAAGCGGTGAGAGATGGGAGGAGGAGGGGCATAAGAGAGCGTGGGACTGGCAGAGAGAGAGAGCGAGATGAGATATTGAGAGAGAGAGAGACCGAGAGAGGCACAGTGAGAAAATCTCCCACCGCATTTGTTCATCGCAAGCCCTGCCGTTAGTTGCCTGAAAACGCAGCATTTTTGAAAGGGCTGTCATCCTTATCATCATCATCACCGCAAAAAGGAGAGGCACTCACGATGTTGTCGATCAACACTCATGGCAACGCGTTCGTGAAGAATGCAATCTCGCGGGACAAGACCCTGGGCACGCCTCAGAACCCCGT